TTAACGGGGCGAGCCTAACGACTCCCAGTGCGGTATACTAATTCTACTGGTAGAGCGCGCAGTATCTTCAGAAACGATCACCTATGATTCACGTTTCATTCAAATATGCGTGAAGTTCCCTGGGAACTGAACTGCTGGTCGTTTCTAAATGATAACGGGTTAATGGCAGATTCGGCTTGTTCACTCTGTTCATGTCTAGTGCTAGGCAGCCATATGGATGAACCGTCATTGATGGCCATCGCAGAGCTGTTGCCCGGAGCAGCGCCCTTCAAGGCAGAAAATGCCATCCTGCAGGACAAAATTCACCTGGTGGGTGGAGTGGGCTTTGATGTTGACACCTTAGGTGACCAGGTAACAATAGACCGACACGACGAGATTGCTAGACGCGTGTCAGTATTTTGATTGACTATCTAATTCACCTGAATTCCGAACCTCATCTCGATTTCACAGCACAAACAACAATCCCATTGTCTAGGCAGTATCTCGCTCTCGACTTTGCCTGGGAACCTTCACTCCTCTCATCCGTCTTCCTTGACCATCACTCTTTGCGAAGCGAAATCTTGGAACGCATTCTGTTCTTCTGACCCATTTCTTGTCCTCGTTGAAGGCACTTCTTCCCACTTCCTCCCTGTTGCAAAGGTGGATCGCTTGAGAACTGGTGAAGTGACGACTTGCCGTCGCGTTTCTCAGACTCTCGACAACATCCTCTTTTCACCTGCATTGCTCGCCATCCCACCTTCACAATTTCTCACTACCTCTCTACCCGCTTTCACTTAGTTCCGCAATTTCTGGATCAGCTGCGATTGCATGGTTCTCAACCTGACTGACCTTCGGTTTTGTGTCGCGCTTCATTCCTCGCCAACCTGCTGAAGGCGATACTGATCATCACACTTTGTCTCAACCTCTACGCCCGTGTCCCCCTCCATCTCACTGTTTCGCACCATCCATACCTTCTCAGCCACACGTTTCGACGAGCCGTTGCAATGGCTCTACATCTCATGCCGAAGGAGGAGTCACTCCGCATGGCAGGACCTCCTCCTACTTGGGGCTATGATAACTACCTTGACGCAGAGCCTCCCATGAGCTTCTTTCGCAACGCGCCGCATGACAGCCCGGCCTTCTTCTCGACCGAACTGGGTCGCAAGGCTCGGCGATTTGAGAAGCCGTCCACCCCTCGAGACATCCACGCGTGGACGGCCCACCAGATCCAGTCCGCCGTTGATCGGGTTGGCACGGACTGCTGGGAAATCCGCAAGGCCATTCGCAAGCCGCAGCATTACGGCGATTTGTACACATACTGGGATGCCTATGACCTGTATTACATGGGTGTCCAGAATGCCTGGAACGTACTCAACTGCCTGTACCTGGAGACTCAGAATGCTCTTCCCGGCATCATCGAGAAGGCTCGCATCATCTTTGGGGACTGGTGCATCAAGCTCCTGAACAACCCGTCATGCAGAGCTAAGCTTTACTACTGGAGCCAAGAGAAGGTAGCTGACGTCCTGCACGTCTTCGATGCGACGGAGAAGATGGATCTTCAGGGCATTGATATGTTCTGGCTGCCGGCTGTTCGCGATCTTCTCGTGCATGCCCATAATTCTCTGCATATGGGCACTTGGCCTGAAATTGACGACCATGGTCTTGATCAGCTTGATGGTAGGCAGCAGGCTTTCTTCTTTTAACCCTTCTCTTCTCATTTCCCTGTACGTGCCGAGGTCAACTAACCTTTTGCAGCCAGCGAAGACTCACCTCCGTCAATTGCCTCCCAGATCACAGCCATCGAGAGACACGCCTTCCATGTCCCGGAAATGCCTCTGAGTTTCACTGCAAGCAGGGAGATCAAGGGTGTCATGATCGCCGATGGCACGTCGGCGACAGCAGCAAAGGTCTTGAAGGAACAGGCTGAAAGTGGTGGTGCTGTGCCTGAGTCTTCTGTGCCTTCACCGCGCACAAAGAAGATGTTGGACGCTGTTGCCAGCACTGGCAATGGGTCGTCACCGGCCTCCAGCCATGAAGAGTCGGTTGAGGGTCTGACACACACAATTCACGATACACATATCGTCTTGGCTGGTCCTTCTTCGGGTAGCGGATCACCTACAAAGCGCCCAAATCCCATGAGGCCGGAACCCGCTGGCCCAATCTACAAAGACTCTCCATCTGAGTGCGATGACCAGAACAACGGCTCTGAGCAGTCTCGATCTGATTTCATTCACAGGAAGTCACCCACCAGCTCTATCGACGGACCTCCAGCTGGCAGACTGGATGCCATCCCTGAGCCTATCTACTCAGGCCCCCTGACCCAGCCGGTGCCATACAAGCAAGCTAGCCACCAAGTCACCCCAAACCAAGAAGTTGTTCAAGATCCTAGGTTCCGAAACCAAGTCCCGGCGTCCGAAGAGAACCTGGCCCAGTACGATCAGGGCCTGTACGGCGTGGTCAACTCTAGTCACTGGTACAACCGTCAGCTGAGCACCGGTAAGGTAATGGATGCACAATCTCTGCAGCGCCCTGTGGCCGGCATGGAAGCCAATGAATGGCAGTCCACAAATCAGCCAGGCATGCCGCTTCATGAGCCCTCAGTCTCTCAGTTATTTCGCGAGGCCCGTCGGCCTCAAACTCTTCAGAGAAAGGAGGACAATGCAAAGTGGCAGCCGGGCAATGTCAACAATTTGCATGGCAAAGACTTGCATGGCCCTACTGTCCACCGTTTGCCCAGCAAGAAACAGGACGGGCCTATGCAAAGTTACCCTTCCCAGTTCCACAACCCCGTGCCGCCTCATGCGCGCAGCCGGCAGCTTAACAACGGGTTCCCTGCCGCCACTCTGGAACGATCGTTTGCAGACCGTCGTCTGAGCCACACGCAGTCCACCATGCCACCCCATGAGTTGTATCGACCCGATCAAGCCCCCATCAGCAATTCGTCACACGCTGCAGGGCTCCGAAGCTCCCGATCGCCTGGCTCTTTCCCGAGAGACCGACGGGACACCACATTGAGTTATCGACCGGCCGACGGGGACGAGTGTCTGAATTATGCGGCCAAGATGTCGCCGGAGAGAGCTTTTCACTCGTACCAAGCATGCCCATGCCTTGAATGCTACACCAAAGACTGCAGTGTCTTTATCGGGTCTCTTTACGATGGCGTGATGGACTCCCCTACAGCCATGCGGAAGATGCACGACGTTTTCTCTAAGTTCGGACTCATTGTCCACACGGCCTCCAAGACTCTTGGTCGTGCTCTCCTGATCCAGTGAGTCCTATTTGCCCTTTACGGACTTCACGCATATGTGACTGACCAGATCTGATACAGGTATACCAACCCGAACGACGCTTTCGCTGCCATAGAACAGATGAACAACAAGCCGATCGAAGGGATTAGCCGATCTGCTCTTCATGTCAGTCACCCTATCGGGTCCCGATACTTCCGGCCTTGGATCAAGGACCGCCCGAGGAAGTTCAGTCCCGAAAATGGACGCGGTTTTGCACCTCATCGTGCCAAACCCGACTTCATCCCTCCTCATCGCCGGGACATGCTGCCGGTGCCGTCTCGAGTTGGTGACCGCCAGTCCCAGCCACTTCTTTCTGACCACCCATTGGCCACTGACCTGGTCCCTCTCGACCGGCATCCTTGGCAGAACAGATCCCTTCCCACCAATGTCTTCAGCGATGCCTCTGGTGCTGAAGGGTTAGACCAATTTTATGCTTTTGGCCGTTCGAACATCCTCAACGGCGCTGCAACAGTTGAGGCTCTGAAGCAGCAAGTCTTTGATTCGCCACCAAAGAATCGCCTACCGTCGCCCCTCCCTGAAGCGATTCAGACAGGAAATGCACCTTCCGATATGCAGCAGAACCCGAGAGCCCCGCATCCAATACTCGACTCGATTGATAACTTCGCATTGACAGAGACTGAAGAATCTCCGTTGATGCCCACTCGGGGCTATCCCGCCACACAGACCGCTGAGCTTGACTCGGAAGCGCAGACCAAGGCGTCTTCTGATGTGATGCCTGGCTCGCCGTCTGCTGCTAACATCTCGCCAGTACTGAGCTACGCATCTGCCGTAAAGACACCCATCTCACCAAAGGGAAACAGGGTTCCAGGTCCAGTGGGTAGCAAGAAGGCTGAAAGCTGTTCTGATTCGTGGCCTGATGAGCTCAGGCATCATGATCAAATAGAAACGACTAGGCGTGCGCACTCAAGCGATCCTTCTGTCATCGAGGGTTCGGATTTGCCAACTCTATCCACTGATGTCAGTCCGCACGGCCCATCCCAGAACATTCAGAATATGTCAGGGAAGAGCACTGCTTCTAGCCCCAGGGACGATCATGTTTCCAGCTATGGCACAGTCGTCCGCCGTCCGCAGCAAGCAAGCCGAAGTCAGCTCCCTTGGAATGAGTATGTCCCTGCCGCGAGTAATGGCCAGCCCGACTTGGCAGCGAGTCGCGGCCCTGTCTCTCATGGCATCCAGCAGCCTTTCCAGCACCAGTATCCTCCCAGCGGAGGCAAGAGCAAGAAGTACAAGGGCAACACGAAGCACAAGACTTTCGACCCCACTCTGCCTGGTCCATAGTATGGACAGGACCGAACGGTTGCTGAGTCTTTGAACCCAGCTGGGAAAGACATCCATGGTCACACGCGTCGCCTTTCCCCTGACAAACATTCATTTTCGCATGCTCAGACCCAAGATGAACGAGGAAATCAGTCCAGTACGAAACAGAAGCGTGATGTTGATACGACGCAGCCTGGAAGCTCGTCCGGTCAGGCTGAGAAGGATGTATCTCTATACCAGACCCCATACTTCCAGGCTCAGTATGTGGCATTCGGGCCGATGCCCTCGAGCGGTGATCCTGATACGCGGCCTATCACCAACCAACAGACCCGGGTCGATAGTCAGTTGAGACAACTCGGGAGCGAGCACCCCAACCCGTTGGCTTGCCATCCAGTGTATCCGACCCAGCAGAGACAACAGGGCTATGCCTGGAGCACGACTGCATCTCAACGATCAACAGAAGGAACTAAGCAATTCCCACCTTACCAAGACCCATGCATCGCGCCACCGTCATCTTCGCCACGTAGTCTGGCTCAGGTCACAGCCGAATCAGGCGATGCCCAGGACAGTCGTACTCCGATCCACACGCCCCGACACTCGAGAGGTGGCAGCATTGCATCGGCGACTAGTGGTCCCGACACAAGTGGTGGACAGAAGTCGCTCAAGCTTGACCCGACAACTGCCGTATTCGTCTCTCCGATGCTGTCGCATGCCGGAGGTCAGTTGAGCGCTGCGCCCGTCGAGATGACTGCCAATGACGGACCGGCTGCTAAGGATAACAAAGGCAAAGGCGAACATCCTGACATTCCTGACCAAGCCCCGTCACAGCCTGCGGCCTCACACCAGGCGAAGCCATCGCATAGTCGACAGCCACCGAGCGACGACAAGAAGCACGCTTCTGGCCCAAAGGTTAGTGAGAACAGGGCCAGTTACGAAGACGAATTTCCGTCTCTCTCCGGATCTGCTGACTCACAACAGCAGGGAAGGAAGAAGGACTTCAAGCACCATCGTGGAACGGCGACCAAGGGGCCTTGGAACAACTACAAGGGCTCTCCAGCTAGTTCGCAGCCTGGACCCTCCGATATGAACAAGATTGCTGAAGGCGAAGATGCCGCTCGCTACCAAACATCAGCACCGAAGACCGAGAATAGCGTATCTTCGACATCAGAAGGCAAACGCGAGGATCCCACCACTCCCAGCCTCAAGAGTGACGACAAGGGACCAAGCGCTGCAGTTGTCCCCAGAGACAAAGAGCAACCCCGACCCCAGCGTCGAGAGGATACACCGGTCTCTACCTCGTCGCTAGCCCCCGAGAGCACACCAGACGAGCAGCAGCCCATCGCCGGCAAGTGTAGCCAGGGGAGGTCTGGGCCCAAGAGCAAGAAGACCAAGGCCAAGCAGAAGATGGCGGCCGTCACGCCGACGCCGCCCTCCACCACCAACCGCATGCCGACCCTTTCAGGCGACGAGTTTCCAGAGCTCTCGGGCAGCGCGAGCAGCGGCCAGAAGGCGGCCCTGAGAGCCGCACAGCCTCCGCCCGTTGGCGCATGGGGGAAGAACCCACCCCGTGCGATCTGGGAGCCTGCCGGCACCCCTGCTGCCGCCGACATCTCACGAGAGGCCCCGCCTGCTCCTCCTGCAGAGGCGGCTGCTGGTCCTGCTGACCCGCAGCGTGAACGATCCCGCACGCCTCCTTCACAACAGCAGGAAGGGGCCGATGACGACAGTGGTGAGGATACCACAGACTTGAAATCGTACCCGGAGACGCTGGGACAGGGCGACGGGCGAAAGGGCGGCTAGAGCACAGGACGATTCTCTGCGATGCTTATCGGGTGTGATCGGAGACGGATGAGACAGGTGCAAGTTTTCTAACGAGACATGGTAGAGAACAGCGCCTGCGCAGTACGCAGACAGAACAGATTGATGAAACACGAAAATTGGTGGCGAATTAGATTAGATTGATGGCAGACAAAAGCTGTCGCTGAAGAAGGGGTCGATTTTCACTGGCAGGATACTTGGGGAGGGAAGGGTGGTTTGGAGATTGTTCTCCCCGAGGAGGCTGTACTTACTGACCGTAGTCACTCGTTTTCATACATAGCTTCCGAGATCCCATTCTGATCCTGACGACCCATGCTCATTTCCATGTCATGAGAAGCGCTTCGTGCAAGCCTTGTTCTGGTTCGCGTCTGTCCCGTCAGATCCGTCTTTTCACGTCGCACATGCATGGTGCCTCGATGCCTCACCATTCCAGGCTTGTGAAGATAGCATCGGCACAGCAACCGGGTGAAAGTAAGCAAGTCTATTCACATACAAGTCTCCGTAGTCGTATCAAACAGTTGGTCTAGGCAGTGCAGCGTCTTTGCTGTGCCATGCACGCACGCCATTTCATGCCGCGTGTTTTCATCCCCCGCCAATCCCTGCCCTCCGAGCTCTCTCCTTACCCCCTCTCACTCGAGTTGATATAGTCGTTTCTCGGGTCTATCATGCGGCCTCGTTCTTCACCAGCGTCGTCACGGCGTCCTCAATCTGCTTGTCCGTCAAGCCCTCGAGCGATTGGCTCTTCTCCTTGCCGAGGTCTGTAGGGGGTGAGAGTCAAGATGTTAGCCCTGGCGCTCAACGGCGTGTCCCCCTCTTTTCCCCTGAAATGTACTGCTAGACTGTGAACGCACCGTATCTCGCGTAGACCTTGGGCAGGGTGCCGGCCGCTTCGCGCAGCATGATCGGGGTGGTGGGGTTGTTCTTCTTCATGGTCGGGTAGGCGCGGGTGAGGAAGGACCTGCGTGGGACGACCTGTCAGCCCTTTGTCCAAGAAACCGCTCGCACATGCTCCTGCGCAACTCTCTCCCAGCACGTCCGGATCGTGGGCTGTATGGCCGGGCGGAGTACGGACCTCGTGGCGGCGCTCTGCTCGCCGGTCTGGCAGAACAGGAAGCGCACCTCCTTCAGGGCCTTGGTGAAAGCGTATTTGCTCGACATGATGGCAGGGAGGGTTGGGGGGGAAAGGAAACGAAGGAGGCGTCTGTCGTCGTCTCGGCGGAGCAGCGAGCAGTTCAATCCGTCCAGTCGGTCGGTCGGTCAGTCAGTCAGTCAGTCAGTCAGTCAAAGCTTGGGGATAGCTTTCGCAATCCGAGGGCGTCGATTGGTTTGGCAGCTGCGACGTTTTGGGGCGTCACTTCGGGGCCCTGGGTACGGGTGGAGTCTGGGGATGGAATGGCATATGATTGGACAATGGGGCTGGGAGAGGTGCCTCCTGCATAAATACTCGCCGTGCATAAGTTAAGTACATAAGTCCGCCCGTCATCGGTCACTGGCAACCGGGGCCCTCCTGAGTGCTTGACTGGTTGACTGCATGCAGTGTTTCAGTGGGGCATACTATGGTATGGTGCCCCTGTAGTCTTGCATAAATGGCTTCCTACAGCACGCTGGGACGTGCTGTGGGGGGAGAGCGATAAGCTGGCAACTGACTGGGCTTGCTGGGCTCCGGCTTCAAGATTGACTGGTGGACTGGGGACGCCCGCCCAAAATTTTTGGCTCTTGGGTGGGCTCCGACTTAAGTCCGGCCGCTATATCGGACTTCCCAATCAGTCAAATCCTATCGACCCGAATCCTATCTCAACCTCGAGTCGCCATCCCGCGCCAGCGCCAGCCTCAGCCTACAACCTCTCCCCTCTGCCCTCCACCCCACGAACGAGCGAGAGACAGACAGACAGAGAGAGAGGCCGATCGAGACGCCCGAGAAGACAAGACCCCGCTCGCCATCGCCGTCGCCGTCGCCGTCACCGCCACCATGCCCGCCACCACGACCCTCTTCCGCGCCGCCCGCCCGGCCTTCCAGTCGTCCGCCTTCGGCACCACCCGCGCCGCCTACTCGCGCGCCGCCTTCCGCAACTTCTCCCAGTCCGGCCGCCGCTACCAGGGCGGTGCCTCCTCCGCCGCCGGCGAGGGCGCCGCCCACCAGCAGCAGTCGTGGTTCTCGCGCATGTGGAACAGCCCCATCGGCTTCAAGACGGTGCACTTCTGGGCCCCCGTCATGAAGTGGGCGCTCGTCCTCGCCGGCGTCTCCGACTTTGCCCGCCCCGCCGAGAAGCTCAGTCTGACCCAGAACGGCGCCCTGACTGCCACCGGTCTGATCTGGACGAGATGGTGCTTCGTCATCACCCCCAAGAACTACCTGTAGGACTCCTCCCCCCCCTCTTCCTCCTCTCGTCCACACCTGTTCTTCTTATGCGCTCCGCCGTCTTCTTCTGTCTTGAGCCACGAGACAACGCCATGACAGACAGTGAGACCCTTGCTCAAGGACCACCATGTGCTAACGATCCCACCACCAACAGTCTCGCTGCCGTCAACTTCTTCCTGGGAATGGTTGGTATCGTCCAGGTCAGCCGTATCGCCATGTACCACCGCTCGCAGAAGAACGCTGGCGTCCTGCCCACCGCTGATGAGATCAAGGAGGAGGCCAAGGAGAAGGTCGAGGAGGTCAAGAACGCTGTCAAGTCGTAAGGCAAACTGCAACGGATGGCTGTATGCGTGTACTGGGGTCTGGATGTGGCTGCGCTTATCTCAGGAGAATACCCATGCCTTGGGAGGTTGGCCAACGCTTCAGCAGCATGGTAGGATACTCGAGACGAGTCCGGCCCATTGCCCATAGAGGCTTGGGTGTGGAAGTGTACCAGTAGTACTAATTGCGCTCAATATACCATGGTTCTTCATCACTCTGCTGATAGGCCCACGGCCATTCTCCTCTGCTCATGAACCATGCATGGCTTCCCTGTATGCGGCCGCTCGAGCGGGCGCATACTTGCGTTGACCTGATCTGCTGATAAAACGCGAGGGCGGACCATTCGCCAACAAGAGGCAGATCCGTGTGGCTACAGATGTCGCCGACTTCGCGTGTCATTGGCCGCTGTTACGATGCCCAAGGACGGACTGCTTATGCTCCACCCCCTATCCTCCTGGATTGCAGCATCTTAGCCGGCATATGTAATTGAGCACCGGCCACTGATGGCTTTCCAATTCTCTGTTTCAGGCACTGGTACCTCTTGGGCCCGGTTTTGCCCACAAGGCGTGCGTTGCGAGTTCAGCCATCTCTTATCTTGCTTCGCAAGTCGCGGTTGGATTGGTATACATGACGTCAAACGCCAGTTAGAATAGCGTACCGGTAGTCCGCGTTTCTTCGGCAGCTTTGGCATGACCAGTCAGGTTACACGGGCAATACCTGCCTCCAGCGCTGCCGGCTGTCATAATGCCTTGCCTTGCGCTAAAAGCAACAACAGCCAACGGGGTTGGAGAGAGGGGCATGCCCTCCATGAAATGTGCGGAAGATCTCACCTCATCATATGTAGCATGATCAATGAATGATCTGGAGACCATCAAAGGGCGTACGACCCCGCGCCCTCGGCCGCTTCGACGTTGCATTGGTGTCCGCGGTGCAATTATATACCGACTGCACCTCAACTCAATCTCTATAATGCAGAATCCTACCCCTCAAACCTCATAGAATCGTGCAATCTTCGAACCAGAAGAGAACTCCTGCAACAACGACGAAATAAGACCAGGAAACTCATGACTGTGTCGACCACGATGCTAGACTTGCTCAAGAACATGGGCTTCACGGACTGGGTCACCATGATCCTCGTCCCGGCTTTGCTCACGGTTTGTGTACCCAGATCACTGATGGCCGAGGGATAGCAGACTGAAGTTAAGATAGTTTGTTGTGAACCTCGTCTACAACTTATTTTTCCACCCCTTAGCCAAAGTTCCCGGGCCGTTCCTTGCCCGCGCCACTGGCATAGTCTCCTGGTATTATGCGCTCAGCGGCCGGCGACACCTCTGGATATGGCAGCAGTTCCAGATATACGGCTACCGAGTCCGCATACACCCCAACGCCGTGGTCTTCTGCGACCCCGAGTCGTATACCGACATCTACAGCACCAAGTCCAATGTGCGACGGAGCAAATTCTACACGGCATGGCGTCGTAATGACCGCGACAGAACCACACTCAACTCGATCGACGTTGCCGAGCACGCGCACAGGCGCAAGCTCCTTAACGTGTCTTTCACCGAAAAGTCGCTGCGGGCGGCCACCGGCTTTATCATCAAGCATGTGGACCGCTGGCACGCGCTCCTGGTAGATGAGAGTGGCTCGGACTGGTCTGCACCCGTGGATTTCGCCGAGACGGTAGATACGCTGGTCTTTGACATCATGGGAGACCTCTGTTTCGGTCGGTCATTTAATATCAAGGAACCTGGGGAGAATCCTTTGAAAGTCGTGCCCCATAACATTGCAAAGTATACTCAGTTTCAAAATCCGGTAAGCATTTATACCCTATCTTATGAATTCGACCATTCACAGGAGGTGTTCCCACTCACGGTTGTGTCCAGCTCGCCCGCTCCCCGTTTCTTGACTTTATAGTCTGGCTACAGCCTCGGGGTCTTGAACAAATTCTTGAAGTCGTTACCCCTCCTGCAGTGAAACAGTACTTCAAGTTTGTGCACGACAGCGTCACCGATCGCATTACCTTGCAGGCTGAGCAGGCTCAGAAGCCCGAGAGTGAGCGACGTCAAGATATGTTCTACTTCCTGTTCGAAGCTCGGGATCCGGACACAGGCCTCCCGGCTTACAAGGAGACCGACATCCGAGCCGAAGCCAACCTGCTTATCATCGCGGGCTCGGACACGACGGCAATCAGTCTGACTGGCATCATATTCTATCTTACTGGCAACCCGCGCCCATACGAAAAGCTCGTAAAAGAGATCCGGACCACATTTGCATCAGTGGAGGATATTGTACACGGACCGAAACTTCTAGGGTGCCAGTACCTCAAAGCCTGCATTGATGAGGGAATGCGTCTTACGCCGGTTGTACCCAGTGAGCTATCGCGTGAGGTGCTCCCGGGAGGCATCACAATCAAAGGGGAATACTACCCGCCGGGGACAATCGTCGGCTCCGCCAATTGGGCCAGCTCGCGCAACCCGGACGTCTACCCCGACGCGAACGTGTTCCGGCCTGAGCGCTGGATCGTCGACGAGGCGGCCGGCGTTACGAAGGCTGATGTGGCCCTGGTGCGGTCCAACTTCCACCCATTTGCCTCTGGGCCGGGCAACTGTGTCGGCAAGAACCTGGCCATGACCGAGCTTATGATCACCCTGGCCCGGACCCTGCACCGGATGGAAGTCAGGAGAGAGCCTGGGTCGACACAAGGCGCCGGCGCACCGGAGCTTGGATGGGGTGCCCGTGACGACAAGCAATTTCATCTGTACGATGCGTATATATCCCTTCGCCACGGACCTCGGGTGCAGTTCCGCAAGAGAACCGCCTGATACGTTTTTAGCCCACTCGCGGGGAGCACAACGCCATTGGCTGTGGTTGTATACGTCACAGTAGTTTTGATAAGACTTTGGTTGAAGATAAAGTTACGGGTCTGCGTGGTTTCTAGAAGTCGAGACGCCAAATTAGGAAGAGGTAGATAACAAGCGTAGTCAATGTGATGCACAAAGCCCTTCAGAATATCGCCTAGTTTACACACCCAATTCTCTTCAATCTCCCATGGCCTCTGTCTTCGTCGTTCCATCTTCAGTCGCCAGCGCCACATTTACTTTCTCAGGCCTCTGATGCGTGGGTTCTTCAATCTCTGCCTTCTGTCGCTTCCTCTCTTCAGCAACTCGTTTGATATTCAACCACTCCATAGAACAAGAGAATGGGAAGGCGAAACATGCTGCTGCAAGCGCGAGAATCAGCGGACTGCGAACAGCTTCAGAGTATGCAAGGCGGAGTTCATGGAGGATCTCCAAAGTAGGCGCAATCTTGCCCAGACCAGTAGCCCCAACGGCTATGACTTCGAAGGGGGACACAGCACTCGTATATGCCGGCACCGTTGTCGTAAGTTTGCTCAAGAGTAGGTTTTGGCCAATCCCCACGCCAATCGCCCTGCACGGAATAAGCATGGTGGGCGACACCTTTACATTGAATGGGAAGTACGAACCCGCCTAGTTGATAAGAGAACACTGCAATTGCTGCAACTGGTCAGTTTCAATATTCCAATTTTACTTTGGGGAGTTGCTGACCATTGCCTGTGGCGACATCGTTTGGCCTGTAAGCTGTGAGCGGCAACGCACAAATGGAGGGAGCCAGAGTATATACTCAAGAACAGCTTGCAACGCCGTATATGGAAGCTGTTGGGCCATCCCTATCCCTAATCCGTTTATGACCATATACGCGGCCCATTCCACAGTAGGAGTGGTTGTGTTGATCGTTATCAGAAGACCTGCACCAATGCTTGTAATCACAACACCAGCAATCATGTGTGGAACCTAGCTGAATAAGTTGAAGAGACTCTCCAAACATAGTATAAGAACTCACATAGTAACCCCATCGTGACACAACTGCCCCGGTGACCACCAATCCAGCAATTTGAGAGAGTACAAGAGCAATAAATCTCACGCCACTTTCCAGAGTGGATACACCCTGCGCAGATTGGAAATAGATAGGGAGGTAGTATGCGTACTGTAGGAATAGGCCTTATTAATACAGCTTCGGAAACGAGAGCGAAACCCCCGTGTCAAAGAGTTCGCTTACCGTTTGGCTTGACATTCCCAAAGAGAATAGGACCAATGCCCCCATGTATATAGAACGTTTTCGCAGTACTCGAAACGGAATGATAGCAAGATCAGCCTGTCTCCATTGCCAGAGACAGAAACAAAGCGAGAGCAGTCCGAAGCCTACAAAGAGACCTATGCATCTCGAATCCCCCCAAGGGTATGTTTGACCGCCCCACTGAAGTACGAGCAGTAAGCAACACACAGCACCGAGGAAGACCGTAGTGCCTACAGCATCTAGATGTTGCAATTTCTTGCTCAGAGTTAACCCTCGGTTATCTGAGTTGGTGGACTCTTCTATACGGACGAAGATCAAGATCGCAATGATGACGCAAGCCCCGATTGGGACATTACTGTATATTGGTTAGATTTTTGAGACACGCTTTGAGAGTGGAGTCTCACATCCAGAAACACCATCCTATGGTCAGTCAGCGATTTCGACAGTACGCCACGGAGTCTCGCTGCACTTACTCCAGCTGGCACGATCAGTGAGGGCACCACCGAGGATCGGCCCAACACAAACACTAATACCCAGGGAGCTCACAACCACTCCTTGGTACAGCGGTACCTTATCCAATTGAACAGCGAAACCGATGATAGCTAAAGCACCTTGCAGCAAGCCGGCCGCGCCGAATCCTAGAAACGCGCGTCCAAAGATAAGTACCGCTGACGATCGAGCTGATGCACAGATTACCGAGCCCACTACACTATGTCAGTCACAGCCGGTGTGTAGTCGGAAGCCTTGAATACATACCTTCGAACAATATCAGTGAAATCAAGTACGTCCGTTTCGCATCGAAATACTTGTAGAGATTGCCAAAGAAGGGTTGGAAAGCGGTTATGGTCAACAGATATGCTGAGCCGTACCAGGCAATGTCATTCAGTGACTGGAAGTCGGTTGTGATGCGAGGAATGGCGACTCCGATGATATTCATGTCCAGTCCAAGTAGAAATATGCCGAGACACAAGGAGGTAATCACCACGGCCAACCGCCATGACCGAAGATATGCATGTATCTGCGTAGAGTGGTCAAGTTCTTGCGCGTCTACAGCCATTTGAATGTGATCTTGGATCTCAGTTGCAGTCAGCAGCGGTAGTCAAACAATGATGCCCTCATGAAAATTGCACCGGCAGAGCTAACCATCGCGCAATTGAACTGGAGAAGTTGTAATATTGTTGCATCCAGCGCTTCTAACAAAAGGTGCTTTAAAGTGCACTTTGTTTGCGAAGGGGCACAGTTAGTCTGTGCGGAACGACGTGGGTCAACTGACTTGGCCAATGAGCTACTACTATGTCTCCCTTACTTGCTATGTAACCTGTTGGTTCCAGGGAGATTTGAGGTGCAGGATTTGAGGCGAGAGTGGCTCAATCCTTCCCTCCCCACCCCAACTAACATAGGCACGCAAGTAATTAATCTTTGCGGATGATCTCCGGGTTGTTTGTAACAAGCTGTCTAAGCCCCAACCGGACCAATTTATGCTTGTGGTAGAACTCGCAGTGCACCCAATACTGGCTCCCGCTATAAGGCTTTTAGCGAGCTACATTGTGATACAACAAGTTGGCCAGCCTGGATGCTGTGCGCAACTTGCATGGTTTCCACCATGCAGCAACACCACTGATTGAATACCAAATGGTCACATACGAGTGTGGCCAAGCGCACATTAATATCCAGTGGACTGGTGCTAATGCGATGCCAGTTCGAGAAACTAGCGACTACAGCTGGCTATATCTAAGGGAGAGAAGACCACTGAAAGAAGAGGAGTCGATACATTGGGGGCCAGAACACGGAACCTGGACTAGGTGGACATTTCCAAATCAGCTCATTGCGATTGAAAACACTTCGATTCATAGTAGCAGAGTTAAGAAGCAGAGGGGTCACTTGCCAGGGCTTGGCGATGTTCACCGCTTTGCTTACGTAGGTACATACGCATACTGCCTTCAACATTACATTATAACCTGGTCCATCACGCGAACCAACCAATAGGATACTCTGGAACTTTCTCTATCTAATGCATGTATCTGTAAAAGTGAATGGCAGTGTTATGAGCGTGACACTGTCCAACGTCGCACCTGGTATTATGTCCCTGCTCTTTATCCTTGAAAGACCAACAACCAACCTCACTTATCCGGCAGTCTTTCCTCTTAATTCTTGTTAATCCATCTCATCACTTGTGTCTTATTTCTTCATAAGCTCAAACACAGCAACGCAGAAGTGTCCTTGTCTAGACCTACCTTCGCTAGAAATCATGACTACGGCTCCAGAGTCCCGCGATGCCTGGTACTACCCCCCTGATGTTGCTCACGACCTCGATGGTGACACCCATCTTGCTGAAGCGCAGAAGAAGGAGATCATTGCCTGCGCGTATGAATATACACGCTGCGTGATACCCCATTACACGAACTGGAAGCGATATGTCGGCTTCGTCCGCTGTATGATTATAGGTATCATTGCCGAGTGTAGGGGCGACCTAATAGACGAAAATGGAGGGGATAACATATTCGGTTACTCGCTTGATGGTGTGCTGGCGGAGCTCTTTGAGGGCACCCCAGGCCATGCCCTTATGGCTCGAGAGTACAAGTCATTTCTGATTCCCGCGGCGGATAAGTCTAGCCAGCGACGAAACGGCGAGTTATTCCGGCGCTATGTCAATGCGCTCGCCTCTTCACCTCGCACTTGGTTTCGTATGCGCGATTGTGATGCCCTTTCGCGCTTCACTATTTTCTCGGCCCTAGCCTGTAACGATATAGATACCGTGCCGACGGACGACGAGTGCGAGCTGCTGAGCGAGGTTGGCATTTATTTGTACGACGCCGTAGCCTTCTACAAGCACCGAAGCGAGGGCGAGACAAACAATACCTTTGCCTATGTGCCGTGGGATATGCGCATCGAGAGCTTCCGCGTTGCCCGCGAGATACTGTGGGCGTTGGACGCATACTATGTCCGTCGCCCCGAAGGACCTATCTTGATAAACTTCGTGCGCATCGTCGGTGGGCCTGTGCATATGATGATGCGTCGCTACCGTTTCGTCGAGGAGGAGTGTACCATCGGTAGGGTTGAGACGGATGATATTATCGAGCTGGCCCGCCGCAAGGTCAAGCTTTGGAATCGTGTCGACGTGGCAACACCGCTGCTTGAAAATGAGAAGAGTGTTCTTAGTGAGACGCCCGGGGTTGAGCGCTATAGGAATTTGCTGGCGCGCGGCGAGGAGTGGATGTTCCCTGGACTTCCAGAATACCTTGAGCGCGGCGGACAATGTGAACGTTGTGTTCATCGCTCCTCTTATGGGTCCGAGATCAGACATACTTTCGGTGGGGTACGCTTATGCCAAGAGTGCAGTGAGACGTTCCGCGCGTAGTAAGTCGATTTAGTAAAGTTTGCTGGTGTAGAAAATCACTAATTTGAGACAGTGTTGGCAAGCTGCCTGAAAGAGTTCGAGCTGTCTACCCTGAAATCATCCTCAAAACACCATCGCAGCAGATCATCAACAAGAGGGATACCAATACAAGCCCACATGGTATATAATGGGCAATCACGACGAAAAAAGTGGTTGTGGCGCTCTCAGCACTCGGTAAAGGTGTGACACAGTCTTTAACATTGCTGTGGCTTTGAATTCATACACAGGAGCTGTAGCCCTTTATAATTCAAAATCTCCACTGCCATTTTCCAGAGTACTCTCCTTTATCCCAAGCATGCCCTGGAGTCTTATGAAACAGACACAAAGCTCTTTTGCATAGCCAGATCCACATCTCCTAGCCATCGATCTCTGGGATGAACTGATCCAGCGATGGAAATATTTTTACATTCGAATGCATCAAATATGCTTGCACGACCACAAGCACCTCATTATTGTTACTCTCGAACATTGAACCTATAATTCTCAGGCCTCCTCTATTCGGTATGATTAAGCTTTGATACTGCAGCGGACTTTGAATGGCAGATCAACGGAATTTGACATCGTTCAATGCACGACTGTAGTACACACTTCATCCACAGAGAGCATATTTTCAAGACTAGAAGATAGAACTTGAACTTCGCAAATCTGCCGATTGGCCGCAATATCGTGCGCTCCAGTCAAATGGAGCTATCTCTTCCTCCAAACCAAAGGCGCCCTATCCGGGTGCAACATCTGCAATAGAAGGACTTGTGCGGAGTCCGTCTCAATCAAGTGCAAAACTCTCTTCCGTGCATCCTCCAAGATCTCTCCACTCTGTACGACTGGATCGACCTTCCATTTTCGAATCAGGCCTGCGATGGTAGCTACTGACTCAACCTGAGAGAACTTCTTTCCCGGACACGAACGGTCGCCCTCAGACCAGGCAATGAAGGTCCCACGTTGCGGCGGAATAATCTCTTCCTGGCTCATGTCATTTGTAGCTGCCGGTAGGTCAGAACTCTTGATCCAGCGAGCTGGGTGCCAGTTTAGAGAGTCTGAGCCCCAGTATGCTGGGTGGGTGTGCAAGGCCGCATAGCTAGGGATGACCATGGTGTTTGCGGGAACTGTGATCGTTTGTTCGCCAATCTCTAGTGACTGAACCCTGTCGCCGGTCCATTTAGCTACAGGTACAGGCGTATATAGTCGTACAGTTTCCATGAGAACAGATAGGCAACGTTTCAACCGCGGAAAGTCCACCTCGTAATTCCACTCTTCGACCGGTCGGTCGCCAAAAACAAGGTCTACCTCTTCGAAAACCCAATCCTGGACTGAAGGGTTGACAGCCAAGTACATAATGGCGAAAGTGAGTGTGTGAGTCGTGGTATCGTGGCCGGCAAAATTGAACACGAACATGTTTCCAAATATTTCTGATTCGGTAAGCCCGTTCGAAGTCTTTGCTTCTGAAGCAGACTCTCGTACTAGCGATGCCATCAAAGTACGGTCTCTGGATTTGGCGTCAGAGAAATAGTTTTTTTCGGTTTCATAAAGCTCTGTCAAGTAAGCTTGGAATGATTGACAGGCTTCATGAACTCGTCGCAACCTCAGGGGCAGCCACGGATTGGAAAGAAACTTGGTACCCAATGCCATAATGAGCACACAGTTATCCAAAACGATTTGGAGCGACTCTTTATAATTCGTAGCCAGTTCATTAGCCGACTTCTCATCGTGACCCTGGAATTCGAATGACCTGCCAAATCCGGCCCGAGACAGCACATGGAGTGAAAGTGTCCTGGTATCGTCTGCAGTGCTTTTCACAGCAGACTTCGATGCCCAGTAGTCACCCATCGCAGTTGCCTGAGACAGAGCTTCGGCCCAGACAATCGCGTTGTTCTGCTCATTAAAGCACGTTGCCGTGATCTTTCGTTGCTTCTTCCATTGTGCGCCATCAACCTGGAGAAACGGAGTTAGTGATTGAAGCAAGACATATTTGAAACATACCGTAGACAGGTTGGGCCCAAAAATATTTAGAAGTGCTGTCTAAGTCAGTAAATCGTCGCATAATATCAGCACCTGCTTAGTCCCAAGAAAAAGGGTAGGTACCAAATATTTCGAGCGGTCGTGGGAAATCGCTCCTTCGTCGGAATATCTCAAGTATGCTACGTGGATTACAGATGTATAGCCAGTTCTTCCCCGGGGTTACCTGCATGTAGACGTCCCCCATCTCGAGATGCGATCGACACTTGTCCTCAATTTCCCAGCCTCGCCAGTTGTACCTGGTGAAATTGCTACGACCAAAGGGCAGCAATTTGAAAAAGGAGATAACAGCTTTGTCCACTATCATCCAGAATGGATTGCCATGACTGATGGGTAAAATCCGTATCGGGATACCAACTTTGCGAGCAGTCAGATAGTTTTGCAGCAGGCAAGTCCATGAGTATAATGCCCAAGCTACGACCAACGATACAGCGGACCAAGATAAAAGTCCAACCAGAGTCATGATGCTGCTGAGTAGGCAAAAATGATACAATTCCTGTGGAGTTCTAGCGGGAGGAATAGAGGGCTCACAACCGGGAATTGGGTTGAGGCTAAAGCAATGCGGCTCGAAAAACCCAGAAGACATGAGAACGGGGGGCAGGTGGGCATTGGTGGCTGGAGGGAGCCCGGCGGAAACCGCGAGAAACGTTGGCAGGCTGAACCAACATGTGGATGAAACCCTGCCTGTGAAAGTGTTGGTCGGGACTGCAGATATTGTTACTTTGTCGTCGATATTGCAGGGCACCCACACACATTGGCAATGTCAATTGCCTCATTAACCGAATACGTGTGACAGGACCATTTCAATGGACCTTTGTTGTTATTCTGGGATCCGCATTATGTATGGATCGTGACTTGCATTGGTACTGTAGCCCTGAAGAAGCCCGGTGTCCGAGACGGTCTGAAAGAATTGCGGCACGGACCCTTAGTACCCAGTAACATTCTGAGCACCCCTGTACCTCAGTTCAAAGTTGACAAACTGACAACAATCTTTCATTTGATTAAGCTCATAAATGACCACAAGCAGATGCATTCACCAATGCCATGCCAATCATGCGTATGACTGGTTACGTTATGACCCTACCAAAGGATTAATCCAGCAAAACCAGGGGCGACATGAATGCTGATCTAGAAGTCAGCGAGTACACACTTTGAATGCGTAGTGTTCAGACATGGGCCCACAGACTGATGGACAAGTGGACTTATACGAACGTCCTCGGCGTACTTAAGTTATCTATATGTATATCTTTCAGCCACATAAACGCGATCTTTCAATTGATATATCATATTGGGAGTAACGGGCTGTATTAATGAAAGCTATTGCACCGTGGATCTCTTGCTGGAACCATTGGAAAGCTCCCATGAAAGTCCTTAGGCAAGCTCGCTAGCTTCGACTACAGTGAAGCATATATTATAAACAAAGGTGAAAAAAAGAAAAGTAGTGTGAAAAAATTTGGTAATGCATTTCTCCTTCACCGTGATCCCTCACATTGTTTTATGACAGGCTTTTTGATGAATCAAACGGTATAATGATATCTATGAACGTGCGACCCTGTATGTACTACCGGCGGTCGTTGAGATCGGACCAGTGTAAGAAATACCATTAACTGAAAAGGTACTACCACTGGCAACACGCAAGGCTAGTTGCCCTCCATTGTTGGACGTAATATTGGCACTACTGAGCCCACCACTGGACCAACTGATGTCCACCACAAAGCCTCCGCGAGCTACGAGTCCGGTAACCGATCCTGTGGGGATGGCTGGTGGCAAGGCCGGCAACAAATGGACGACATTATGACTTTGAAGTAACATTTCAGCGATTCCCGAGGTGAACCCGAAGTTTCCATCAATCTGGAAAGAGGTGCCGGGACCATTATCGGTATTCCATAGATTGGGCGAAGGATACTTTTGAATGAACGCGACTGCATTATTCCAAACCGAGGTACCGTCGAGCAGACGAGCATATAGGTTCATCACCCAGGTCCGGCCCCAGCCAGTGCTGCCAGCACCGTTCGACATACGATGATCCAGGAGTTTCTTGGCGGCTGCGGAGTTTGTGGACGAGTTCAACGGTGTAAAGCCCGACCCGGGGAACAGAGCCCAGATTGGAGACATATGGCGATGACCGGGCTCAGCTTCGCCGTATTCCTGGCGCCATTCGAGTATTTGGCCGTAGGATCCCGTTGACGGTGGCCTGATCTTGGACAAATAGCCTTGAGCTTGAGTCAAGTCTGAGCCTGTTATTCCCAAAATCTGGCAAGTCTGAATAACAGCCAGGAATAGTTCCGTAAGCAGTGAGTTGTCCATTTGGGGGCTGATGTCAATGCCCTCTCCCTTTCCTGCCGTGGACATCCCTGATGGAACGATGAAGGTGTTTTCGGGGGACAAAGATGGCCCAGTAGTCATGTAGCCGTTCCAGTTGAAAAGATAGCAATAGTAGAAGTTCGCGGCACTCTGAAGGACGGGCCAAGCACGTGTCTGTAGGAACGTACGGTTTCCGGTGAAACGGTAGTGTTCCATATAGTGCAGTGCCATCCAAGCACCACCCATGGGCCACATCATGTACGGAGTTCCGTAATCAGTCGGTGCTGCATCTCCCCACAGATCGAGGTTGTGATGCAAGACAAATCCATTGTTTGTACATCCGTACATTACCTGGGCCATAGCCTGCCCCCGACCTTTGGCAAGATCGATCAGATCAAAGAGCGGTTTATGTGTTTCTTGCAGATTTGTAACTTCTGCGGGCCAGTAATTCATTTCTATATTGATGTTGATCTAAATAATAGGTTAGCTGTGTCATCTGGCAACATGCAGTCGAGCAGACTCACTGTGTATTTGCTTCCCCATGCCGGGCCGAAGTCTTTGTTCCAGATGGCTTGCAGATTCGCTGGGAGGGAAAGACTGCCGGTGTCCCGAGATGATGCAATCAAACAATGACGCCCGAAGTTGAACAGCAAAGTGGCAAGTTGTGGATCAGCATTCGGATTATTTTTATAATTGCTAAGCCGCGTTGGGGTGTTAGAGTTTCCAGCCGTACCTGAAGATCCCAGGTTAAGTTTGACCCTTCCGCTAAGGCCGGTGTTGTCAGTGATGGCAGCGCTTCGGACTGCATCATAACCTGCGGAGACCGCTGCGTTAAGCTTGCGATTAAGCTCGGCTTCCGCAGCACTCTGGGATGAGTACCGGTAGGTAGTTTCTGCGTTGAGAAATACGTCTACAGTTGTCGCTCCGGTTACCCTGATAGAAGAACCAGAAACACTCACAGAGCCAGAACTCGTGACAATCCGGGCAGTAGATGAAAATGCGATAGCACCGGAGCTTTGGCCACTGTTGCCACTAAGGTGCACTTCGTAAATGCCACTCGAAGATGAAGCGGTGTTGGAGAGTGTATATTGACTTCTGGACATCGAGAGCGTGACATCCAACTTCCCGGCAGTCTGTGCTTTGAATCGCATAGCAAGAACTCCATGAGGGTAACTGGCCACATACTCGCGCCTGACTATCTTGTCATTACACTCATAGTCGACTTGATTTTTGTTTCAGACGATCGACTTACGTATAGTTCACATTGTTGTAGACATAGCTCACGAATGCTGTACCTTGGTATGTGTCAAGATAACGGAAGTAGTTTGTCCTTCCAGTCGCATGGCCAAAGGAGATGGTCATGTCGCCAAGGGGGTTGTACGCCCTCGGAGACGTAGGGTTGCCGGCCATATTTGACAAGACGCTCGAGCCAGCCGCGGTGATCTGTCCACTGGTGAGCTGATTGCGAATTGAACTGAGTGCATTCTTCGAGTTGCGGTTGGCACGATCCTGCCATGGTCCACTCCAGATCGAATTCTCGTTGATAGAGACCTTCTCATCTATTGTTCCGTAAATAGCAGCAGCTAGTCGGCCATTTCCGACAGGTAGAGTAGATGCATAGTCGGAACCAGCATCAGAAGTATACCACGCAAATCGTGACGCGTCCCATTGAGCTCGACAGGGCGAGAACAACACGAATGCGACAACCGTAGTCAGCTTAACGAACCACATGGTGTTTAACATGGATATTGTCGCACAACTTCAATATTGTGACCGATCTACGGAGTCTTCAGTTCGCAAGCTTCGGCATGGGAACCAGCTCGTGGGAATTGGATCGACTATATATCAAACAGAAACAACCCTATTGGCTCGCGTATCTAAATTCATTGATTCTTTCGAGGACGTAATAGAGTTGCAAGATTGCCGTTCAACCATAGAGATCTCGCTTAACTTCCCTGCCATTACTGCTAAGTTTCTGGAAGCGCTTCCGCCCGATTCGTGGGAATTTCATCGTGTCGCAATGAGTGCGACCCGCTAATGGTTACATTGAATCGAACGCTAGTGCTACCTTTTCTGTCGAGTTTACGGGGATGAGCCTCACATTCTAGGAGCTTTTCAGACATATATCAAGCCATCGGAGCACGGCGGCGAGCTTCTTGGTTCGGAACGGAGCGAACTATCCCTTGGTGGCAATGAAGGCAGCCTATAAATGCTATCACAAGATACACGATTGGCCCAACGCCGCTGTAGTTGTCGATTGACACGCCCGGCCACCATCCTAGGTAACATGGTCACAGTACTCTCAAAGTTGATCGCCTTTGCGAGCCTCGTGGCTTGTGGCGGCGCTCAAACGGCCATCACAATCGACGCCTCCACGAGTTACCAGACCATTGACGGATTTGGCTTCTCTCAAGCCTTCGGACGCGCCAACGAGTTCAAGAATGCCCCGTCGGCGACCCAGAAGAAAGCCCTTGATTACCTGTTCAGCACCAGCACCGGGGCTGGATTCTCCATTATTCGCAATCGCATAGGGTCCGGTGGCTCAGGAGACAGCATCCTGCCCACCAGTCCAGGGTCCCCTTCCAACACCCCAAAATACGTCTGGGATGGCAATGATTCGGGTCAATTCTGGTTTACGCAACAGGCAATAAGCTATGGTGTGAAGACCATCTATGCCGATGCATGGAGTGCGCCCGGGTTCATGAAGACGAGCGGAAGTGATTCAACGGTTGGGTTCGTCTGCTTCCCCTATGTCGTGTCTATGAGAGATCGTCTGCTAAGACCGGCGTAATAGCTACCTATGCGGCACAACTGGACATAGTTGCAGCACAGGCGACTGGAAACAGGCGTATGCTAACTTCTTGGTACAATATGTGAAATACTATGCCGCACAGGGTATTACAGTAACGCATGTCGGCCCTCTGAACGAACCGGACTGGACTGTGTCGTATTCTCAAATGCAAATCAGCTCCGATGCCCATGAGGCAATTGAGTTCATTCCTGTCTTGTACAATGCTGTCAAGAGTGCCGGCTTGTCTACTAAGATTGTCTGCTGTGACTTCTTAGGCTGGGGAAACGCTGCCACATACACTTCTAAGCTGGTCAGTGGAGGCTCGACACAGTACTTGGGCATCATTTCATCCCACGCGTACTCGGGTGACGCCACGACTCCGATAACGTCTACCAATCTGCCCAAATGGAACACAGAGGCTGGCCCCGGAAGCGCCTTCACCACGACGTGGTACGGCAGTGGCGCGGATAACGAAGGCTTCACGTGGGCTAATAAGCTTGCAAATGCTATGGTCAAGGCTCAACTGTCTGCATATCTTTTCTGGGAAGGCTTCGAGATCCAGGAGACACAGTCAGGCTCGCATCTTGTTGACGCCACTGACGGAACTAACCCCGTCCCTTCTGGCATTTTCTGGGCCTTTGCCATGTGGTCCCGTCACATCCGGCCTGGTGCGGTGCGGATCGGCACGTCAGGCAGTTTGAGCAGCACCACAATTGGTGCTTTCAAGAATAAAGATGGGAGCGTTGTTGTGGTGTTCACCAACGCCGGTACCAGTGCACAAAGTGCAGCGATGGCGTTTTCGGGCTTTACCCCGACTGCGGCCAGTGCTTGGCAAACAAATCAGGGGAGCACATTTGCCAGTACAACGGCTAGTCTGTCCGGAGGGAAGGTCACAGTCAGTGTGCCTGCGCGTGGTGTAGTGACGGTGAAGCTGACGGGTGGTGCATCATCGGGGACGACCACTCTAATCACGACCTCCAGTGCAACGACCGCGGTCACTACTAGCACTTCAGTCCGACCTACCACGACGTCTGGGGGTGGAGATAGCTGCTCTGTCGCGAAATATGGCCAGTGTGGCGGCAGTGGGTACTCTGGTTGCACGACGTGTACCAATGGGAGCACTTGCACGTACAGTAATGATTATTACTCTCAGTGCCTGTAAGGTGGAAGTTGAGTTTTGAACGGGTGCACATGAGGCGAGTAGCGGGCATTGTATCCTGTTGCATCACATATTTTAAATCACACCGCGATGTGCTATATTACGGCAAATATAGTATACTCAATCTATCCAGGTGCATGGTGTAGCACCATCCCGCTGAAAGCAGCGTCCGAGATGCCCTAGTTACATCAGTGAACGGTACGATCCAGGCTATGCGCTTTCTCTATATAGAGGTGCCAAGATTTCATGCAGCTGTGTCTCGCTTATCCCAGAATGCTTGCCGAGAGGTGTTAAGCCGGTCTGTTAGCTAATCGGGGGAATCAACAGCACCAAGTGCCGTTTTGTATCTGCCGAGAGGGTGCAAGTGAGTCAAGTTCCAACGTGGGGACTGTGGTCATTGTGCTTCAGTGGTATGCGCCGGGATATTCATCCCAGGGGTATCCACGAATTGGGCAGGCGAATAACCAAAGCCCGCATCCTCCTCGAAAAACTCAAAGCGGACTTGAGGATAAAGTGTCACAAGGATTCACGAGATTCAACTTACCATTCCGTAGATACTATGCATGATCTGCATATTGAATCATGGAGCTTACCCAATACCACGGGTGACCCCAAGTCGATCGAACAGTGCCAAGATGAGACCAGACCCACCCGCACACTCTCACGGCTCCTACCTGCCCAGAGGTTGGCGGAAACCTACAAACGCCTTACCGCTCGAGTTTTCGAGCCCACCCACGATTCAGTTACTATTGGTGCGGTACGAGAATGTGAAGTAAGGTCTACTTAGCGGCGAGCCGATATTGCAGGGAAGCGTCCTCAGTAGTCAGGACGGAAGGGTGGGGCGATGATTCACGCCAATGATACTGTGTGCCCGGCCCTTGAAGCTCCGTGGTCTTTTCCTTGATTCCTGCCATTCGGCCAATGAGCTTGTTTCGCGATTGGCGCCGACCACCACTATTTGGTGCCTTGTTGCGCTCAACTAGTACAACGATGATACGAGTATCGTGGACCACCATAGAGAGGATAATACCCAGAATAGACTGCACTGTCCTGGGGGCAAGACGAATGAATTTCAGCTAAGAATTATCATAGTCTCAGCTGAAGTGAGATTTGGGTGACAGACATGGAGGTCAATAACGGGCTGTCGTTCTTCTCCTTGAACTGAGCCCATGAAGATACATCTGATGACACCACTGCCAATCGGCCGGATTCATTATTTCGAGCTTTGCGCTTCGGACTGGGGAGGAGTAAGACTGACAGCAGAGTATTCGAGAGGACGTTTAACTGAATCGTCTCTTCGTGTTTCGTCAACGGGGATAACTCGTGCTTCTGTTTCATTATACCGGCGTTGAGAATCGCAATGTTCAGACGTGGAAGTGTCTTTGCACGCTCCGCAAAAGCTGTTGTCGAGTCGTATGATTGTAGGTCCAATTTCCGGACTTCGATAGCACCATCATCGAGGCGTCGACCAGAGGATAGCCTGGCGCAGGCGTGCTGGCCTTTCTGCTCGTCGCGCACCGCGAGAATGAGCTTCGTCAACTTGAGGTCCAGCAGTTGACGGGCGCACTCTGTCACGATGGCCGTCTTGTCTTGGAGGCCCACAACGTGTATTGTCCCCCTGCCTGTGAGTGCAATGAAAACGCGATGCCTGATAGAAACGGACTGCGCACCTTTGAGTAGACAGCATCGGGCAGTTTGACAGCCTTGCAGCAAGCCGAGCACGCTGTGAATGGTTCCTATGCGATTCCACTTGCTTTGCTAAGATATTGGAAGACCAGACTTCAGGCTCTAACAAGTAGCGGTCGTCCGTATTTCATTGTTATGATTGCTTTCGTCATGTCGCTTTGTTTCCATATGGATTCGTCTGGTTATCCCAAGAATGTCTAAAATATGGAGACAAAGATAGCATGATGGTATTATGACACGAGACTTTGACTAATCTACTGGTTGAGCACCGCTATGGAAGGGTAGCTCATTATATTCTATACAGCTCGTCACACCTACATCACTTCGCTGAGAAAAGCAGACCGCATGTCATGGTCCCAAAGGTGACATCTCACATCAATCAGAGCATATCCGAAGGAAAAGTCTTATAGGAGTCATGCGATTATGCCATCAGACGAGCTTGGAGGCTCACCTTTGACTGAGGCAAAACTTCGCAAAGCCCTTTTCGAACTGGCAGAGGATGTTAGTGATCCGGATGAGCACCCATTTGGTTTAGACACAGAGCCTGTCAGCTCGTTGTACGAGAGCATTGGGGAATATCGCAAGGGCGGCCATCACCCTATAGATATCGGAGATATTCTAAACGATCGGTACCAAGTCTTCAATAAGCTAGGCGATGGGGGCTATGGCATTGTATGGCTATGCTTCGATCAGAAAACGGATCTATGGCGCGCAGTCAAGATACTCAGAGCCGACCAGTCCAATCCAGAAAGCCAGGAACTAAAATTTTGGAATGAATTCGCCGCGGAGGATCAGCCTGCTTTTGCACCACCCATTGAGTACTTTTGGGTCGATGGACCCAATGGTCGTCATCTCTGCTTTGTCTTCGTTTTATCGGGACCGCATCTTCAGCAGGTTCAGGGAACAGCTGACTTGGAATCAATGAAGAAAGCATTTCGTCGTGCGACAGAGGCACTCAGTTATCTTCATAACAAAGGATTCTGCCATAGCGATTTCACTATTTCAAATATCCTCCATAAGATCCATGGCCTCGACACCATGAGCAAGGGCGACATGATGGAAACCATTGGTCCGCCCAAAAGGGACGCTTTTGAAGTGGTTAGTGGCTGCAAACCAACTCGAAGGCAACCGAAGCATCTGATCTGGCGACTGGACTGTAGAGCATTCCGTCCGTTCATCGTTCCTGGTGAAGTAGTCGTGGTGGACTTCGGAGGCGCTTTCAGGGTGTCAGATCCGCCAGAGACATTCATCGGGATCCCGATCAATAATATGGCGCCAGAGTTGTTCTTTGGTATGGCGCCTAGTCCAGCTAGCGACATGTGGGCCCTTGCTTGCAACATTATGGCTTTATATGGAGCACCTTACTTTGGGAAAGAAGAAAATGACGTATTAGATCAGAATTTTCGATGCAATACGAGCGGCAGTGTGCTAGACGATATGGAGCGCTGCCTGGGCGCTCTGCCTTCAAAGTTCAGAGACGCATATGATGAGAGCCATCAAGGGTTCCAACCAGCAGCACGGGATCCCGGTGGCAGGCTGATGTGGTGTCTTGGCAACAGAGACCCAAAGGCTTTGAGAAGATGGCGAAGGGCAGAAGCCAGGAGAACAGGTTGCGATGATCCGTTCGAGGGCCGGTTACTGGAAAGCCTCGGACGCTTCAACATCTCTGGCTCTGAGTTTCACAATCTACTGGATCTGCTTAGGAACATGCTGAAAATGGACCCGGATGATAGGTATGATGCCCCACGGGTTCTAGGGCATCCCTTCTTTTCTTCGTTAGACGAGGGAAACCGGTCTCCATTTTCCACAGTGGCTTCAAGTGCATTCTTGAGCGAGACATCGTCATCCCGAGCGTTGGCTGCATCTCCCAAGTCAACAATTAAGCCTGAGAACTTGAGAGCGACACCGAGACCACGCAAACCTGTGCTACCGGAAGTGTCTTCTAAGAGAGGGCGTGGGATGCATTATATGCATTTGGGTGTTCCAAACACACCAGACTGTAAGCAGTTTACTGAGGGAATGAGGGAAACTTTGGACGGCAAGGAGAATCCGCAGCTAGAGTCCCCGCGTCGTGTGGCTTATAAAAGTGTTTCAACTCAGACAAGTCTACCGGACGGGGCCAAACTACAGATACCGGTGCAAGTTACAGTATCACCCACGATGCATACAAGACGTATGGTTGGTCTTAGGGACATTTACGTGCTCATCATCGGGTCCTTGTTCACTTCGCTGTTTTGGGCTATCTGCATTATACTTTTCCTTCTCCAAAACATGGGCATTGAATCACTCAGAGGAGTTTACACGTGGAAATTGAGTATTCATCTTCTTACCCAGCAATCTTCGCCGTTAGTCATCTCATCGCATTGAATGGTTCTTGGAAATCAAACAAATAAAGAGCGAGCGACTACCATCCGGACGACGGATGAAAGCATTCCGGATTACGCTTTGGACTTGTATGGACAGGAACGCCCATCTCGTTACACAGGACCCTGACCCTGGAATCCAGTTGAGATTTCGACATCTCCATACGCGCAGACACACAGTAAGAGCACGAATTTGGATGTACCAGCTTCTCGAAATCCGACGGCCACAGAACTCGAAACCATGGTGGCCTATTGATAATAGTAAATATCAGTTATTATATTCATTCTATCATCAGAATAGTGACCGGGTACAATAGAATGGCAGACGCTGATATCGATATTTACACATAATGAAGTATGCACAAAGCTAATCCTTATTACGCTTTGAGCTCATGGGCGGCTCGGATTACTATATTGCGAATTTATCGACAGTTCATTAAAGTAGTTCACAAAAATTTTATCACGATATGTGAAGATGCTCAATGTTTCCACAGCAGATTATCCAGGAAGCAAGTACTCTCCTCAACGCCCTCTTCCCACAGTGGGGCCAGGCTAGCCACGAACTCCTATCCAGACACCACCAGATCTTTCACACAACTGCACCATTTGCAAGTCCACCCCGTTCAGATCTCAGCGGGTTTATTTACTGGAAAGAGCAGCTCTTTGAACTACACGAAGAGATCCGCCTTGCCCATGCCGAGACCTGGCGGCAACTGTGGCTCGACAGACGCAACCCCCACTAGTATTACACTTTCTGGATTGCCCTAGTAGTACCTGTAATATCTATCGTACCGTGTATAGCATCGGTAATACAGGCCTGGGCATCAGTCAAAGGATTACATCTGCAGCTGGCGTCACAAGGCGTGATATGTTACGTAGTAAATTGGCCGTGGTGGGAGAAGTCATGGACGGCTCACAACAATTTCATCTATAGATGTAGCATACTGTTGGACCGTACATATCTTGCAAGTCATATGCAGCCTACGCTTGATCATGAAGTTGACGTTAGTGAGTCGATTATATCATAACTTAAGATCTACTACAACTAGCCATAAAGTCTTCTCCGCTATGGCCAACGTGGCCGGCCCCTTCAATTCCAACTCAGCCAGATTGGTTCTAAGAATACCAAGCTGGGCTTCCGCGCTCTCGTCCTTACCTGAGGCCACCAGCTGCAAAAAGCGGTCCGTGGACATCCCGACCAGCTGACTAAGCTCGCTGGTGTCCATGAGCTGCGCCTGCAGGTTGCGAGCATTGAACCAATCCTTGTTCGCGACCGCCGTGTACGCCACCGCTCTCTCCCGAGCCGTCTGCGGCTTGCGGGCTACGGCGCTGGCAGTGGACGCCGGGAGGCTGGTGATGGCACCCACGGCACCGAACGCAGTCGCCACGGGTAAGCTGATGGCGCCGCCGATGACGCCAAAGGCTGCCCCAATAATGTTTCCCTTCTTGGCGTTGCCAGCGATCTCGCGGCCAATAGACTTGGCGTGCGTTGCGACATTCTTGCCGAAGCGCTTCGGGACATTGCCAACGTGTCGGCCGATATCCGCGGCGTGGCTGATGGCACGGTCCGAGACCTTTGCCGTCAGGAAGGCCGACAAGGTGTCCAGGAACGACCCCCAACTCTGGTCGGGGATCCCATGCCTCAAGAGCGAAGGCGAGTATGCTGGAAGGAACGGTGCCGCCGCATCGGGCCAAAGCTGTGGAATAGCGATGGGCTTTGGAATGGGAGCGGACGAAGACTCTGTATAGGCCGGAGCTGGGACGTCTGTGGGAAAGTCGAAAGGGTCCGCCACAGTGGGACCCTGCGCCGAGGCCCCGGTCTGCCCAGCGTTCCGTAAGGCTGAAGTTGAGGGCATGGGTGCTGAAGGGCCCTCGCCGAATTCATTATACGGCGGCGGCACTTCATCTTCAGCAGCTTTGGCCACAGGAGGCCCAGTGTTGATCTTCTCTCCGTCTGCCATGGCGCGTGGATGCGTGTATACGTAAGATGAAGGAAGTTTGTGAACAGGGAGTCGCTAGCTTTTGAAGTGCGAGGCTTGAGGTTCAGGCGGATCCTGTCCGAATGCGAAGGCGGCGCAGCCGCTAGTGCATGTCAGATCCGCAGACTTGTTTCTGACGAACGCAGGAGTGTCGTCTGGGTTTTGACTTCTTTCAGAAGACTGTCAGCTTCTACGAATTTATAGCGGAAGGTGGCATTTGATTAGTACAATATTACCATTCTAGTCGATACCACTGCTGGAACTCGACCAAACTATTATGCTAATGGAAGCCTTTGGTGCTGCATTGCAACAATCTAACGTATAGCTCCGAGACATCCCGGAACTTTGTCGCCGAAAACGCCTTCATGATAGGGTGCTGTTAGGAGCGCATTCTCAATCAATTTTAACTATATCAAGTGTTGGGCCATGTTCTACGAGCAAAGGGTCGACCAGGATTTCCCCCAAGGCCCCAAAGGTCTCAACCATTCGACGTGGCCCCACACCATCAACGAATTTTCGAGCACCACTTAGACAGTGACACAAGCATAAGAAACGCTGGATATTCTAACATTGAAACAAAAACCTGGGTATAAGACGTATGAAGCTACTTGTAACTACTCGATCACAGTTCTGACGGAGGTGGCGCATCACCATCTCCCGGCCTCCGATCTCCGGGAGGTCTGCCGGGACCGCCATCCCAGTATCTCTCCCCCGTCTCCGTCCCGTTAGAGCACTGGGGATTGTTATATTCCTCGACGGTTCCCATGGGCCACATGGGGATCACGCAGACCTCATCGATGGCACATGGCGGACAGCGCTTGAAGCGAGCCCAGTTCAGAGACTGCATGAGCGCCCTCAGCACACTGACAGATGCCGCCAGCGACGACTGATCAGGCGCCGGGTCGGTCACAACGAGACTGCGCACGCGGAACAGCGTTGTGCATATCTCTCGCGTGACCGTCTCGAAGGCCGTGCGGATCAGTACGTCTGCCTCCGTGACGGGAGACACTGACCGGAGATAGAAATTCGAGCAGCGGCTGATACCCAGTTCCAAGCTGTCGCCCTTGTCGGACCCATCGACGAAAAGGGTTAGTAAAAAGTTGACTTCTCGTGCCATGGCTCCAATGTCCTGCACAGCTTCCGCCATGTACTTGACTCGGTCTGCATAACGTGACACAATCAAGTCAGAAACATCCTGCCAATCGATTACCCGAGAAGCGTGGTCGCGCCTGGCATGGATCACACTTTCTAGGTAGCTCTTTATCTCGGCCAACTGAGGCTGCTCGGCAGAGCGCAGCCTAGGCAGATCCTGCCGTTTTGGGTTCGGGTTGGTCAAGTTCACCGGGAAGAAGAACGCGGAGACCATGGACGAATAGTCGATGGCAGTCCGGGAGGACCCGATGCCGTTGTATCGTTCGGAAACGCCCCGGAAGTACTCTAGGTTGCCGAACCCACCGGGTCGCCCAAGGATCTCGTCTGGCCGCTGCAGTACTTGGACCTCCCGTAGGCCGTCGGAGAAGTCACACTTGATGATCTCGAAGCCGGCCTCCATGCGAACCACGCCCTGGAGATCCCACTCCTTACAAAGCTGGCACAGATCCCGGGCGCGTTGTTGCTCGTCCATTGGGCCTCCGCCTCTAGGTCTCTCAGGGGGCTGTCCGTCTGGCCGGCGTCGGGGCCTTGGTGTGCTGTCCGTGCCATTCTCAGGTGATTTGCCCCTGAGCAAGTAGTCTTGGGAGTCCAAGGTGCCCATAGACGTTTTCCCCGCGCCCATGCCGTCAATGTAGAGAAACTTCAATGGTCGAGTGGTCTCGTACACATGGAGATAGCCATGCACTTCTGCCCCATCTACCATCTCGGTTCCGTGCCATGGGGAGCCCATAACTTCCTGTGGTCCGCCGTCAGGACCATCCCCGGGCGGGCCACGGCCCGGCGGACCCCCAGGGCCACGACGGCCACGGGCAAAGTTCTCGGCATGCTCGATCTCGTAGGCCAGCCAGTCCGGCTGAGATGGCGGATCCGGACTGCTACTGCCATGATGCAATAACACGCCTTGGGGCACCGTCGCTAGGAAGAAGGACATTCCATTGTGGTGCAGAGACGAGCCCCATTGGCGCATCGCATTGTGAACTGCATTGAAAATCTCCGGGCCTCGGCGGCGCGCAAGCTCCTTGCTTGGCCTGAAATCGGAACCCGCGCTCGGCTCGACCGCGGCGAGGGTGAGCGACGCGGCGGCCAGGGGGCAGCACAGCCAGGTGCGTAGGCGCATGGTCATTCGTTTACGTCGGCAAAGTACACGGCAAAGCCACCTGCACCGACATACTTCTTTGATAGAGATGGCAAGTCATTAATAGAGAAATATAAATTCCATGAACATCTGAGCTCGGCAGATGAGGACGAGCTCTTATTGCGTAAGACCCCTGAAACGCGTCGTCAGCTGCCCCACTCGGCGCCGTTCATCGCTGGTCTAACTCCGGAAACCGAGTCCTATCCTCGGAGGAGGAGAGCCGGCGGCCCCGTGAGTCTACTGTCCATGGCTGTTGAAGATAGGGTTTATCATGGCGATGACGCGAAAGCGGCAGGATCACCCATACACTCCTTGAAGGAAGACTTTGGCAAGTATAACGGGATCTCGTCCAGTTACACGGCCACACATATACTGCACCTTCCTTTATTGAGTCTTTGTGGTGCTTCATCCACCTATTTGCGACGTTTAGCAGGAAGCAATCTTCTCTCATAATAATGGTCGACGTTTCGAAAGACTGCTATAGGATTATTCTGGCCTAGCCAGTATATAGATGAAAACAGTCACTCGGCAGGTATAGACCAAGGTAGTTGACACATCTGTCCGCAATTGCCATCGTGCGCTTTTAACCAAGCCCAAGTTGAGATGGTGCGCTCATTCATAGATGAGAAATCGGGTTTTGGATACATCACGACTGTGTCTTTAAGGCGAGAGTAAGGCAGGTGTACATGGCCGACTTTGATGTAGAATCGGGGTCATCGTGCCTGGGTTATAGGTTGTTATGCCCATTCTTCCACCGGTGCTGAAGGGACGAGAAGTACATTGTGTGCAGTACGCGCTATTGCATCTGAACAGGAGAGCACTGTTGAGGTTAGAGATCTTCTCTCGGCCTATCCGCGGTCGGAGCGGGGTTGCTACATAAGATGACGCAAATCACGAATGTACAGACAGCGCGTATATGAATACGGACATTTGTGGGCAATTCACGAACTGATTCTCCTAGTGGCGGGGGATAGGTGTCAGGAGCCTCGCGATTCGTATTGGCCTTTGTTCCTTGTATTACCGCTCGCATATCATCGGAACCAGGGCCACCCAAAGTCCCTCAATTGAAACTATGAGACATGGCATGCCGAATACTCAATCCAGGACACTCTAATAAGGTTCTGTTGGTTCACAGTGCCGGAATAGGGATATGTGTAGTCATTTTTTCAAGGTTCTTTTTTTCTGACGGTATCTCAAGTAGTTACATCCGCCTACCGAGCTCCGCAACCCATTGTTCACCCATAGACATGACATTCGTAAGTCCCATTGTACGTTTCCGGGCAGAAAAGCCCTTCTTCGCGTCGTGCAAGATTGTCCCTTCCCCTCACTTCCAACTCCGTGTCTGTCGATACATCCCAAAACAGCCCGTGGATGGCCCCAACTTCAGTTGAATCAAGCCTCGGGGTGGAGATTTGCAGGTCGACAAGTTCTGTCCAAGGGGCCGCTAGGCGCCCACCTGGTACTATAACAGACGAGGAAGGGACATGCGCGTCGTGACGGGATGCGTAGTAACAAAAAAAGACAATAATGGAAGGGCAGGTTGTTCGTGATGCTGCTGAAGAATATTTGGTGAAAAGGGGGTAGTCAGAAGCAGAAATAGAAAAGAAACGGGAACAGGCGGTACAAAAAGCACTAAATTCCCTCCGATGGTGACAGCCGATGTTACTCCAACACATGTCCAGTGCGCTGTGTTTGTTCTCTATAAACCCAGTCAGATACAGATGAACTCCGGTTCCGCTCGTTCTTTTATCGACAAGTTCCCGGCGGAACTGCTGTGTGTACAGGCGCACGCAATATACTGGTGGCGGCCGCCGCGATACAACCGCGCAAAACAATTAAGGCGACTCGCTAGCTTATAACAGAATGAGGTAGTTGCTGGGAGCGATGCCTGTCTCGCCGCTCTCTTTCCGTGCCTGCCACCACCTTCCGCTGACGTCGCTGACCTCCAGAATCTCGTGTTTCGAGAAGGAGATCTCATTGGCATCGTCAGGGTTGGCCTCGTAGCTGTAGATGGCCTTGGCGCGGTACGGATACTCGGTCGGCTGGGCGATCTCGGTTTCCTTCTGGGGTGCGCCACCGATGGGGTTGCTTGGCGGCACAGGCGAGTTGCGAGCGGCATTGGCAGAGAAGCCAGCAACAGGCGAGGGGTTCTCGAAGCCATTGAGCTGGGCCGACGTGTACATCTGTGGTGGAGCGGTGGAGACCGAGGTCTCAGGGCGGCCGCCGTAGCCACCGTTCATGGTCTGACGGTTGGTGGTGGATTCCTTGGTCAGGGCAAATGAGTCAAGGTAGGCGCGGGGAGTTGCCGCGGGAGCAGAGCCGAAGTAGAAGATCCAGACGATCTAGATGCGTCATGTCAGTGGGAATGAAGACGGTAACGGAAGAGGTAGGGTGGAGACTCACGTTGACCATCGATAGCAGAATAAACCCAGCAGCCGCTGCCTCACGAGCCGCGCTACTCGAGTACACCAGAGCATTGACCGAGGAGGAGGTGAGTAGCAGACCGGCAGCGAGATATCCCACCAGCGCAATATGGTAGTTCTGGGCCGCATCGGCAGCAACGACGCAGATGACGCCAACAATGACAAAGAACATGTAGATGATGCTCCACCACGAGAAGGTCGGGAAGTCTTTCGTCTTGGCGGACTGGATCTGGCCAATTATGCAGCTGATGAAGCCAATAACCCAGGCCAGGGCGGCAATAGAGGTGGTGGCCAGAGCAAAGGGGTCACCGATGATGTTGCCCATGCTCATGCCTCTACGGCCGCCGTAGGATGCCCTTGAGTGTTCCATTTTCCGCAGTGATGGCGAGTGAAGGGAGCCGTACGAGGGCATAGAGGACGGACGGGACGGAGAGGTTCAGGGAGGCGACGATAAAGGTTTGTTTGCGGCGCCGAAAATGTGGCGGCGGACACTAGATGGTGCAGCCGGAAAGCTTGGAGCAGCGGTATGGGCTCCGAGTATCCGTGTGGCAGTGTGCAGGAATGCGGTAGGGTGCAGCTGATGCAGTGAAGGAAGACGCCGGGGCGGAATTGTAATTCAGTTCGAGATCCTCAATCAAGGGATCAAATGAGTGACTGGGGTTGGTTGTATGTAGGCAGTTTGATGAATCACAAGGTCTGGTGAGCGGGTGCTGTTTTGATGCCGAGTGAAGTGAGCACGACGGAGTCTCGTTCAGTTTCCGTTGGCGGTTGTGAGAAGGCGTTGGGCGGGGCCAGTCGAGATGCGTTTCACACACTAGATTCCAGCAGTGTCGCAGATGCGCTGATCCAATTATCCCCCAAAGACAGGACGGTGCGATCCAAAAAGCGGAAGAAGGAAGAATAGAAAAGAGTCGTAGGCTGGAGATGAAGGGCAAGATGCGATGGCGATTGGCGGCGGAGGTATAACCGGTGCAGTACGATAGTCACAGTAATCAGTCGGCGGGTCGTCGTCGTAAGCCGAACTTGCTTGGACTCAGTTTCCCGTGGCACAGTCCGACGTTGAACCAGATCGATGAGTTGGTCGAATACTCGTTGCGGGCGGCCGTGTGCGTCTTTGTTGCTGTTGGTAACGGGCAGGCTCGAAAAACACCAATTCCTCCGTCTGTCTGTCTCTCACAACAATGAAGCTGGGACCTGGGCAATTCCAATTCGCAGTTCCTGACGGCGCTTGATCCACAACTGACACCAGGTGCGTTGAGGCTGGACACAAGAAGAAAGAAGAGAAGCAGTGCGTGATGGCTGGCTGGCTGGCGAACGGTCGGCTGCGAAAACTCGACAGACTACTACAGGCTCGCAGACGTGTCGTCGTGATCGTCGTCCTCGTCGTCGCGGCTCCGGAGGGAGATTGCGGTGATGGGTCGCGGGTGGGCGAAGAGCATTAGGGGAGAACAGGAAAAAAGGTCAAGGCAGAGAGTGTCGAAGGGGGAGACCAAGGGACAAGGAGGGATGGGACTGGGGGAGAGGGTGGGTGGAGCGAGCAATTCTATGGGAAAGGCAGGAGACTTGCAGCCAGAGACGAGATTGGATTGGATGGGCGAATTGGGCAGATGGGGGTGGTGGCCCTTGGTGGCCTGTGGTGGCCTGGGTGGATGGCAGGGGGATGGGGATGGGACAACTGGCTCCGCCCCGCCTGTCCAGGGTCAAAGGGTCGCTGGCCGTCCAATGGCCTGCCTGGCTCCTCACTGGCCCTGCCTGGCCTCTGGCTGGAAGACCCCTGCTGGGCGACCGATTTCCCAGCGTCCCACGCTGTGGACTGGCGGGCTGCTACCTAGGTAAGGCCTTCCGGGAGCCAGAGCCTGGACAGGGAACGACAGGGCAGCGTGAGAAGTGAATTAACTGGAGATGGGGCGCAGCGGCGCAGACAACCCTCCATGACTGGCCCGATCCGGCCATTCAATTTGCTCCTTGGTCCAGCGGCAACGTTGGCAGCCAGTCTCTATTGTGTGCTCTCATGGTGCCGACACCCTCTCAACCAGTGCAGCATGATCAGTTATGTGGTTGGGGATAGGCATCATGGCAGATACCCGCCGGGAGAAAGACGGGATCCGCACCGCAGGTCTTCCAGGTCTGCGTTGAACTGCCCTGATCATTAGGTTTAGGTAGACAGGGGCGTTGCCGTCACCTATACCGTACCGTACCTACAAACGCACATCAAGTACCTGTCCAGCCTGTATATGCACTGACGGGAGCGGATCGCTATGTACGCTCGACACTCTCTCGAGTCGGTCGACCAAGGCATTGATTGTAATACGACCGAAATAAGTGCGTTTATCTACCTGATTGGAATTCTTTTGTCGTGTCTTCTCCCTGGATACTGTGAGAAGAGCTCCCAGTACGGCTTGTCAGCTACAAGGACCTACCTAGGTAGCACATGGGCGTTGGGTTACTACCTGCTTCAAGGTAGCTGTCTACCTTGCTCTGGCCAACTTTGGATCTTGTCGCACGCTTGCGATCAGCACTTGTCACTTCCAGAGGTCCTCGTCCATTCGAATTACAAGCTACACCAGCTTCTCGCCAGACAACAGAGCGAACCAGTGGGCATTTGGGTAACAGGTGCGTCACCTGTAACGCCGGCTACTGGTCTGCAGCCCCCCCAAATGTCTGGCGCTGGCGTTTGAGATTCGCCCAGGATACAGTCGACCAACGCCGAAAAGAGCAAGACGGCGTCGTCCTTTGGGCCCTTTCATTGGCCTGGCTTGGCCGCATCGGGTCTTTCGACACCACGACGCTTTCCAGCCGTCAGCTCGTTCGCCGTTGATCTCAGCTGGTTCTTCTGTGTAATGGCACCCGCCATTGCCACGAGATGCTGCCACACAAAACGCCGCTCTGGCAGGGGAATGCGGGCTGCACGTTTCACACAAACCTCCAGACAGAGGACTCGGGAGCAGCGCACGCGCTGGCGCAGACTTTCTCTCAAAAAGATGCCCCAGCCCCCGCTGTCCAGTCTGCCAGTGCATCTCATCCAATCTTTTCCGACCTTGCCGCACGCAGAGAGCCTCACACGGACCCCTTCTTCTGGTGCCAAGTCTGCTGCACGCGGGCGGCCGCTGCCCAACTGTCCAAACGAACGTCAGTGTTTCAAGAGCCCCGAGAGCATTCTGGTCAGTCACCACGAAGGAAGTGGATGACTCTGAGTCGATTGTAGATCTGAGCAGCCAATCGCTAGTGCTTCGATGCAATGTTTGAAGTCAGGGGGACCGTTCAAAGAAACATCTCCAGTCGCCTGGCTCGTAACTCCACGTTCCTTCCCTGTCTCAGGACAGAGCGCGATCTCGTATGACGGAGGACAAGCAACATGAAACATTGCTTTCACGCCCCATGGTCAAGTCGGCCTTGTTATTGCTATGATCTCACTCGGAGCCATCGTTCATCCAGCTAGCATTCTCAAGCCGTTCAGCGACTGAGACCTTGATTGAGACCTTGACCCAATCACCATTTCTCCGCAGCTGATCTGGGAAAGCAACATGCACCTGCTTCCAGCCTCATGTCCCCCATGCTGCCGGAAGACGTGAACAACACGCAACAGGGGGTTCTCCCTGCACCAGCGACAGCTTCGTGCATCAGGGGCGACAGGGCTGCCAAGACAGGTCGGAGCTCTTTTCAACCGACCGGGTAGGTCGGAAGTTGGCTGGATTACGCTGCCCTTTTACCCCGCGAACGCCGAAATTAACTGACCTTCTTTGCTGGATGACTTGTTAGCCATGGAACGTGATATCAGCACAGATTGCTTGTTGAGCTCGCGGCCGTACTGGTTGCAAGCAATTGTGAGTGCTCATGCGCAGTCGCGAACAGGCCAACTAAAGCCCAGGCTTGCGAGCGATACATAGTACAACGTTGACGAAGCCGGCGGATAGCAGATCTCCACAGCCCAGAAGGTGTCGAGAACGGAAGATCGACTATCACGGATCAGGTTTGATGCCGCCAATCTTGGCATCTGGACTTTTCGATCACCGCATGGGTTGTTTCGGCACCAGAAATCGCCTGCCGATACTGATCCTGGATCCATATGTGATCCGCCATCCGAGACCGCAACTGATTCAGAGTCCAGATTCTTGCACACACACACCAGGGCTGTATGATCAGTACTGCTGCTCAATGCGAGCCAAGACTGATGAAAATTCCAGCTCAGATCATGAGATCGAACATGGTCATCCTTCTGCCACGAGACAGCTCCCAAGAATAGGAAATCTCCACTGCCTAGCCAGTCGGGTAGCGCCATTCTCCACCTCCCACCCCTGAACCAATTTAATCAATGGCGCCTGCGACCAAAATGGGATGCATTAGTTCGTCGGACCGTTTAATTCTAGCTCAGCTCCTCAGCAGCGTCAGACGTCGACTGGCCGGCGATCATAGCGCCACACTGTGGCTGTGCAGAACGGGTTCCCAGTGCAAGTGCCACCAGCCATGACTATCCAAGACGGCAAGCAACGGTCAAGGTAATGATTACCAGAACGACAGTCGGCCAACTCGTCCACATGTGGATCCCAAACCGTATTCAATGCAACTTGAATTATATAGGACACAATCAAATAAGCGGGAGGACCGTCTGCGCTGCACTAGACGTTCTCTGGGTACCTGTTGGGCCCATGTGCTCATTCGACGTCAGGACACTCGCTCTCACATCGTCGTTCGCATCTACCTGACTTGTGTGGCTTGACACGCCGTCGTGAATGACCACGGGTCTCTCGGCTACCCGGGGCCATCTTGCACGTTTCATCAACAGCTTGTGGTTTTGGAGAGCTCAATATGTGCATTAATAAAGGGCAAATAAGCATGTCGGCATAAAAGCCTGGCGCATTGGCCTTCACGAGTTGGACAGAGGATCAAATGATCGACCAATCGCGGTTCTCTCCTGGTCCAGCTCCCATGTTGTACGTTAGAGACCTCACTGCCCTGGGTCATGCGAAAACAAGAGCCAGCTGCTCCTGCCGAACAGCAGGCGGCTGTCAAACGCATCCTTCGCGCTCGTAAACCCATGCCCGCAATTTGTTAGGTTGCACTGTCAGTTCGATGAACCCTAGTTCCGCTAGTTCCCCTGGAGAACAAAGTACGCAAAATGTAAGCGTCCCCGCCAACCCGCGGGTCGGTAGCTTGCTGCACCATGTAGAGGGAGGAGTGCTATAATGAGCCCCATCCAGGCGGGTTGGCCCTGTCGGCATGTTAAAGCACCCCATCTCGCTTGTCTTCGGCAGTTACATTCTTGGATACTACCTCGTAAATTATACTAATTGGCAGATGCGCCAGCCCCGTTGACGGAGCGCCAGATATTTTGTGCTCATAGTTGTCCGTAGTATGTCACAGTGACATAACGAGCATCATGCACATTGCATTCCGCTGGATCAACTGCCCGCCCCGGCGCAATAATCTATAGAGCATAACTTGCGGGCGGCGTTAAGTTACCAGGTCATCACTATCCAGCACATCAGCTCCTACCCACCTCGCAATTTGTAGATAGACAGGCTGCCCAGACGAGGCGAGCACCAAAAATGAAAATAGCCAAACTTCGAGAGCGCTCGTCAGGGACCTGCCCCCTCAAGCTCTCCGAGTCCCAGATCCCGAGTCGTCCATCCAATTTATCCGTAACAGGCACATGGGCCTCTCGCGCTCGCGACCCGCGATTCTCTGGCCCCCTCCCCAATGCGGCTGAACAAAAGTCTGGCGGGCGGGCGAGCATCATGCACGGACGGGATCGCGCACCACGGGTCGTCGTGAGGGGAGTGTGGGACAGCTCATCAAGTGCCGTTCGAACGCATGTTTGAAACGCGGGAGGAAACGACAGAGAGAGGGTGCGGGCTCCTGACCCGGGGGCACTGGGCAGGGCTGTGCCAAGACTCTGTAACGAGGGTTTGACATTGGGTTCGGTACGTATTGCCTACGAGAGCGTGGTGGACTTGCTGTTGGGGGTCGTCTTTCGACATCGCAGATGCCACCAGGCCCATCAACTCTTGGGTGTTGTTTCAGGATGGTGGTTAGTGAAGAGGACAACAGAAACATTGTTTCCTATTGCATGTGGGCTCAAGTGGGCCCGGTTGGCCCTGGCACGTTGCACTACATGTGATTTGGATCAGCCTTATGCTGTCAGTGACTAAGATTACTACCATCTTCTGGGAGCCGCAAGGCCATGACAGGGACCAGCGGACCAATATCTCCTACAACCTCATTGCAATGTCATCGTTCCCACCAGCGTGGCTAGCCGAGTGCAACCTGGCCATCCGTGGCCAGCTCCGAGCATTGGGCACATAAAATGTTGTTGCTCCTGGTTGGCCCAGAAAGCAAACTGTTGAATGGAGAGATTCAGAAGTCACCAGCCAACGATGAGCTCCAAGGTTGTTTTCTTGGGTCTAGCGGTTGCCAATCGTGAAAACATGCTTGACATCCTTCTCGTGCTAGAAGAGCCAAGCGAGGCGTGAAGAGTGCCCAGCACATTTGCTCTTTGGGTCAAGGAGCAAGAGTCAACGGCGGGATTCGTTTCCTTCACATGCGAATTCAAAAGCCAATAATGGTAGCACCCTGGCAAATCCACTGGTAGCAGCTAGATGGCGAGCTTTCAACCGTGGGGGATGAAGTGTCCGTCCATCATGCTGAGGGGGCCCACGCGTCAGCCATCCGGTGGCAGGTAATCGATGTCGAAACGGGGGATATTGCAAGCCTTGGCTAATACGCGGGGGCAACTATGCTGTCGTAGAACTGATGTTGTTGTAGCCGCGATGCTCGTAGCGTGTAAACTGGGGACGATGCCTCCAAAGCTCCGGTAGACGCTCATACGTCCTGTCTAGCTTTCTCGACCCTCCGCACCTGCCTCTCGACACGTTCGACACGCCCCTCGACTCCGGCGACAAAGTCCCCGTAGCCCACAACGCTGCCCTCGTACCAGCGCCTCACGACGGCCTCACTCCGGGCCCTGAGCTCGGCGACTTCGGCCGCTTGGGCGAGCTGCGCAGCTTCGGCGGCCTTCATCCGCGGCAATAGAGCAGCGAGCGACGTGCTGAGGGCGGGGTCCGGGACGGGGGTGTCGTTGATGGACGTCAGCGATGAGGCTGTGGAGGGGTAGAGGGTCGAGGCGGCCAGGACCATCTGGGCAAGGGCCGAGGTATCTAGAGAGGAGGGGGACGTCTCCGAGGTAGAAGGGGCGTCGAAGAGTGTCGGGTTGGCATTATCTGCGCGCGAGAAAGTCAGTACCACGGCCACGAGACGGGATACAGCGCGAGGCCTGCGTACAGATCTTGAGCAGCTCGGCGTAGGTGCGCACGTGTTGAAGAAGCTGGGCAAAGCGGTGCTCCAGCTGCTGGAGGTTCGGGATGGCGGGGGCCTTGGCAGGGGGCGTCGTATGGCCGTAGAGCATGTGCTCTATCCGAAGCAGGCGGGACTCCAGGTAGGAGATGGTCTCCAGGGTGGTGTCGTCAAGGTGGCGGACGTCGGTCATGTTGTCGCGTATGTCGAAGCCGTCTGTAGCTGCGTATCTCGGTACTCCTTGGTGTGGCCCCCTGATGCAAAATAATCAACTCCCTATCCGCCCGTAGCGTCTCCTTTCGAAACCCGAAAAGAAGCTTTCAAGATGCTGCTGTTGTCTCGGTCGTGCGTGATGGCGTCAAGTGTTGCTGCTTCTCGTCAGGGGTATGCACGAGGCTGAGAAGTCAATTGGGCGTTCTTGTGCCGCGCCGTCGCTAACAGAAGCTCTCATCCCTCCCCTCCCCTGGCAGGCAGGGCCCCTGGGGTGAGCCTTTGCAGCGTCCATAGCTCAGTGTGGCAGGCGACGATTGGCCAGCCTGGCGGCGGCTAAGCGGCATGCTATGCAATTAGAATCCGGGGCTTGGCCACCTCTGGACGGGGCACCGGCACACAGGGTCCCACGGCACCCACAGGGGCCACAGGGCGGCGGATGGTGGAGTGGTGCAACAGTCAGCCAGTGACGACAGCTTGTGGGCAATGGGCGCCCTGCCCTGGCTTTGCGCAACGTAATTCAAATCAATCGACGACCGAACGCCCACGGCTTCCTGCTGCCAGCACGCCGCGTACTCTCGACCGACACGACATCTTTGCCCGGCGGCCTTGCTGGAAGCGACGACATTCGCAGACGAGCTCGTTGTGCGCCCGATACCGCGCGGAGAACGGCCGCCGAACAGGCACGAGGCCCACTCGACCAACGCAGCGAGAGCGTTCCTTTCCGCCTGTCTCACGAGCCCAACGACGATCGCCAGGGGACGCCGCGAGACGAGACAAACAAAAACAAGGACAAGGAGACGGCGGTAACACAGCAGCAAGACTTCAATCCAGTGCCCTGTGCCACGCGACCCGGCGCTGCGCCTGGAGTCCCGACCACTGCACCGCACCGCATCGCCGTCCGCACGAGAGCCAGAGCGAGGGTAGGCAGCCACGCGCGACTGCAACGTCCTCGCCCGGAAGGCTATGCCCAATTACTCGACCATCTCTGATGGCCGCTCCGCCGACGCATCGTCCGTGAGCTCCTCCAGCATGGCCAGGCACAGAAGAGCCCGGGGCCCTCACCAGCGCAATGGCGCCCACGGCGGCCAGGCCAGCATGGTGAGCAGCATCATCAACCTGCTGAACACAAGTACGTCGTGACCGTGGAACACGAACAACCAGAAGACGGAGGAACACGTGCTAACCTCGCCTCCCCCCCTTTCTAGTCGTCGGCGCCGGCACTCTGGCTATGCCCGCCGCCCTCTCACATTTCGGTATCGTCCTCGGCGTCATTGTCGTTGTCTGGTCGGCCTTCACCTCCGCCTTCGGCCTTTACCTCCAATCGCGATGCGCACGCTACCTGGATCGCGGCTCCTCGTCTTTCTTCGCCCTCTCCCAGCTGACCTACCCAAACGCTGCCGTCATCTTTGACGCTGCCATTGCCATCAAGTGCTTCGGCGTCGGCGTCTCTTACATGATCATCATTGGTGACCTGATGCCCGGTGTGGCAGTCGGCTTCGACAGCCGCGCTCAGCACGTGGCCTTCTTGATGGACCGCAACTTTTGGATCACCGCATTCATGCTGATTATTATTCCGTTGTGCTTTTTGAAGAGACTCGACAGCTTGAAATACACGAGTCTGGTTGCTCTGGTGTCCATTGGCTACTTGATCATCTTGGTTGTCTATCACTTTGCTGCCGACAAGGTCCCCGACCGGGCACCGGTGCGCATTATTACCTGGGACGGCCCGGTATCTGCTCTGAGCAACCTACCAGTGGTAGTCTTTGCCTATACATGCCATCAGAACATGTTCTCTATTTTGAACGAGATCAAGGACAGCTCGCCAAAGAGGTAAGCACAAGTTTTTGAAGCGGCATTTAACCGATCACATGCGTTATACTGACTTTTACATAGCATCCTGGGCGTGATTGGCTCGAGCATAGGCTCCGCCGCCAGCATCTACGTCCTGGTTGCCATCACTGGATACTTGACGTTTGGTGATGCCATCAAGGGCAACATCGTTTCCATGTGTATGTTACCCCTTAAGCCTCCCACTTATTTGCAGACAACACAAACTGACGAGTGCAGATCCCCCTTCCATTGCTTCCACTATTGCAAAGGCCGCGATTGTCATCCTGGTTCTGTTTTCTATCCCGCTTCAGGTCCATCCCTGCCGCGCTTCTATAGATGCCGTCTTGAAATGGCGCCCAAACGCCGTTTCCCGTGCTCAACAGAATCGCTCCAACTCCCCTGGTGGACGCCCACTTCTTCCATCTGTGCAAGCTAGATCTGATCATGGCTCTACCGCACCCATGTCAGATCTGAGATTTGCTCTGCTATCAACTGTCATTCTGGTGCTCAGCTATGTCGTCGCTCTCACCGTCACCAGCTTGGAGCGAGTTCTGGCTTATGTAGGGAGCACGGGCAGTACTAGCATCAGCTTCATCCTCCCTGGTCTGTTCTACTACAAGATCTCGGATCCTGATTCTGTCCACCACCAGCGTCTTGCCAAGGGCGATGACGATGCCGATGCAAACTCTCCCACGGCCTCGGAAGATGAGGATGAAGAGGAGGCGGGCGAGCACGTCTTGGCTGCCAGTGTCGGCAGCGTGAGAAGCGCTGCCAGTGGGAGGAGCGCGAGGAACAGCAACAGAGGCGCCTGGCGATGGCGGCGCAGGTGGAGGTGGGACTTGGAGCACATCAACCCGGCGTACCTCAGAAGGGCGTCGTTGGGACTGGCGGTTTACGGTTTCTGCGTGATGGGTATGTGTCTGGTGCTGAACATGTTTGTCAGCGTGTCGCATTGAGGGGAAACAAAAAAAAATGACGGGGTGATTAGACATGAGAGGGTTGATCCCGCTATTTTTCTTGAGCATTTAACCGGAGTTCGATAGCATTGAAAGTGAATCTGGGCGGCTCGGCCAGGTCTGGATTGCATCTTGTACGGCTACTTTAAGCATTTCTTATACGCATTTTCAGAACCCTACGATTTCCTATGATCACGATTGCTTGATGCACAGAGCTGATTTTGCAATGTCCTTTCACCGCCTGCCCCTGATGTGCGAAAAATGTGTATGTTTGGCTATGTAGCTCAAAATCTAGAGATTGATAATGTTATATTGACTATCGCATGCAATCTGATTTATCGCCAATGCGAAGGCCATCATGCTCCAAAGACGAGAACTATCTAGAAACGGGATAAAGACGGCACATCAACGGCTTTTTCATCCAAAGTCCGTACGTCTTCTGCTCTATCCAATTACGGCTTCCATCACAAAGCTCAAAGTCAAAGTCGAATATCACCGTAGCGAAGATCAACCTCATCTCATGCACAGCCATATTCTGGCCTATGCAGTTTCGCGGGCCCCACGAAAAGGGTTGATGGGCATCGGTCACGTCGCCAGCGTAAGTAGGATCCCCTAACCACCGTTCCGGGATAAACTGGTCCGCGTTCTTGAAATTCGCTTCTGAGTGATATGTCGACCAATGGTGGCATGACACGCGGGTCTCGGCAGGTAGCCATACGCCTAGGACAGCCTGGCCTCCCGGGGGAACCACACGCGGGTTGCCTATTGGCACAGGCGGGTAAACGCGGAGCGCTTCTCTCAAACATGCATTCAAATACCTGAGACTTGCGGTAGCTTCGAAGTTGATATCTTGACTAGTTTTGAAGGTCCTGCGAACTTCCTTGCACAATAGTTCCATTTTATCCGGGTTGGTGAGGAGCAAGTAGGTCAAGCCACTGAGAAGGGTTGCTTCGAGAAGTGTTAGTATACCGCGAACTAGGTGAGAATCCGACTCCACTTACCCGTGGTTTCTGAGCCTGCTAGCATGAATATCTCGGCGTTTGAGTGCATCTCCGAGAGAGAGAGGCCCTTTCCCGAGTTATTAGCCTCCATAACCAAATTCCAGATGTCCGGCTGGTTTGAGCCCTGCCGTAAGCGTTGGTTGACTCGTTCTTCTGCGTGCTTGCAATGAGCAATCCTTTGGCGTGTGACCGACTTTGGCTGAAACCGAGTGAAAATGGCGTTAAATATCGGGTAGTAGGAGATCATCGCGAGGAATGGTAACGTCTGAAGAGATTCAAAGATGGAATTAACCCACGGACTGAACTGATTCTTTTCCAGTAAACCCAGCGGGTGCCCAAAGCAGAGATCTGCCATGGTATCAAATGTGGCAAAGTTGTATAACCTAGTCATCTCCACATGGTGGGCGCTGAGTTTATGAAGCTTCGAAACCAAGATATCCACACTGGCGTGTCTGTAGTAAGCAGATTTTCTTTTCAACTTCAGACGCGACGTACTAACGGTGGAACACTGGTTCCTGTTTCTTGAGGGCTCTTTCGGAGAATGCGGGAGAAAACAATCGACGCACTCGAGCATGATTATCGAAGCTGGCTGTCAGCATGCTTGGGACACCTGTGTGGACATTTCTGATGAATCATGGTCCCACTGCGGTAGGTGAAACAAGAACACATACCGTTGATAGGCGGCAAATAGAACTCCGGTGCTTTGTCCATATCTTTCTGACCTTTCATATGGCCATGAACCTCCTTCCAAGCGTCGGCGGAAGCACAGCTCACATCAGTTGGCCCAAACCGTAACATAGGTCCGTATTGCACGTGTAAGCGATGGATCCATTTCACATCGCTGCCCTTGAAACACTGAATCCAATACGGTATGCGGGAAATGGCGCACAACTTGGGTCCAGGCACCTTAGCAAGAGGGTGTAGACTGAGGAAGTAAATGGCGTTTATAAAAAGATAGGTACAGAACATGGACATGAACAAACCGGCTATGTCAAACAGAAAGACGCCATTGGGAAACAGCGATTGAAACAAGTTGAACTCCATAAGTGCGAATGGGAGACACCCAAGCTGAATCCCTTGATATGGATCACGCACGTTGAGTTTGAAAAGTACAGAAGGACATAAAGTGACGCATTACGAAGTCCGAGATCAAGCTCCAAAGCTCATGGTAACAGGGTAGATCTCGGCTATGTAGGATGATATGTCTTGATGCTGTCCCCACGAAACAGGGCTATCTTCACAAGAGGAATACAACATTTGGAGCATTCCCTGAAGAATTATTGGGCCTCGGCAGTTGGGGTTTCGCAAATTGGCGTCAGTTGAGGCCTCTGGAGCACGCGGTAGCCTCGTAGAACGGCCGCCATTGGAGATCCAGATTGTCACTATAATATTAGTGCTTTCTGCCGTCGCAGATCTCAGATCTCACGTAAAGTCAGCGCTAGACTAATCTCAGTTCCCATATCCGATCATATGGTGAGGGGCTTGCATACTGATTGACCGCCAAGTGCATCCAAAAAGGCATGTTCTTGTAAGATGCCTAGGCCCTAGGTGGCTTGTTGCAGTCTAACAACGAAGCAACCCTTGGCGACCAGCATTGGTTCAAAACAAATTAGCTACTGGCTAGACACAGTACATCAGTGCCTTACACGTCGGCCGTACGTTAAGTTCTAGTCTTGCATGCAGCATCAGCCTGTATTTCTCGCTGCCTTTCTCAAGTTTTACAACCAAATGACGCACGAAACTTTAGCAACGTCTCTAACAAGCTGCACGTTAATGCCGTCTTATATCAGCCTTCAATCACGGCAGACAGGAGACGGCTCTGGTCCTGTGTTTAGACCGCGCCCGTCAACGTCTCAAGGGATATCAAGTGCTTTCTAAGATTACCTGGATAACGTTAACTCGTGACGCAGGGGACTATACGGACAGGCGAAGTCTCCGTCAAAGCAACAGTCTTGCTTCAGGATTGAAAATCTTGGTATCACAAGCTTGGTTGGAGTGATAGTACTACAACTAGAAACTCAATCATCAACGAGAACCCAGTGTGATGTCGATAAATTCTTGCATATTCGACGGTGGCACTCCCCATTTCGTGGGCATAGAATTGGAACAGCTATAAGCTGTGGAGTGAAACATCTCAACCTATGGAGGTGCTTGATGTAGTCCCCTTACATCCATCTGGGCAGGTACCGACCCGATAGCTTTCTCTTAGGATCTCCTAGTGTCTCCATAATGGTTCGACTGCACCTGTACAATACAGCGAAGGCTTATCGCTAGACTTGAGAGCCTAGAAGAATCCTTTGCCGCAGGCTGAGGATGCCATGGATCCATATAGATACATTCTGTACTGTTTTGCGGTGCAAGTTATTATTATTACGAAGTATACGCAACGGCCAGGAATCTGATATAAGCCTATTGTATATAATGATAAACTCCAAATAACACCACCTCCAAATAAATAATACATGCCTATTGCCTCCAAGCCGCTTTTGAGGTACCCGGTGCTTCCATATCACTATTCTACATCCCTCCACCAGCAGCAGCTGTAACATTGAATGCCGTCGCGTTGGCGGCAGGCATTAACGGGGCTTCCGCAGATCCAGCGACACCGTCAAAATCAGCCTGCGAAACCTTGGCCTGATCAAGTTGAGCTTTGAACGCGCCAAATCCAAGGTCGTGGTACTTCAGTACACCCGACGGCGCTTCGGCACCGGCAACAGGCTTGCTACTCAATGCGTAACCCATCATCGTGGCGTTTGATTGAAACCCAAATGTCGGGTCCAGACAGCACTCGCAAACGAAGGTGTAGCACAAGTGCGTATCGTTAACGCTGGTACCTTTGGCAATAGCCCGAGCCTTGAACGGTCCCGAGGTTTCGGGTGGGCTGTAGTCGTAGCTGGGAGCCTGCCGGAAAGAAGAGATGACATTCTTGCCATCCGACCACGCGGCAAAGAGGAGAGGGCCGACCATGTTTTGGTTGACGGAAAAGCCGCCCCAGCCAGCGGAGCCGTTGAGAGGGAAGGTCAGTTGGCCTATGAAATCGGTCTTATTTGCGCAATTGGGGACAGCGATGGCAAAGCTAAGATTGCTCGCGGTGTCTTGGAAACGCTGCATATCGAGGCCGGTTACAGGGTCATGATATGCAGTCGTAGTGAAATTCGTGGAATCTTGGCAGAGAGACCGTTGCGGTAGAAGCGTCAGAGCAATCAAGCTCGAAAAGACGCTGAAAAGCGATGTGGGCGCCATCATGAATGGGCGTGTAAATTTGATGGCTTATACTACTGTCTGAATGAGGGGCTGATATGTGTAAGAGCGCAAGATGAAAGGTGTCGAAACAATCAGGCTCAATCATAGAACCAGGCTTTTCACGTGTATAAATATGTTTGCAAGTATTCTTCAGTATGACGACTGATTATTGTCATCCGAATTCAAAGTTTTCAATCGTCTCAATAGATCTTCGTCTGCGTTGATGCGCGTTGCGCCAAGACATGAATCAGTCTTTGCAATGAAATTTCCTCATACACCGTGCTCACCTACGCAACACGTGATTCTCTCGGCGTGGCCAGCCGTTAGCGAAACCTTTGAATGGTTACGAATGACTCGTTCTTCAAGGCCGGTGGGAATAGAGTTTCTAATCACATCATAACAACTGGATAGCATTTGTACCTGCATACAATTACCACGATATGCATGTTAAAGGTGGCAAACGGTTCGGTGTGTCCAATCTGGGAAACAACCAGTAGCCGCCATGGGAAATCTCCTGGGAACAACTAGATTCCAAAGGCAATAGTTCCTTTGACTGTTGGTAACTACCACGGGTCAAGCTGTCTACCTAGCTCTACAGAACGAGTACGGCAGTTTCTGTAGCTACAGTCAAAGCGTAGAATGAGGTCTCTAACTAGACAGACACGCAAGTTCCTTCATTTGTGGCACAGAAAACTTGATTCAGAGTCTCAAGATGGGTTTGGACGACTGAAACGGTCTGTTTCTTGGCGATGTCAGCAAAATTGATCTGTACCAAATCAAAGAACCCTGGGAGCTGCAAAGCATGCTTAAGCTCTTTTATGTGCTATGCATAATCATAGTAGAAGATTTCCCGTGGTGAAAATCCTGCACAGGAATGTTAATGCTCTAGCCACCAACCAGTAGCGTTTCTTACGGTGCAGTCCGGGTTGATCAGCATCTCCTGCTAGGCGGACGCTGTTATATTAGCCATCTACGCTCTTTGCTGTCTCCCACCCTACAAATCGCATCCAAGATAATATTTGAGAAGTGAATATATCGGACTGAACTGCAGTGTTGCCGTGTACAAATTGAAAAGCTCTATCCTCCTATATTGGATAAGGCTAGATTAAAGCAGAGGCGCCGGGTAGAGCGAGTTGAATGTTATATACATGGCCTCACGAACCCCGACCCCGGAAAAGAACAATTAGAACCTAATGGGCGACCGGCGGACAGCCTACAGGACCAGGGAACATAAAGGACCAACAGGGACAAAAGGAAGTCATATCGTACGAATCGGCGCCCAATTGAGCCAGGACACGGGATCACCATAGACATAGTGACCCAATCAACATCAATAAGGAAATGAATGCATATATGATAGGGTATCCTAGCTACGTAGTCAGTCATTACCTCAATAATCAATCTAAGCATCTTTCTCATCTATAGGTGAGGCCTCGACGATGATACTTATGACCTCGCTTACAGATCCTAGTTACCTTCTGTTTACTTATCCACTATTGCGTATAGTCTTGTGAGGCCAGCGTACCCTGTTAGTATAAACCTGCGTCCCCTCTATCCTTCTCTACGGTTTATCCTAGAAAGCATATCCGTCACATAGCGGTGTTGGTAGTATTGCCCCTAGTCTTGCCGTGCTTGCGAAGAGATAGGACCGCATGTTTTGAACCAGACTATACGCCTCTAATATTAATGTTCATGATGTAGTCCCAGATATCATCAAGGCATTCCTCGGCATCGCCATGCTCAGAGTGCATGATACCAGCGTTGTTGAATATCATGTCAAAACCGCCCTATAAGTTGATGGCATTTACGGCAGCATCCACATCGGCCTCCTGCGTCACGTCAACAACCTTGGCAGCATGGTTTTGCCTTTGTAGTTATGTAGCATCAGACATATTGTACGAGTCCCTGATCTGAGACACTTCGTCTGCTCGAAAATGGGGATCTACAGGGCAGACTCCTCCAGAGTCAATCTCAGTGGGCGAATGTTTTGGTTCTTAACTATTGTACACCATACAGTGATGGGGATAGGGAGGTAAATCAGTGCTTAGCGCGGGCAGGAAACTCCTTTTTTTGCCATACAAGACTACAGCCTTGAGGCCTTGCTGACAACGTGATTGATTGTCTTTAGTAGGTGTTTCACTCTCACATGTACTGTGGTGTTAGTGGTATATTTTAGCCTTTGTTTATGTAGGCAAGAAACGGAATATGTTGATTGCTCGCAAAATACACCATCTAGTAGGGCTGCCCGCTGACCACATACCGTGTAGCGCTCGTCAATCGGTAGGCGACAGGCGTGGTCAAGCGGGCGGGCGAATGATCTGGCATCATCTGATGCCTGCAAAGCCTGCCCTGGCCCCCTGGACCCATTGCCGCCGCCATTCGACCCCTCACCCCTGGCCGCTGTGGGCCAATGACAGAGCTTTAGCTGGTGCTTTGGTAAAAAGAGCTTAGGGCTGTTCTTGTCTATTAAAGGCGTGGTAAGTCCAGAAGAACGCTGTCGTGCTTTATACCACGGCATATGGGAGGTCCAAATAGACGGCTGTTCGTCAGCTTATGCATCCATGGCAAGCCTCTCAGGAAGGAAAATCTCGTCGCCGCGGGAGCCGGCTGCTCACCCAGCTTGCGAGATTTGCAGGTAAGTATCCTAGCTCCAAGCCCCAATTTGACGACGACAGGATGCGACGGTATCTACGGCTCTTGACTAACGCATCTGAATTCGTAGACAACGCAAAGTCCGCTGCGACCGTGCGGTACCGAAGGTCGGTGGATGCATTTTCGATATGTGATGGGCAAACTCTAAACTTAGCATCTCTCAACAGTGCGGGCGCTGTGTTCGCCTATCCGAACCATGCGGTTACGGACGGCCACGTCGGTCGCAAGACAACTTGCCGCGACAACTGGAACACCTCGAAGATCGGCTTGCAAAAGCAGAAGCAATCCTAGCCACATCTAACAACCATGCCATGCTACAAGAAGGAGTCTTGTCCTCCCCAATGGCGACGTCCCTAATACATACGGCAAATCCTTCTCGGGAGCAGCCTATCATGTCCTCCGCTGATATGGACCTGTCGATGGATATTGAATCTCTGTTTGCCAACTTCACCGATAGTGGCGATTCACTATCAGGGGCGACCTTCGATTGGACGACCTCGCAAGTATCAGCCGCTGACTGGTCCAATCCACAGCTGCCAGAGTCCAGAGACATCTGGACCCGCACCAGTCAGGCACCGTCTAGGTCTACCTTACCGCAGACTTTATCCTCCATGTGGCAAGATGAGGACATCTCAGCGGCCGACCTGGACATGCTACATCGAAACTATTTCAACGTGATATACCATTCCTTTCCGTTTCTGAACAAGGCGAGATTCGAGGCGCAGCTTGCTGGTGAGCAAGTCTCTCATGCCGCTCTATCACTGAAGTACGCGGTTGCGCTTATGGGAAGTATACTGTCCCCGCACTACTCCCACTTAAGAACCACGTGTTACAATCATGCAAGAAACAATCTCGAATGGTGTGAAAGACACCCGGAGAATGGATCGCTTGCCAACTTGGATGCATTCCAGGCCTTGCTATGTATTCTTAGATACGAGGCTACCGACCTCAAACTTGACCGAGCTTGGATCACATTAGGACGTGCGGTCCAACTGTCTAAGATGCTTAGGCTTCACCAGATGGATCGAGGGGTATTGCGAGATGTTCTAGGCCAGAATCTAGAGAGTGATTTGCCGCCAACCGAAGATCCTGTGTTACTGGAAGAACGCAGACGCTCATTCTGGGCTCTTTATATTCTCGAGTCCTACGTCCGTACTAGAACTGGGATGAAGTGTGAGCTTGCCGACTCCAACGTATGTCACTTTGAGAGCAAGAATAGCGGAGATGTTCAGACACTGATAGTATTTATAGGCATTCGAAGTCTGCCTGCCTTCACCAGGAATCTTGTCAAATGGCATAGACGGTTTCCAAGCTGCTCCAATGCCGTTATTGCGTGATATCACCATTGACAAATGCCCAAAGGCCTCATCATACGCCGGCTGTGTTCTCATGGTACAGCTTGCACTACGATGCTTCGACCATGGTAGGCAGATCGAGAACAAAACAGAAAACCGACACTTTTGGGATAATCATTACTCCCTACTCAAGGACTTGGACGAGCGCTTCGCTATGCTCAAACTTCATCTCAGTGCCAAGTCTATACAGAACGACCCAGTGTCATTTAGTCTCTACATGAACCTACGCGCAACCGAGATCTTCTTTCACCAGGCCGCCATTGTCCGGGTTGAGCAGCAAGGATTGCCTATACTGACAGCTGCCGAGAGCCAGAAGCGCTCGCAGGCGGCAGCTCACAAAATCGCCAGCGCTGTGCGTCTCAACTGGCCCGGGCAGCAGGCGGAGCGTGGCACCTTTACGCTTCAGGCAGCGTTCATCGCTTGGCCGCTCGTTATGGCTATGAAAGCACTCGCGCACAGTCTTGGGGGTTCTTCCAAGGGGAACAGCGACCAGCTGAGTAACTCAATAAGCTCACTACGGCTACTTCTCGCGGCATTAGATCTTATAGAGGATCGCGATGGGTATTGGCATGGGTGCATTCCTTCTGTAGTTATCGGGTTGGCCCAATGGGAAGAAAGCAACGGACTTCATTCCTTAGAATTGTGATACCTATTGGACTTCGTTAGAAGATACACTGTTAGATAGGTATCGAAGGAAAAAAAGGCCATAAATTGTGATGAATGTTCTGCGATCTTATCTGCCTAGGTACTCTTCGTGATTAGAATCAATCGACCATGGTGGGTTAGTCAATGTTACAGTAGCTTGTCCTTACACCCCGGGCAAAATTCAGTACTACAAACGGCCTCATGTTTGTAAACTGCAACCAATGTTACAAAAAGACTGGAACCACGAGTAAGAGACCGCCCTCCCCCCTCCCCCAACGCCCCTTTCCCCTTTCAAAAAGAAATTGGGGGTTTTTTTTTCCTTGCACTCGTTTCTCTTCAAATACCATGGAAACTCCTTCGTCCATTACGCTGTGCAATGTGTGATGTGCAAAAGACGATCGAAAATCACTTCTGTACTTGACTGCCCCAGTGCGTGTTCAAACTTTGACCTCGAGCCTGCCGTGGCACGTAGGAAGGGTCAGCCACTGGTGTGAAGGGCACAAGTGGCATCCATACTTTGCTAGGAAGCACTCAATTGAATAGGCGCGGATTAAAATTTGAGACCTTTGCGAAAGACTTTCTCGATAATGTATCGGAAAAACTAGAAAGATCCGCGAGCCAGCACTGCGGTGGTTTCATCTCCTTGGCCCATGCTTATTTCCATTCTTCCGCTGCCTGATAATAGTGCCGGTGCCGCCTATGTCATGGATCGTAGTGGTCACAGAACGCTCCACATTACACTTGGCAAGGTTGAGTGTCTTAGACGCTGGGTTTTCCAGCTAGCCTTACACCGATGCCAAGAGATTTCCGCAACGCAGCCTGTGGATAGATTAAGAAGCGACAACTGGTGTATGAGATTGATGTGGTGTAGTTTTCATCGAACACCACTCTTTACTCGATCATCAGCTACTACCCTTGCTTTGAAAGGAACGTATGTCAAAAAGCCAGTGTGGAACAGCTTATAGACTCGCACCGTGACAACTGTCATTGGAATACACCATTCTTAACCGAACCATATCACTATATTGTGTGAACCATTGTGCTAGTCTTTCAGTGTTACTTCAGATGCCTGGAGTCCACTTAGCCATCTAACTTTATATAAACTTCAATCCCACACTGGTGCTTGGAGGCATGTGGCACCTAGTAGTCCTCTCAACCCACACGCCAAAGTGCAGGGGGTTTGACATAATTCGCAACGTCTCGGGTAGAGGTTGAGGATTCAACCCCGATTGTAAATGGGCACGTGTTGCGGTCGAGGTGATACGGACGCGGTCAAGATCGGCGGGGCTGCAAATGGCACTGATAAGTTAGCCTGCAAGTGCGAGCCGTGTAGTTCTTTTTGCGAGGGAACCCACAAGCAACGGGAGTGACGCCACGAAGCTGAGAGCGGCGGCAGCCATGAAGAATGCCCAAACACCGCCTAAAGCAGACGCGATCTGCGGGATCACTTCAGCTTTCTCGTCACTAGTGAGTGCTTGGAAGGCAGCGCTGCTGGTGCCCGCAATCAACTCCCCAATGTCTCCGTCGAAAACACCATTCAACGCGAGAGTAATCTTCTGGAGGGCTAAATTATGGAAGATAGACCCGCATATGGCTAGGAAGCAAACCATGCCAAGATCCTGAGCTGGGTTCAGCTGTCAGTACTCTTGCTGAAGAGAAACCGAATTCCGCAAAGGAGCCCAAAGGGTGGTTAGATGCTGGATGGAACGTACCAATTGTCATGGAGCCAATAGCATTCGAGGTATCATGCGGCGGCACCAGTGACTGAACAATTGCGAAACCGGCGACAATGTAACAGCCTGCTCCAACCCCTATAAGGATATTGTATCCATAGACACGCGCATTCGAAGTATTTTCGTCGACCGTATCTGAACATGTGTTTGCTTAGCGAGGACGAGAGAGTGGCGCATAAAAAGACTAACACATGAGAGCAGATCCCACAAGAACCAGAGCACTTCCCCCGCAGTACCAGGGTGAGATTAAGGAGAATATGGGCATTAGAACCCCGTTCACCATGGAGAAGACAACCATGGTAATTACCAATGGAAGGAGGCGGACGCCGGAATCGAGGGGTCCGTCGCCCTTGCAGCTTGTTAGCAGGACTGGCTTTCGAAGCACAAACAAAATTGACATACTCGAACGAATTGAAAGTAAAGTGGAATGTAGTAAGTCATAGCCTAGAAGACAGTCAGTTGTCGTGCTGCAATCTACAGTTTTCCACTGATCTAACGCACTAGAATTATCCCTGACACGAGAAACACCTGAATCTGCATGTTGATCAAGACGGGATTTCTGAAGAAATGTGCCGGGTACAGACGGTTCTCGTAGGTAACCAAATGGTGTCGCTTGATGAGAATGATGAATGCAATAAACAAGGCACCTGTCACTGTCCAAAGCGCAATCATAGACCCCGAATTGAAGGGTAAGACAACACCTCCGAATGATATAGCGATCACCAGACAGGCCGACCCCGCAAGGAAGACGGTAGAGTTGATCCAATCCACCATACCAAATTTCTCGGACACTGTCTGCTCAGGCTGTGGATCAATGGGTGGGAACAGTAGGAGATAAGCCGGGGCGAAGACAGCACCAACAACCAAGTTGATGTAGAACCCCTGATCGTGATAACAGTCAGCGGAATACTCGATGCAACACAGGTCTGAGGACGGACCCATCTCCACGTAGCGCTGCTAATGGCAAACGCGCCGCCAACCTGCATAGAATAAGCCTGGTTTTATACGTCGGACTGGTGATACACAAGCGGACATACCACAGGGCCAAGCACACTACCAATACCCCAAACAACAGTACTTCCAGAGAGATATGTGGGCTTCTGCTCGGGAGTCGTAGATACTGAGATGTATGTCAGAGTTCCAGAGTACATGCCGGAACCGCCCACACCAGCAATGACACGCCCCAGTATCAGGGCCACCATGTTGGGGGCGGCTCCACAGATGGCACTCCCGACTTCAAACAGCAAGATGTTGAACAGGTACGTGTACTTGATGTTAAAGATGCCATATATCTTACCCCATGGCAGTATGAACATGGTACCCAAGGCAAAGCCGGTGCCAATCCATGGAAGCAACTCCACATGACCGAAGTCGTTCACGATGGAGGGCTGGATATTGGCGACGATGGTATTGTCTAACGCGAACAGGAATGTGGTCGAAAGCATGGCTGTATATGTGATGGCCCACTGATGTATGCAGTCAGCAACCAGGGAAGAGTTATGAGATATGCGATTGCAGCTTGCAGGTGTGACATTACATTCCAACCATGAGCAGCGGGAGCCTTTGGTGTCCTGTTATCGGAAGACGTGGTGCCATTTTCAGCTCGCTCGTGAGCCTTCTCGTTACTGATGGCGCCATTCGTCCCTGTTGGAGAAGTGGAAGACATGGGAGCGAACTGCAGAGACCCCGGTCTGGCCTGCGGTGTTGTGGTCAAGGTATAGGATGGGCTCAATGTGAGCATGCAATAAAGTCAGTCTAGACAAGAGAAGAGAATCCACGACGTAGACTCATCTGGGTGTTTGAAACAATCAGATGTGAGGATTTGTCGCATTCGTTTCTACATGGGCGATAGATATTGATTGCCCCTGTTAACGGGTCCGTCTCCTAAGCGCGGCCGGTCGGCCGAGGGACACTTGTGATTGGACATATTTGAGGGACAGCAAACGCAAGCGCGTTAGACGCGGTGATTGGCACCGAGGGCGTGATCCGATTGGCTCCGGGGGCTGATGACATTCCTCACAGAAACCACACCAAGAAAGGCTATCTGTCATGCAGTGTCGGTCGAGGTACACGATAGTCCGATAGATGATCGATGGCAGAGCGCAGTAGAGACACACAGTAAGTTGTAATTGGATGGTTCGAATATTCACTGATTCGAGTATCCTATGTATCAGATACGCATTTAATCTTGGTGAGGCTGTTCGGAATTGTCATTTACAATTTTTTCCTTCTTCATGTGCCCCTTTGCCTCTGCATTTACTACTCCGTCGCCCTGTGTTACTTTTCGACTGTCTTTGATCCTTGTGATCTTCTGCCCATTTTGAGCGAGATACTTGGTTATCAATCCGTTGTCGCCGCTCGGTTTGTACCTGACGAAAATCTCTCCAAAAAGGGTTTTTTGCGGCAGGGATTGAGGCCGAGGTCCTTCATCAGCCGCGTCGAATGCTCTCTTCACGTTTGCAGTGACGAGTGTGGCCACAAGACCCTGGTTTAGGGCCTGCTCGATGTCGAGGATTAGTGCCACGACGAGGTCTGTCGGGGGTCGCTTCGGCAGGGCTTTAAAGTGCTGTGGCGCCAGGATCCCGCTTTGTATTACGGTCCACGCCATTCTCCGCGCTAGTAGTCTTTCTAATCCCTTCCCAAGGCATGATAGAAGCGAGATCGGTCGGTAGGTTCCTGGGTCTGAGTACTCCTTCTTTCCAGGCTTGGGGATTATGACCACCTCGGTCGCCTTGAAAGGCGCCGGATAGTGGCCATTGGAGATGAACGCCTGGAATAGGCACGTGAAATCCAGGCGAGGTGCTTCGGCTGCCAACTGTGCAATGCCTCTATTTTTTTCTAGCATGATATCTCGATGGAATGAGATCGGCGGTTTTGCGACACCCTCATCGAACAGGGGTCGTCAACGTCGTTTGATGCCTTGTTGCGTTCCAATGTGGCATTCCTCAGTGCTTTTGCCTTGTCCAGCTGCGACTCGTCAAAGGACAGAAACAATGTCCACAACAGCGCCAGGCTCCTTTCCTGACATACCGGTGACTAGCGCCGGGAACCGGACGAGGATTGCGATGCCGTCGGCTCTACACCTGGCCAAGGACTGAAGAGTTCAGTGGTAGGGATGCAGCAGCTATATATAAGTTCAAGCTTTAATGACAGAAGATCATGCCACAACCTGCCAGATTCATCTTACTTCTATCTGTGAATGCTGTTATTGATCGCTGGCAATGTGGACAACCCTGGAGCATATACCAGCGCTGGCTGCAACCTTCATTGTCTTTCAAAAATACACCATATACGTTGTTAAGCGTGCTGCCAAGCGACTGCGAAAACCCTCCAGTGCCATCCTGTTCCTGCATATCATCATACCAAACATCGAGATTCTATACTACTAGGTCTCGATTCTCAAGTATGGGCAGCACGCCGTACCCACGTATGTTGATTTCTCCGTGATGGCTTTCCACTCGTGGACGAGCCATTATCTAGTCAAGGAAGGGTATTACGCTGGTTATAAGAACATTGCGCAGCTAGTTTTCCATGCGCAGATGCTGATTCGCCTGGCTATATCCTTCTGCTCGGTCTTTCTTGGATTCCCCGCTTTGCATGCAGCAACGATTAAGATCAACGCTGCGGCATCCTACCTGAGGACCCTGAAAAGAAGTACAACCCAGACGGTATTGTGAACTATTGGGTGTCCGGCTCCACTCAGTACCTACAGTACGTGATCCAATGCCTCGGATGGTGACAGTGGCTTACCACTAATAATGATGCTGAAACGTAGAGCAATGGGTGCAGCTAGCCACGGTGGAGGTTCCTGTCAAATTTCGGTGACATACTATGATAAGCCAACTCGGAAGACAGAATGGCGAGTGATACACTCCATTCACGGCGGCTGCCCCATCCGAAATCTGACCGAAATCAACTACGGGGACTCGGCGACCGTGCTTCTGCCGAGTGTCTATAATTTCACCGTCCCGGACTGGCTGTCCGTGGGCCGTGCCATCATGGCCTGGATTTGGTACGGTCGCTGGAGTGTTCCCGAGAGGTTCATAAACTGCGCGCCGATCCTAGTCTTAGGCGGGCCTACGCCCCCGGATGTGAGCGACTTACTTTTGCAAGCCCCGTTCGTTAAGGCACCGCTGATGTTCGAGGCTAACAACAGCAATGGTTACTGGACGGTAAATAAGGGAAGCTGTGTAGAATTCCCCGAACCAGGGCAGTCGATCGAAGTAAATCGCGAATGTCCTTTGAATGTGGATATTATGTTCACGGGTACTTGTGGACCGAGTCAAAGACTTGCTGTGAAATTGCAACCATCTATAATGTCTCTCCTCGTTGACAGCGTTCTACTGGCCGCAATTGTCGTCGTTGTTTCGCTGCTGATTGTGTCGGCCATCATGAGGGTGCTGGTAATTGGGAGGCGTCTCAAGTATAAGAGACTTGCACAGCCACGGGACTGCGGAGCATATGGATACATCCAAACTTGCTCGTGCGACAGTTGCGCTTGACCCTCTGGACTTAAAATGCTTCAATGCATGGGCTACGAGATGGTTAAATAATTACGTGAATAATGGTAGCTTGACTCCAGGATGCTGTTTCAATGCGAGTGGGGGACACCGAGGCACAACACCCCTTTGATAAGAATATAAGTCAATATCAATACATCCTACCGATTTCTGCACAATACTGAGGCTTATATGGGATGTGCGGCAAGTGCAATCTATCTCAACTCTATAAGCCTCGATATTTTATTAAATAGACTAGTTATAACGGTGACTATGCCCTAGTTCCCGACCAGCCCTTACTTAGTAACTATCAGAAATTTTAGGGCCACGGAGTGAAGAAGACAGTGGTAACAGCTTAGGGTAGGGTAGAATGACAACTTATCTCTGGTTTTCCGAGGGCGCGGGCACCCTCGGGTCTACATCGCCACCCGGCAGCAGCGTGCGTGCTGCTGCCGCGTCCTCAAACGTGACCTAACAGCGGCAACCCGGGGGGCCGCGCCCCTGGAGTTTCGTCGCCGTCGCGCCGCCACATGTTGTGCCGCTGTAGCGGCGCGACCGCTCTTTTCCTAGTTCGTGCTTGACAGCAACCATCCCCGCTCCACTGTGCATGTTCCTCTCAAGTTCGTTAAGATACCGTATGATCTCGTCAAAGTTGTATTTCTTAGCAAATAATTTCCTGTGACTGGATTTGTCTCTCCACATTTTTGAATGCTAGCTCTGCAAATCATGAGCAATGCGCCCAATTAGGGCTTTTTATAGCTGAAAGTGGATATGCCAAGAAATCCAGCTTCGACGAGAATATGCGGTACAATCCATATTTTATCGTGCTTGTCAATATGCTGCCCCTCATGCAGATTCATAGACTTGGCTGAGGTTAACATGGACATTGAAAGCAGGTTTTACCTGCATTGAATTAGGCAGGCTAATAAAGTTGGTCTTGACATAGAAGGAATGTTGCAGTGGTACGATGCAACAGTACTGTCCCTACTGAGGTGGAGCTCAATGTGCCAAACTCCACATCTAATACAAATACGGCATCTTCAAGTCCTAACCTACCAAAACAAGCCTACCAAAACAAGCTTTGAATACAAGATAGGAAGGTGACTCTGTTAATTTGTGGTTTTTGTACAGAGAATTTTGCTCATCGGCGAAACTTAAACAAAAGCACCAACACAGCCCCTTAGGCGCAGACAGGAATCTCGGCTTGACAAACTATAATAATACTGGCACATAGCCCATCAGCATCGCTACCATATTGTTCAAAGGTTACTCATCTCCCAATACCGTCAAAAACAATCACCCACTCTGACTACCAAAATGCGGTTCACTCCCTTTTATATCTTTGTCGCTAGCCTGCTGGCTGGTTCCGCCCTCGCAGCTCCTGCCACTACGAATTCCGCCCCAGCACCGACCGGTTGGCCAGAGTGCCGCCCCGCTGGCTGTAAGTCTTCACTCCCGAGTAGCATCAGGGAAGTTTACAGCTCGGTTAATAGTTATCTTATCAGACTGTTGCGCTGGCTCGGGTGACCACACCTGCTGCCCAGGGTTGACGTGCCTACTTGACCAAGGTGCGGGTTGCTATAATGTTTGTGGCTAAAGAAGCCTTGTCAATCAAGAGGTTCTGATGGGCTCGCCGGCTTGGGCACTGGTGTAAGATATATTTTACTTGTATAAGTTATCCTTGGGCCCCAACATTAAAGGGTAGGGGCACTAGCCAGTGAGCCTTCCTACTAAGGGCACCAATACTATCAAGACTAAACATCAATGATACGGGCTCTAGCGGCGATACGGCCCCAGCGGTCATAATGGAATTAATAAGTACGTTCCCGGCAGGAGAGGATATATAGTTCTTAATAAACTGTCATTAGTGCTTAAAATAATGTATGGCGGTTTAGGATCGAAGGTTAAAATTAAAGAGAGTTGCTCATCCGTTTTAAACTATCGTTACTATTACAGGTTGGTTAATGTAAGTGGTTATTATAATAAAGTATAAAGGGTGATTCACTTTATTTAAAAAAAAAAACGTTATAGTTATAAAGAGAGCTTTTCTTTCTTCTTTCTCCTTTAACTTTAAATTTTTTATAATATTATAAAATTTATAATATAGTTTTAACTTTATTTATAATGCTTTAATAATTATTATAATTTATTACTTTCATTTAATATAAATTTATTAACGGGCCGAACACGGCCACGTCGTGTTCGAAGATTGCTCTTGAGAGGAGTTAGATGTGGTCCGTGTTGTGTCATCAGGCCTTAACAAGGAGGATGTCGCTGTCATAACTGGAACCGAGTTCACAAGTGACTTCAGCCACCAGATGTCAGGAGTTGTTAGTCGAGTCGGCTTAGACGTGTATAATTTCGCCATCAGGAAGCGGGTCGTATGCTTCAGTCCAAACAAGTTGGCTCGGTTCCAGCGGCTTGACCGACGCTTGGCCCACCAGATCAATGCCGAAGATTCGTTTCAGACTATGGCTAGTCTCGCAGTGCAGCGCGGTATAGCGATATATGGGCACGAAATTCTAGCTCGTCTTCTTGGGGGGGAGAGCCTACTCATTCTCCCTGGGTCCGGCCTCGTAGGTGCAGCAGCTGTCCGAGTCGCCCAAGCACTTGGAGCCGTTCCCTACGTCGCGTACACTATTAATGTCGATACCAGCCAGGTAGCGCAATATCTTGGCATTGGTCTTGACCAGGTAATTCACTGGTCAAAGGAATCCTCCGAGTCACTTCACTATGTAGTTTTCGCATCGGGTTCGGTCGACCCGTTGGTCAGCTAAGAGGCGTGCAGGCTTTTGCCACCGTTCTCCCGCTTTGTCAACTGTGCTGCCGGAAATACGGTTTCGGGATCTACAACTCAGTCATTCTCGGCTGCTCGAGGGTCCAGCACGCGGCCAATTCGCGGAGTCATCAATGCGGCAATGTTTTGAGGATCAGTGGCCAATATTCAATTTATCAAGAGCACCTTACTAATTCACATTCTAGGACGGGCTGTTTCACAATTAGTCGTTTGATGATTAGGTCACATCGATCAGGCCCAAAGTCGTGGGAAGCACCAATCTGCATGAGGCACTCCAAGATGTACCGTTTGACTTCTTCGTAATGACTAGCTCTGTATCCGGCACGTTGGGCACGCCGGGCCAAAGCAACTACGCGGCTGGGAATGCGTATATAGACGCCCTGGTCCGTCTATGAGTTCCCAAGGAAGGAAGGCTGCAGCGATTATCTTGCCCATGATCCTTGGCGTTGGCGTCGGTGCAGAGAATGCCAAGCTCGAGGAATCACTGAAGCGAAAAGGCATGTACGGAATTGACGATGAAGCGCTTCTCAATGCTTTCAAGGTCGTGATTCTGGAGCAGTGCGAAACCGGAGGCAAGAACCGAGATCACCTGGTGGTTAGTCTAGACCCTTCACTCCTGCGCAAGGCCAAGAAAGAGGCAGATGGTGATGTAGATGCCTTCTGGAAACCTGACCGCCGCTTCTCGACCTTGGTTCAAGCCATGAAAGCCGATCAGGATGCAGGACTCCGGGACGATCCGGCCTCTAGCTTGTCGAAAGTAAAGACAGCTACTTCAGTCCCCGAAGCTGCACAGATCGTCGTCGAGCACTTTAAGAATAAGCTCTCGCGAGTGCTAATTGTTCCGGCTGAGGATTTTAGTGAAGACAACCGATCCGTGACGAGTTACGGTAATGATAGCATGATAGGTGCCGAATTGCGAACCTGGATTTTCATGGAGCTTGTACTTGACCCCCCATTCCAGCAGCTCTTGGCACCTTCGCTCACAATTGGCAAGTTCTCTAAGTTGGTTTGCGCGAATCGAGGTATTCAGCAATAATAAGTTGTAACATACACCATGGATTATAAGTTGTTGTTAACGTCAAATGGCAATTTTCGTACATGGTTTTCCTATACAACAATCCGTGAATATCTTACAGCCTTGAGTGTAAGAATGGTCCTATGTCTAGGCATCGTACTTTGTATATTACTAGTATCAAGCGAGCATTGAGGCTGTCTTTCCGATTCGTTTATCGGCCACGCCAGTCCTGCAAAGTGCCGCCGGCCCTGTACTGGGTTCAGATAGACCCAGGAAACGAAGAAGGCACAAGTGAGGCAAATTTGGGAGACCGGTTTCGGGACACATTCGAGCTGTATCAGTATTCAATAAAGCTTGAAGCTTCAGATATTCATATTCTCTACAGCTTCTTGCAATTTATCCAAGTGAGAAGCAACGTTATTTCCACCTTGGCGCTGTAAGATAGCATGTGAGCCACGTCAGTTGTGACAAACCCCCTCGAGGCCCCCGTAACTTGCATGTTTCAATATGAGCATCGTGAGCTGGTCATTAATCTGTGAAGGGCTAAAAGGGGTCAGAAACCCGGCAGAACCACTCCTTGTCCATCCAATGAGGTAATCAGCATGGAAACTGGTGGGGGTTTCTAACTCCGTAGCATACACGAAATGGCCCTGCTTGCTTTCGGGTCTTCTTTCAATCGTATATTGTGCATGCGTCTAGATCGCGATGGTACACTGAATGTTCCGCAGCTCCGCCTAATTCTTAACAAACATGCCTTAAAGTTAGGTTGTAACAGAGTATCTCGCTGTAGGTAATGTCCTTTATCTGATATGATGAAAACTGTTGCATCTGCAACAATCATTGAATGGCCCTAGGGTTACAAGAAAAGAATAAAAGTCCAAGGATCTGGCAACAATTAACTGCTTGCATCTAAACACCCTTTGGGTATAGACCGATTGCAGGAGTTGTTGCAGCTTCCCTCGAAAACCCGACAGCTTGACATGCTGTTATAACATTTGTGGCGAATATATGAAAAGGAAATTTACCCACCACTAAGTCAAGGCCATCGATTACCTATAGCTGATTGACCAGTATCGTTCAGATGTACTCCTTTATGTGATACAAGAACTCGGAAATTTATCTAGCGAATCGAAGAGTATTTGGTGTACCCTTACGATGTATTATGGCTCGTTGATCAGTATTGAGACAAGTAATCTTATCTCTCGTGTCTGCAAGGTTGGTATAAATGAGCCATATATGTGATGAAGTAGCCCACCAAATGGGGCCTATTGGTTTCATAATTGGCCTCCTTGATTGGCAGAGCGACGTTGTTGTCTTTGTGCACCATCGCGATAGCAGATATCTTCGACACGCCGAGTAGTGCAGCTTAATTCCAAGGTCTTGGAGTCTTCCATAGTCCATACTTGTACAGCATAGGTTAGGTTGAACCATCATGTGGAAGATTCGTTTAGCGACATGGTACAAGCTATGGTTTGTGAGACGGCACAGATTTATTGGTCTCATTCCTTACCTTCAGCTGACTTTTCTCAGCTTGCAACCAGAAGTAGCCAATTACGACTATTTTCATTTCCTATAAATGCCTGATGAAATCCTCGGCCTGATCCTAAGCCACATATATTCTTCCTCGCTACCACTCTCATTCAAGTCATTCATTCTAGTTCAACTGCTACCATGTACGGTCCAACACTCTTTAGGAAAGCTTACATGGTGTCGGCCATTTTATCATTCTCAGTTGGCATTGATGCTCAATGCTATGCCGACGCGTAGGCAAATGTGATTGACCCGATGTCCCGACGGAGGACTAACAGAATCGTAGATGCTACAATGCACTGTTCCCTTGTCAATCACCACAGGCGGTGGCTGATGCTGCGGCATTCTGTGCAACTTTGACCAATCGCTACATATATGCCACTGACTTTCCTGCTGAAGCAACCGGAGCCTGTGGCCTTAATAAGGCTGCTTATCTTTCAGGTCAGTCGGTCTAAACGGCAGCTGTAACAATTTAACTGGGGCTTTAATATGACAGCAACTACTCAATGCGTTGAAAACTACGAAGTAAGAATCATGTACTGAATATTAGCCTCCGTAGCTTGCTCCTGTGGACATACCTGCCCGACCCTATCTACCATTACCAGCACGACATCTCTTTCCACTCTTACCACAAGCACCGTAACGAACACTCCATCCACTCCGACGGCTACCGTTGTCCCATCGTCATCGCTAGTTTCTGTCACTACTATTACGACTGGGATTATAAGCTCAGAGACCGTGACCGACCCCAGAATCTCATCCGCCACGTTCTTCTCACTCTCCACCTCAGTCACTACTGATACTAGCGGCTCGACGGACACGGGTACTTCGGTGTTGACGCCGTCGCTGGTTTCGTCTTCTACAACTGTTGACATTACCACATCCACTATGCTCACATATTCACAGTCTAGTGTATCAACTAATACGGCAACGGTTACAAGGTCTTTAGACCCCACCACAACTTCGGTCACATTCACGCAGACATCTAGTCCGTCCGTCGCAACAAGTTTAACAGGCACAAGCACTATTGTCATTATTACATCCGTTAATAGCACGAGTACCTCTGTTACCGCCGTCGAAAGTACGATTTCAAGTCTGTCGACTATCACATTTACGTCAACTGGCACAACGGTGCCGACAATATCAACTGAATCGGGCACGCAAACAGTGACTCTCAGTCAGACGTTGAGTTCATCAAACACGCAGAGTACTTCTTCAACTACTTTCGCATCTCAAAGCACCGGAACGTCTACTGTAACCCTTGGATCTACATCTTCCAATACAGGTATATCGCCATGCTCACGTTCGGATCTATTGACCCGATCATTCTGACGCATTTCCAGTTTCAGTATCAAGTGGTTCGAGCACTATGACGATCACATCAGGCTCATCACCAACGACGACACAAACAAGATCATCTAGTATCGGCGGACAGACGACTTCAACAATACCAAGCTCGTTTTCATCGAACCCACTGACACCGACTACGTGGAGTACCATCTCGACTGAATCCACATGGTCAAGCTCTTGCACAGATGGTGCTGATAATCCCCCTTCAACATCGTCCGCGACATCCATTCTGTCGATTAACGACCGTACGACTACGACGAGGTCAACAGCCACATCAGGACCTCCGTCAACCACCACTGTGGCGCCAACCTGTGTGCCCGCACAAAACGTTGGGGTGATGAATGGGGATTTTGAGGGCACGTTTGCGCCTTGGTACTTTAACGTCGCTGAACCCTTCGTCTCAGAGTACGGCACAGTACGCGAGGGTGCCCAGGGTTCATGCACCTCGTTCCACGTCTCGCTGCGGCGGACGAGGAATACGGACGACCAGCGGCCCGGCTTTGAGCTCATCAGTCCGCTCTACGACGTCGATCAAGGGGCGAGATACGTCTTTTCTTTCTGCGCCAGGTTTTTGTACCGCAACACCGCTCGCATCAGCATCCAGGGGAACCAGGTGGACGCCAACATGACGAGCATCGTCGCTTGGCAGCAAGATTCCTTGTGGAACTGCTACAAGGTCGATTATACGCCGAGTGTCAGCTGGGTCGAGCTTATCATTAGTTTCAATCTGGACAGGGCTGATCGGAACTCGTTCTGGGTTGATCGCATCCAGCTGGCACCGGCTCCTCCTGTTTCAACTACTGCATTCCCTGGAACAACAGTCACGGCATCGGCGGTGGTAGCTACGACGAACTTTACCCTGTCGGTCTTGGACGCTACACCTACGGACTCCTCGACTGTTATCCCGCTGACTTTGGGAACCACTTTGACGACTGCCTTGTCTTCTACCGTTTTGGCAACTGTAAAAGCCACGGCGGTGCCATGAGTATCGTTTGACTAGGGCTCAATGGACGCACCGAGCTATGCTCTTCCGTGCGTCCGCTGCACCCATTATCGGTCAGTGGACGGTAAATTCTAGATTCTTGAGCGCACACTTAGGAGCGCGCATAGTCGTGAGAAGCTTAGATGTTGAAAACTTCTCGTTTTGTAAACTACCACCCAATCCAAATACACGATACTGTGCAGAATCTCCGTAGACTGTATCCTCCATTCCGGCTCATGGCTAGGACGCAGATTGTGGACTGAAGTAAACATGTCATGCATGAGCTTTACTGTCGTCATCAATAATATTGGATGTTCACGGTAGCTAAGCATTTGTGGCAGTGTAAGCCAAGCTGCACGCGAATACCCCATCTCTTGTCCTACCTGCCTAATCCGGACGCAGGGTTGTGTTGCAGAAATCGGCACCCGAGTCCAGCTTCTAGAAGCCATGTATAAGCTTTGCTGAAGTTTCTAACGGCCTCGAACTTGCTGGGGACCCCCTTGACGGCTGGAACCCCGTGGTATTCGGTGCCTTCCGGTCTTGGCAGTCAACTCGCTGCAGACGCTGACTCGTCATCTCCGCAAGCGAGCGCCATCACGACTTTCCGGATATTCACGGCGGTCGCCCGCTGCTGTGCCCGTCTGCCCCCTCGCTAGCAGGTGTTTTTCCAATGCCAGGTAAGGTTTCGAGCGGTTCTGTGGCACAGTACGTAGTTGCGTGGTTTAATTGTCCAATAAAGGTTCATCGGTGGTGTTTTGGGGTGGCACAGGTGTAAACTGCGGGGAGGTTGCTCGCAGCGACCGTGTCAAGGATCAACAGGCGCGGTGAGATCACCACTCAGTCCCCGGACCCAGCCACCCCTAGGCATCAATCTTCTGCTGCCTTCTTACGCCCGGGCTTGCTGCCTGAGCGAGACGGAATACCACGGAAGATCATGCTGACCGCGTCATAATATGAAGGATAATGGTTGGGGGGGCAGTTTCCTCTCGCAAATGGCGGGATCGACATTAGAGAGCCGGGGTAGCTGCGTTCTTATATAACTAGGGACTAGTGGATGCTAAGACAATTCAAGCTTTTGACCTCCCGTCTTGTGTCTTCTTGTCCCCTTGTCCCAATTCTTATCTTCCAGCAGCATAGCTAGAAGTTGAGATAGAAGAAGATGCGCTGGACTAGTATATTCGCGGCGCTGACCTCGGTCGCGGCCGTTTCGGCCTTCAAGCCCGGCAGCCCGGGACACCGATTAGCCAAGCTCCAGGAGAAACAGGCCAAGGCCGCGGAGCAGCGTGCTGCCGACGCCGAAAGGCTCGGGAGCGACTATATCAAGCGCCAAGAAGTATCTGTCTTCCTCAACGAGAAGACTGAGCGTGCGTACATGTCAAACATTGTCTTGTATACTGCGGAATGCTAATAGGAATTGAATTATACAGGCTTTGCCGTCAATGGTAGCCAGCTGCCGGATGTAGACTTCGACATTGGGGAGTCGTACGCCGGCCAGCTGCCGATTGGAAACTCCAATGACACGGACCTGTTCTTCTGGTTCTTCCCGTCGACGAATGAGGCGGCAAAGGAGGAAGTTGTCATCTGGTTTACCGGTGGAGTATGACATATTCTAATGCTGCGTATCTGGAATTGTCTCTCGTACTAACAACCACACAGCCGGGCTGCTCGTCCATGGTTGCTCTGCTGCAGGAGAACGGCCCTCTCACGTGGCAGCCGGGCACCTACAAGCCGCAGGCCAACCCCTGGAGCTGGCACCATCTCAGCAACGTCATCTGGATCGACCAGCCCGTGGGCACGGGGTACACGACGGGCACGCCGACGGCGCGCAACGAGTTCGACGTGGCCGACCAGTTCCGGGGCTTCTGGAAGAACTTTGTCGACCTCTTCGGCATGCACGACTACAAGGTCTACATCACGGGCGAGAGCTACGGCGGCATGTACTGCCCGTACATCGCCGGCGGCATGCTCGACCAGAACGACACGACCTACTTCGACGTGGCCGGCATGCTCGTCTACGACGGCCTGATCGGCGAGGTCTCGGGCGACATCGTCACCGTGCCCTTCGTCGACTACTGGCACGGCCTGTTCCCGTTTAACGACTCGTTCAGCGAGCAGATCCACGACCAGCACGAGAGCTGCGGCTACGCCGAGTACTTTGAGACGTACCTGACGTACCCGCCCCCAGGCCCGCAGCCGAGCAAGCAGCCCGGCCTGACGGACGACCAGTCCGACTACCTGGCCAACTGCAGCGTCAGCAACGACGTCTGGGACGCCATCCTGGCGCTGAACCCGTGCTTCAACATCTACTCGGTCAACGCGCAGTGCCCCATCGCGTACGACCCGCTCGGGTTCGCCGCCAGCAACGACTACCTGCCGCCGGGCGCGCCCGTGGTGTACTTCAACCAGACGGCGGTCAAGCAGGCGCTGCACGTGCCGGCGTCGGCGGACTGGGAGATCTGCAAGCGCGGCGTGTTCCCGCACGGCGACCAGTCGCCCGGGTCGACGACGGTGCAGATCCCCAAGGTCGTCGAGCGCACGCAGAACGTGCAGCTCGTGCACGGCTCCCTCGACATGGTGCTGCTGCTCAACCAGACGCTGCTGGCCATCCAGAACATGACGTGGGCCGGCGCCCTCGGCTTCCAGCGCGAGCCCCTCGAGCCGCTGTACGTGCCCTACCACGCCAACCCGGACCTGGGCACCGCGGCCGGGGCCGGCGTCTTCGGCACGGCCCACACGGAGCGCGGGCTGACGTACATGACGGTCGAGCTCAGCGGCCACCAGGTCCCCGGCTTCCAGCCCACCGTGGCGTTCCGGCAGCTCGAGGTCCTTCTGGGCCGCATCCCCGACATGCAGTCCAAGCTTCCGTTCACCACGGATGCCAACAACACTGCCCAGCCCGATGGCCCGCTGGGTCAAGGAACCGGTGACGACTGAGCGTTCGGGTAAAACGAGATTATATCTGCGGTAATTGTGTTGCGTCTGATGTCTTGATGCAGTAACAATTCTTCCTTCCTACTAGAACGATTATCCAATAAGTAGTATACCGTGGATAGATAATAGAAATACACAGTCAGAACACTATAATGACAGCCCTTCGCGTTGTGAAGACTCGACTGTTGCAACATCTATACATGAAGTAGGGGTGATGCTAACGCACTCAGTATCGCACCTTCGAGCTGAAACGGTCACAACGCAGAGATAAAGCAGGTAGATTGTGTTCGTTTGGTGTGGGTCACCAGGAGATGCTATGAACAGTCAATGGTTTCTATGTTGACCCCCTATGCAACTGCCGTCGAAACACTGCTCTAACAAAACGCCACCTCCACCCGTAATGGTATCATCACCGCTCTGGATCTGCCACCAATTGTCCCGCGAACTCCGAGTGTCATGCAATAAAACAACCGTCGAATCGAGTCTCCTCCTACGGAGTCAGCTTCAAGCCATCGTCCTCTACGGAGTATAGCCCGGGCGAAAGTTTGCTGAGCTGCTCTGTGAGCTTCGTCCGCTTGTCGCCACCTTTCCGCAGGATGCTCTGGGGCTTGTAGTGAAGCAGCGTGCGTAGGCCACCTCTGGGGGCCAGGAAGTAGCTCTTGGCATCGACTTCGCTCCCGCCCATTACCACTGAGCTCTGGACGCCAAGCTTCCAGGCGACCACCGATGTCAGTAGGCCAGGGAAGAGGTATGGGTATTGTAACATCTCTGCCTCAAACGCATTTACTGTCTCCACGGCGAGCTGGGTGTAGCGCTCATCGTCAAGCAGAGACCCGAGGCGGAACAGATTCGCTGCTGAGACAGCGTTCTCAGAAGGCTGGACCGAGTCCATGGCGTCCTTGACGCGTAGGAGGACGTTGGCTTCGCCCTCGGCCGTTCGATAGAAAGCGCCGCTCCTTGCTTTGCTTCCATCGTTGGGATAGTAGGCATGATCGTAGAACTTGGTGATTTGAATCGCTTCGGCGAGTTAGCTAATACCTGCAAGTTGATTGATCAAGGAAACTCACATTGTAATTCATCGGCCCATTCAAGCCAGGTTTCTTCCCCGGTGACTTCGTACAGCTCCAATAAGCCATCAATAAGGAATGCATAATCCTCTGCAAAGGCCTGGGTCGCACCACGGCCATCGCCGTGGTACACGCGGTATAAGACCTTGGCCTCCTTGTCCCAGAGTTTGTCCTTGATAAGGGCGGCTGTCTTGACTGCAGCGGCCAGATACTCATCCGTCCTGCCAATTCCCCCAATGGACCTGCAAGCCGCGTATGTCCGAGCAAGCGACCCAATTGCCATGGCATTGTAGGCTGTGATTACTTTAGTATCTAGGGCTGGTCGAGGTCGCTCTTTCTCGCGATGCGTCATCAGCTTTTGCTTGGCAGAGTCAACCAACTTGACAACTTCTGACTCTGAGATCTTGAACTGGCTAGCCAGTTCGGCAGTGTTCTTGACGACCCGGAGAACATTTTGGTTCAGATACTCGTCGTTAGGGTCTTGGTCGTTGGCAATGTTTCCGTGTTCCTTGACGCTCCAGTAAGCTGCGGCCACGGAGCTCTCTTGCTCGTTGCCAATAACGGTATCGAACTCCTTCCTCGTCCACAGGTAGTACGCCCCATGGCGAAGGGTGTTATCTCCTCTTCTGTTGCAGGAGTCGGCTGCCTCACTCGTCGCAAAACCGCCACCTTCCAGCAAAACTGGGGACGACGTGAGGTAATCAGCCAGCTCGAGCACAGTCTTGGCAAGCAGTCCATCTCGAGGAGCGCCCTTAAGCAGCCAAGCATCTAGATAGAGACCCAGAGCCAACGCATTGTCCGACAGCATCTTTTCGAAAGTAGGCACCGACCAGTCCCAGGTAACCGAGTAGTGATGAAAGCCACCCCCTAGGTGGTCGTGGATGGCGCCGTCGGCAATGTGGTAAAGGGTGTCCAGCGCAAAATCGACACAGCTGGTACTCAGATCGCCACCAATGATGTCGACGACGAAGCCCGGAAACTGGGAGGCTCGCAGCAGAAACGAGAGCTTCGCAGGTGTGATGAACTTGGCGGTATTTTTGATCAAGTCGTAGGCTTCCGCCACCTGCTCCAGCGGGAAGTTGCCCGACAGAAAGTTGGGAGGAGCCCCTCGAGGCATGTGCAAGAAGCCTCCGTTGGTCTTGTCAAAGGTCCGGGAGATGTGGGAGTAGGCCTCCTCGAGCTGATCCAGATCAACCTCGCCAGCGGCCACGGCTTCCGGGCGGCCCTCGGTGATGTTGGGCAGGCCGGCCGACTTGAAGGACTGATCCTGGGGGCCGAGCGTACCCTCGCCTATCATGGTGCGCAGCTCGCCCACGGCTTGTCTTCCACTGGCCCGGGTCTGGGCCTCCGAGGTCTCCCATGCCGACTTGGTCTTGTTGAGGACCACGAGCAGGTCGGCAATCTCCTCGCCCGTCTCGGGGACAACATGATGAGACCCCGGGGGCGGGAAGTACGAGCCGCCAAAGACGGGCTCGAGCTCGGGCGTCAGGAAGGCGGTGATGGGGTGACCGGCGGCGCTAGTGAGGGCCTGGACGTAGTGTACGTAGATGCTGTCGAGGTCGGGCCGCTCGTCGCGGTCGACGATGACGGGGACGAAGCTCTCGTTCAGGAGCTCGACGACGTGGGGGTTCGAGAAGGACTCCTGGATCGTGAGGTGGCAGTAGTGGGAGGCGCTGTAGCCGATGTGGAGGAAGATGAGCTTGTTCTCGGTCTTGGCCCGGTCGATGGCCTCCTGGCCGTACAGCTGCCATCGGATCGGGCTGTCCCTCTGCGACTGGACGTACGGGCTCTTGCCGGAGGCGGCCATGTTCTGCAGGGCCGACGGCCGTGCTGGCGCTGCTGCTGCTGCTGCTGCTGTTGCTGTTGCTGTTGCTGACGATGCTGACGACGGAGGATTCCCAGAGGCATGGGGATCCTGGGCCGGGGCACCCGACTCCTGCAACTGTGCCGACATCATCTTCGCAAGCTTCTTTCGGGAGTATAGGGCCTCTGTCGGTGTCGCTAGATATGCATAGCGGTAGCCCAAGGCTTTCGGAGGAGAGAGAAGCCAAGGAAGAGTTTTGGCGATCGGCGGGCAAGCGGGCGAGCGGGCGAGCAGCAGCTACCTTCTTAGTCAACCGACTGAGTTGCGCTCCAGTGCCAGTGACGCCCTAGGTTATCCTATCGCAATCGGCACGTCTCTCCCCACATTTGCCATGTCGTTGCGATAAACTAATGAAATCCTAAGAAATGGTGGGGTTCCCGGCATGTGAGACGTCAAGCCACTCGAGGTCCCCCGGCCGGCCGCATCCGAGCCCGTGGAGATCCTGTTCAAGGTTGTTCTAGCGCTGCCTTCTCGCCTGGGAAAAAGATACCTTGGGATGCTCTGACTTATCTGCAATGGAATGCTAAAACGGTTGCCGGGGACGGACGCGTAATTCAAAAACTCATTACCGTGACATTGGGGTATCTAATCTACAGTCTCTGTCACAAAGCAGCCGCAGCAGTGCCACAGTGACACCCTCGACATCTCCTACCCTGAATCGACACCTACGTCCTCTGAATGTCTCCTCGGTGCCGGCTGGCTTTGTCCGCACGGCTCTCGCGAGAGTCGAGATTCGGCACAGCATTCTTGAGAGTGTAATACTACAGATGAAAATTTCCACGCGTGGGGGCTCCCTAGCATCGCTGGCTTTTGGTGCTAGACCATATTTGCCCGATCTTTACTTGCCCGCAGCGGTGGGTTTCCTGTTCATGAGGTTGCCGAAGAACTGAGCCAGCCTCTCTGTGTCCACAGGCTTCTTTGGGTCGCGGTCGTCCTCCTCCTCTGTCGCAGCGGGTTCCGGGGTCTGGCTGTATGCTTGGCGGTCCTGTGAAACTCGTTAGATCCATCATTCTTCCGCAGAGACTACGGCCCACTCATAGAGAGACACGGGGCGCAAACTCACCTTAAGCCGCTGTACCATATCGTCAGCGTCGACTTGAATGCCGCCCATGTTGAACTGCACCGGTCCGATGTGGTCGCTGATGACCTCGTCCGTCCCGCTACCCTGTTGAGCAAACTCCTTGCCATCCTCCTCGTCGACCTTCTTCTCCTGCTCGATACGAGGGACGAGCGTGGCAAGAAACTCCTGGACGTTGGCGCCCTGTACCTCGAGTCTAGTTGTATCCTGCTTCTGCTGCGCAAGTTGCAAGGAATCGAGGCTGGAGTCCTTCACTTGAGATTCGTAGAGGACGACTGCTGAGCCTTCGGGGTCTTCTACACCACCCTCCGAGGCCGTGTCTGGGTTGGGTATCGAGCCGTCGGCGCCGTTCACACCGTTTGACTTGGACGGCATGGGGAAGTCCTGGTCTATATCAATGCTCCAACCCTCACCCACTGTGTTCACGTCGAACCCATCCCGCAGAACCATGATCTTGCTCGTCGAGTCCCAGTTGGGAGGGACCACAATCTTGTCCCTGTCGATCACGTTGTGCTTCAGAGGGGCGCGTTTCAGAAGCGAATGGATACCCAGACTGGCGTGCACCAGACTCTGAAGAGGTGTGTCTAATGTTGGGCTTGTGTAAATCAGAGAAGCGCCATCTGGTCACGATTCAGCATCGAGCAATAATTTCGGCTTTGTTGAAGGACTCACGCTTCAAGAGGACAGTCCGGAGATACTGGAGTACCAGGTCAAACTGCTCCTCCTTCCAGCTCTGGGACTTTTCCAGGTAATCCATCTTCTCGGCCTGTTGCGCATCAGCATGTGCTCTAGCAGGGAGGTTACGAGGGAGGGGGGAAGAACATACGTTTTGGCAGACGACGCACAGTGGCAGTCCCAGAATCTCGTCCCATTCGCCCTGTCCTACGGGCAAGGCAACGTTGCCCTCGGTGCTGATGGCCTCGGTTCCGTCCAGGTTGACAGAGCTTCCTCCTCGGCCCCTATCCCTCCACCTCATCATGTTCTCCTCCATCTCATCCTTGCACTCGAGACTTAACGAGGCTATTACAGACCGTATCAGGAGGATCCATTCCCGCAGTTGGCGCATCCATGCCCAGGGCTGGGACCAGTCGAGCAGCACGACCAACAACGTGTCCTTGATCGATTGCGGCGTCAGGAGAGGTTTGATCAGAGATGTGAACGAGGGAGAAGGATTCGAGAGCAGGTAGAGCGAGACGCGGGCCAGGATATCTGCGGTAGTAGGTTAGCTAGGTGCGGCAGAGGTCGCCTCCTTCTGGGGAGGGACGGTGACGTACCGTCTTGGTCGGCGTCTAGCAGGTCGTAGTAGGTGTATCCCAGGGCGTAACTGTTGGCGATCGGGGCCGTCTTGTCCTTGGCTCGGTCCAAGTTCCGCCTGGACTCGTTGCTCGACAGGGCCTCGAAGAACTCCCGCTGCGACTCTACAGTCCCTCCTGTTGGTCGCGGTCAGAAGCGTGGCCCGGCTGCTAGACACGGCGCTCCATGCTGAGCACCGCGAGGAATGGGCAAGGCTTACCAAAGACGAGCAGGTTCTTCTCCGGCAACCGCTTGGCACTGGCGACATTGTCGAGCATGGAGCTCCACATGTCCTTCTTCTTCTCTTCATTCTTGCTGCTGTCCGGACCGGAGCCAACCGAGGTATTGGTATAGGTCGAGTAGCGGTTCGCGTTGGCCGTCATGGTTGGGACTTGTCTGCTGGCAGCATCGCCAGCAGCTGGGCTGTTGGTGTCTCGTGCAACTCCAGCGGCGCGTTCTCGAGCTGCGTGCTAATGCCAGACCGTGGGACGCAGGACGCAGGAAGCAGCACGCGCGTGTACCGGCGGTCGGATGGGCAAGGTGTTTTGGGGCTCAGCTTTGAGCGATCCTGGAGCTCCAGCGGTATTGGATGCAACAGACCCGGACTAGCGACAAGGGATCACGGATGGGCCTTTCCTTAATTTCGAGCAGGGGACTAGATCGGACGTGTTGGAGATGTCACAGGCAAACGGAATGCAGCAGTGAAGAAAGGCTAGCCAAAGGTACGTAGTCAGAATGTTTCGTTTCAGAAAGTCCCATTCTTTGGCGGCATTCATCTCGTTCATGCCGCTGATCTCACAGCCCAGCCAGTGCTCAGGGGCCCCTGAACCGTGGACAGTGGACCGTGGACCTCTGGTGTCGGGCGTCCCTGGGGGGGGGAGCTTGACCACATGCAGCACCTGGCGCCGGGCGGCCTAGAGCAGCCCTGAGGGCGTCAGCCCAGTGCTTCCCCAGTGTAATTGGCTCATTCCAGCGCTGTGCACTACATAGTAGCTCCAGCGAGCCGCCTATACCGCATTTGGCGGGGCGAGGCTGCTGAAGAGAGAAGGGAGAAAAGCCTCCAAGCTCAAGGATAAGGGCGCGTTGACTGGGCGCGCTAGCTAGACGTCACCATGCGCTTTTCCGCAGCCTTGCAGCCGCTGGACCTGGGGAGAGCTGCCAACGTCAGCCTTCTCGCCTCGTAGCCACAACCCTCATCACTCTGCTGCTCTGATACTGGCGACAGGCTACCCTGCACCGAGCGACCAGCATAGAGCCGTTTGAGTCTTGTTTGCCTCATCATGCTCCTCGACACCTTGTAGGAACGACGACGAGAACAATACCCCAGCAAGAGAGCAGCAACACGACCAGGCAGCCCGTAGCCCGCCAGGATGAACCAGATCCGCCAGATCCAGGCACTCAACCGCCGCGAGCTCGAGGCCGGCATCCACGACCCCAACGCCTCGTGGCACGCCGACTACCGCGACACGGCCTTTGTCAACTTCGGCGGCCTGCCCTTCGACATGTCCGAGGGCGACGTGCTGACCATCTTCAGCCAGTTCGGCGAGCCCACCTTCCTCAAGCTGGCCCGCGACAAGGAGACGGGCAAGAGCCGCGGCTTCGGCTGGCTCAAGTACGAGGACCAGCGCAGCTGCGACCTGGCCGTCGACAACCTGGGCGGCGCCGAGGTCGCCGGCCGCCTCGTCCGCGTCGACCACGCCCGCTACAAGAGCCGCGACGACGAGGACGACTCCGAGTTCCGCGTCGGCTGGGACGACATGCGCCGCCGCGAGCGCCGGGACCGCGGCGAGAAGAGCGAGAGCGACACCGAGGCCGACGGCGACGACAGGGACAAGGACGACGAGGAGCAGCGCAGGGCCCGCCGTCCCATGCTCAAGGAGGAGCGCGAGCTGGCCCTGCTGATGCAGGACCACGACGACGACGACCCCATGAAGGCGTTCCTGATCGAGGAGAAGAAGAAGGAGGTCGAGGACGCGCTGAGGAAGGAGGAGCGCAGGGAGAAGAAGCACAGGCACCACCACCACCACCACAGCCATCGGCACCACCGCGGCCACCGGCCGCGCAGGGACGACGCCGACGGCGACGAGGGCCGCGACAGAGACCGGCCTAGGAGATCCAGGCGAGACGAGACGCCCGTCGCTGACGACCGGCGGAAAGAGGCGACGCCCGAAGCCGCAGCCCGGGATAAGGACAGAGAAAGGCACCGGGATAGGGACCGAGAGCGCGACCGGAGGCGGCGCGACGACGATGGGGACGGGGAGCGGCGGCGGGAGAAGGATCGTCGGAGGGACCACGACGGCAGTGAGGACCACGAGAGGCGACGGGAGCGCCGCAGGGAGCGAGATTACAACCCGGATGACAGAGACCGCCGAGACCGCAAGAGGTCGAGAAGCAAGTCGCCACGTTCACATCGAGACAGCCGTAGGTAAGAGGTTCTTTTAGGAATTGAGAGCGTGGATTCGTGGGAAGATACCCCATCTATCTAGCCTTTGACAGTCCGCATCGCTTTGCCCCTGTGATTTACTGGAAAACAAAAGTAGCTTGCCCTTGGCCCGTTGCCGCCGTGGAAAGCCATGCCGAATTACCCCCCTATACTCCTGAACTCCATGGTTTCGTATCCTCATGCTCTAAAGTGAGACGCCGCGTGCAAAAAGGAGAAGTGCCGGGACCCTAATTTCCAAGGTACCGTTTCCAACCCTCTCGGACCAGCACCCTCTGGCCCTCGTCCCCCGTGGCGAGCACGAACTTCTCCCACCGCGCATCCCGGCCGGCGCCGACGACAATCAGACTGCTGTCGTCGATCCACCCGATCACCCCCTTGATCGGCCGCGTCGTCCCCAGCACGGCTTGCCCCTCGTTCGCCGCCGAGCCGGCCATGGGTTCGTCGCCGGCCTCGAACCTCGCCGATGTGAACGAGTACACATCCGAGAACGGCCCGAACGGCAGGCTGGACAGGAACCCCCATTTGTTCGTGGCGTCGGCGGCGGCGGCGGCGGCGACGCCTCCCGATCCGGCCCCGGCCGCCCCCGTAACCCCTACGCCCGGCGAGCGCGGCGGCGAGGCGGACCGGGACGCGCCGCCCCGGCCGGGCGACGACACGTCGAAGATGTGCAGGCTGCCCTTGGCGCTGGTGCAGGCCAGCATGGAGCCGCCGGGGCTGAAGCGCAGCGAGTAGATCTGGGCGAACTCGCTGCCGCGGCGGCGCTCGGCGACGCGGGCGCAGCTGGCGGTGGAGAAGATGCGCACGATGGTGCCCTTCTCGCTGGCCGTGGCCAGCAGCTCGCCGTCGGCGCTGAGCTGCAGGGCGGCCAGGCGCGAGGCGTGGGCGGGGATGATGCTGACGTTGTCGGTGGCCAGGTCGACGACCTGGACCTGGCCCGGGGTGCGGCCCGGGAAGACGAGCCAGCGGTCGCTGAGGGCGCACAGGCCGGCCAGGTTGTCGGCCGTCTCGTACTTGGCCAGCGGCTTGGGCTGCTTCTCGAAGGCGTAGACGCGCACCGAGTTCTGCAGCACGACGGCGACGCGGGCCCGCGTCAGCTGCACGCCGCGCACCGCCGTCAGCGTCGTGATCTCCAGCGCCACCTTGGCCTTGCTGTCGTCCCAGATGATGACCTTGTTCTGCGGGAACTTGGGCGACCGCCCCCCGCCCACCAGCGCCAGGTAGTTGGACATGCCCATCATCTGCACCAGCGCCAGGCCGGCGTTGAAGTCGCGCCTCGTCTGCAGCTGGCACGTCGAGGTCTGGAAGACTACGAGGGTGTTGCGTCAGTGTGCGTGGACTTTTATGTCTTTCTTTCTTTTGTTGCCATGGATCTCGGGGGTCATGGGGGAGAGAAGGGAAGGGAGGGGATGGAGCATACTGCAGAAGCCCGTGTTGAGCCCGACGGAGAAGCGGCTGGCGTCATGGTTGAAGGCGACCGACAGGACAGCCGGCTCGTTGGGAGCCTCTATGGGGGGCCGGGTGTTCATGTTGCTGTCTGATGCTCGCTCGAACCTGGGGCCAAGTTGGCTATGTGATGTCTCATGAGCTGCGAGCTGCGAGCTCGGGTTATATCAGATGAAATGAGTTGCAGTGAATGCGTAGTTCGGTCAGGTCATGGCGTAGTGTGAAGGAGCTGCTTTGGCAATTTTTGAAAAGATGATTTGCCCCCGGGGGTCTGTTCCAGAAAATACGATCAAGCTCGCCGGTGGGTGATCGTGTGTATGTATAGTCGTGACCCGAAGGCGAGAGAAGGGTCTATAAGTGGTGAGGGCGGGCCGGATCTCGAAGAATCAAGTCACCTCACTCATGCCTGCGGGGATCCTGGGTTCCGCGCGTGTGAGATGAGAGAGGCCGCCTTTTTTTTGCGGTGGGCTATATACGAGGCGCGGACGATATCATGTCATGTCAAGAGGGCGCCGGGCGGATCCATTCAGGACAGGAACTCTGAGGATGAGGTTTGGGTAGACGAGTGAGTGAGTGCCTCACATTCAGTAGGCTGCATATCGGATAGCGACAGCCACAGCCAGCCAGTCACCGGTCAGCTGCAACTCTGGACATCTGGCCGGGTCGCTAGGCTATGAGCTGTCCGTGGGACGATGCAATGCATGCACGGACCAGGTGCAAGTACCGTGGGCTTTCATTCGACGGGCCGGCCAGGAGAAGAGGTCTTGGACGATTGGGGTCGACACTACGCAAGTGCGTGGCTATCTAGTCCGAGGCAGGCGATAGCAAGTTGCATTCACACATGTATACTCGGTGCTAATCTTGCTATACTATGGTATGTGTACGTATATGTATATGCAAGGCTGGAGCCAGCCGGCCGTTCATTCTCTTGCTGTGCAAGTGCGATATTACCCACCCAGGTACCGTGGTACACTTGAAGTTGCCAAACGACAGTGGCTCCGGCTAGCTTGCGCGCTTGCCTGGCCTGATTCGGCACTCTAAAACGCAGATCTGTACTCCGTGCAGTCCATCGCTTTCAGTGTAGTTATGCCCGAGCAGAGAGGCCAAGTACAATAACGACGCCTGGGCATGCCTTGGCTGCTCGATTGGCATGGGAAGGAAGTTCCCGTGCTTCGAAACCTGAGAGGCACTTGCTGCTGTGTACAATCAGTCGGAGCTATCAAGACTCAGAACGCAGAACTCGGAACTGGTGTGCAGCCAGCACTAATCGCAATTACTCCACGAAAGGATTGGCGGTGATATGAGCAGATGCTCATTTGGACGTCGGGCCCACTGATGCTACCCCTGAATTGGCGGATGGGTGTTTGTGGAGAAGTCGAATTGGCAGGGGAGCATTGGCGCAATCCCGATCAGTGCACTGCAGCCAAATATCATGGATGCCAGCTCAAACTGCGAGCTACCACCGTAGTGGGCCAATTAGAGGACCCCTGGCCGCGGACGGGCGTTACCTGCCACCACCGGGGCAGTCCATCAGCGGACACGACGGGCAAGCAACCTGGAAGCAAGCAAGCAAGACAGGACATGCACAGGCGGTAGCTACAGGGCCCGGTCCAGTGCAATTGCCCGCTGACAGCGAACAGGGGCCGTGTTCTCTCGCTCGCCCGGCAGCTGCAGCTGGCCCAATTTTTGTGTGGTGAAATTAGCAGAAACGGCGACCTAGCCCAGCAGCACCCAGAGGTTGGTCGTGAACTTGTGGTACCTGAGAGCCCAGGGACGACCCGCCCCTTGGCCCCCCCGAAGCCCCCAAGCCTAGCCAGAAGCCCCCAGCTCACCAGCCAGGCAGGCTGTGTCTCTCCCTCTCTCTCCCCCCCTCTGCCAACCTGGAACCCAGCTTAACCAGAAGTTGACCAACCATCCCCGACCGACCGACCAACCAACCCGACACGCCAGCAAAAGCGAGAGGTCCCCTTTTTTTTGAGATACCCCCTTCGCAGAGACATCACCGCTTTTGGACGAACATCTGCATCGTCACATTCTTTTTTCCTCCCCCATCCCTCCGCCGCCGTTCCACCTCACCGCAACGCCCACGTCCCCGTCTCCGTCTCCGTCCACGCAACCCCTTCGTTTCGGTTGCCCGAGATCGCCCATTGCGCCAGCCCGCTACGCAGTCGAACCCCCCTTTGCGAACCCGACACTGAGACCGAGAAAAGCATAGCCTAATATGTCTTCCCCAGCCGTATGTTTATGAGGCCCCATCTGCCCCCAAGCCCAAGCCCAAGCACAGATGCAATCTGGCGGGCGGGCGAGCATCGTCCCCTTTCCTCCATCCCGAGCTGCTGCTGCTGCTGCTCTCCTCCAAACCAACCCAATTGATTCGTCTGTCCGCGTCTGTCCGCGAGTCTTGTCGCCAGTCGGAACCACCTTCTCGTGTCGAGACATCGTTGTCCATCCTCCCCCATTCCATCTCGTCGCGTCCGCCGTCCACCGTCCTGGTTCCCCGTGCTCCTCCTCCTCCTCCTCCACCAGTGGCTGACCCGGCTCGATGCCTCCACAGAAGATGATCCGCCGCAAGAAGAACGTGAAGAAGGGAATTCAGTTCTGTCTGATGGTCTGCGGTGCCTCAGGAACAGGTACATACACACCGCATCTCCTAGCCGTGCCGTCTCCTGCCCGCGGCGCCAGCCTCGCGATATATTTCGACCCTGCCTGCTTGCTCCTGCCTCGTGGCATGGCATGCGCTCGCACTGTTGGCAGCTGTCCCTGGCGCGGGCTCGCATCCGCATTCGGCAACATGCTAATTCATCCGCTCCCCCTCTGCAGGTAGAACGACCTTCGTCAACACCCTCTGCGGAAAGGACGTCCTCACCCACAAGGACTCGGACGATGCCAGCGCCGCCCACGTCGAGGACGGTGTCAAGATCAAGCCCATCACAGTCGGTATGTGTCGCCAGTCATATGGTCTCCCTGCCACGATGTTCACCGGCATCATGCCGTGACCATGCACACCGATTGCCGCTAACATGACCCGTCACAGAGCTCGAGTTGGACGAGGAGGGCACCCGTATCTCCCTGACTATCGTCGACACTCCCGGCTTCGGTGACCAGATCGACAATGAAGCGAGGTAATTTTCCGTTCGCTGCTCGAGACGTACATGTGCATTACAGTCTTGGCTGACCGCAGTCCTGCAGCTTCTCGGAGATTGTTGGCTACCTCGAGAGACAATACGATGATATTCTGGCCGAGGAGTCGCGTATCAAGCGTAACCCCAGATTCAGGGACAACCGTGTCCACGCCATGCTCTACTTCATCACCCCGACTGGTCATGGGTACGTCTAACACACCACCCGTGCACGTCCAGCTCAGCACGATAGGAACTAACCACAGTGCACACACGCTGCAGTCTCCGCGAACTCGACATCGAGCTTATGAAGCGCCTCGCTCCCCGCGTCAACGTCATTCCCGTCATTGGCAGAGCTGACTCGCTCACCCCCCACGAGCTTGCCGAGTCCAAGAAGCTGGTCATGGAGGACATTGAGCACTACCGCATCCCCGTCTACAACTTCCCTTACGACATCGAGGAGGACGATGAGGACACCGTCGAGGAGAACGCCGAGCTGAGAGGCCTCATGCCCTTTGCCATTGTTGGTTCCGAGGACGTCGTCGAGATTGGTGGCCGCACTGTCCGCGCCCGCCAGTACCCCTGGGGTGTTGTCGAGGTTGATAACCCCCGCCACTCGGATTTCCTCGCCATTCGTTCCGCCCTGCTGCACAGCCATCTTGCCGACTTGAAGGAGATTACCCACGACTTCCTGTACGAGAACTACCGTACCGAGAAGCTCAGCAAGAGCGTCGAGGGTGGTGCTGGAGTGTACGTGTATTCCCATCATGGACCTCGGCCGAGAAATCAACTAACTTTCCGCAGTGACTCGTCTATGAACCCCGAAGACCTGGCATCGCAGTCCGTCCGCCTCAAGGAGGAGCAGCTCCGCCGCGAAGAGGAGAAGCTGCGCGAGATCGAGATCAAGGTCCAGCGCGAGATCAACGAGAAGCGACAGGAGCTGCTGGCCCGCGAGTCCCAGCTCCGCGAGATCGAGGCCCGCATGCAGCGCGAGCAGTCGGCCCACGCTGCCGCTCAGTCGCCGAACCCCGAGGCCAACGGCGAGCACGAGGCCTAAATGCGACGCGTCTGTTTTCTTACGACTTCTGGTGTAATGGTGGCCAGACAAAAGTACGGGCTGCGGGCGTTGGATGTCTTGATATCCCCACCTTTATTACCGGCATATGCTCACCCGGAATGTAAGACGTTATACATCCTTCACGAGAAAAGGGGTTCAGTAATGAGATGCGGATGGTAGATGGGTATGTGGATAGACTGTCTGGTCGAGGCCATTCCCACCCAGAGGCTCAAGGGGGAGAGCGAACGAACCATGAACGTGGCGGAGGATGCGGATGGCCCACTGAACTATGGATTCCCAATCTTGATATGAGCCGACCACACCATATCAGGCCTACTTATTGATGACGACTTTGCAAGCGACGGGTGTGCGCGCCACCGAGCTTGATTGATGTAGTACTTTTTTTGCGAGTTGTCGACTTGTCTCTTTTACTTGACTACCTAACAACAATCCCCCTTTATTCTACTTTTTTTTTAAAAACGACGCCGAGAGCTTTCCTAGTACTAGTGGCCTTCTAATGCAAATATTGAAAATGCTCTCTTGAGGGTGCGCAAGATTGATAGTGACTACTCGACGTTTATCGGTTCTTTCATGGTCTTCCCGTTTTATAAACTTGACATGTACACTTGAGTCCGCGCGAGGCAAATTATTCCTGCATTCTGTGGAACCTGGTTGCTGGGACTTGTCTTCGAAGGCTCACGCTTCCAAATGCAACCCGCAGAACCGGAGCTCCGGTGGCCGGGAATGGGACCTGATGATTCTAAGTATGGTATACCTAGTTTCCCAAGTGGAGCAATGCACTAATCCCCTATCGTGTTCTACTAAGTAACACCGTATAATATCATCGTATTCCCTTTTCTCACCAGGTGGAGACGGCGTGAGAGGAGTGATGTACTGGAGCTCCATTTTGCCATTGGAAGGGAGAGCCCGAGGCTCGAAGAGCGAAGATGGCATATTTACGCAAGTGTGGGGTCTGGATAACTGTCGTCTGTCTGCTATATATGAAGTGTGATCTTGGGGTTTTACGCGCGGTAGCGCTGGTGAACGAAAGGTAGGTCGAGAGTTTGTTCGTCTTATTGTCGTAGTCTGTTTCAAACTATACAGGTTGACACTGGCAGAGATGAGGACCTCGCCCTGTCGATATTGTCCAGCGGCACCCCAGCGTAGTAAAAGAGGCTTGTGAATCGTCCAAGTCGAAATTAGGCATCATTGCCCGATAAACACAGATTTTTCAATGTTCAGATATGGTGTTCTCGTTGTGTCTGACAAATAGGATTGCATGGGATTGCCTATTTAGGTCGAGTTTGAAGCTGTGGCGCTGTAGGACTGGCGGTGAGCTCGATTTTCACTGCAATTTTAACCGCCACGAGGGGGACGTCATGGACCAGACTGTGCACGAGATTTCTTTATCTCATTCACCGGGCCTACGAATTGGTCAATCAAGGGCTGCTCCTCAGGTGACTCGGAAGCTGCTGGCTTCGTGCAATCATGACTCTTGCGAGGTCATGTTTGCCATGAGGGAAACGTAGAGGGCCAGGCCGCCGTCCACTTGCCAGTATTTCATTCGGTGAGCTCTGTACAGAATTGCCTGTTTAGGACAGGTTTCGAAGGAACGCTGACTTGGTCAACGCCCGAGGCTCTGCACTGCAATTTTAACCCTCACGAGGGGTACGAAGATGGTCGATCAGCTCATCTACTATTTAATTACGCACGTGACCTGCATCCGTTGTATTGGAATCTATTGTGAGGTTGCTTATTTTGGCCACCAGCGGGATGTCTGCATATGCACTGCAACATCGAACCCCATGAGGATGCCCGAAGAATATCAGACTGTGCATTTAGTCGCGTCCTCGCAGTGGAATATACGTATTGCCAATGAGACCCGTGCTTGTCGGTACAAGGCTCTTGGTCCTGTGGGTAGAAACGTCGCGAACGGGGATGAGGCGGATTACTTTGACCGCATGATATGCGTCTCATTCGCGAGGATCCCTTTCATTATTTACCCTTGGATTCCCGCCATGCATTTCCATCAGAATAGGGGGCCTGTCTCTTCTGGTCTCAGAAACAACATTTTGGGGGCTGTTTCACTGCGATTTTAGCTCTCACAGGGAGACGCAAATGACCGAAATGCACGCATGGTTGGTTCGTCTTTTAATGATCTCGGCCTGACCAGGATCATCACTGCACTTCTCTGTGACACTACATTTCACGAGTCTTGACCACGAATGGTTGTTAGGCATGGTCAACGATCCGCTGACTCTTAAGCATTACGGTTCATCCAGTTTGCTGAAAGAAGAATCTGTATTATAGGAAGCCTGAGATCGCACGGCCTAAAGATATATTCTAAAGCCAACAGTCCTTTACTTAGAGTTTATATATTTAACAAATCCCCCGGCCTCCTCTTCTAAGCAAGTGCCAGGTGTAAATGTTTCTATCGTTCTCCTTTGCAAGTGTCACGGCAGTGCAATAGGTTTATAGAAAGTCCGGTGAGATACCGAACAGTATCCGCTATATAATCCCCATCTTGTCCCTCTTCCTTGAAAGGGGACAAGATTCAGTCTCTTGATGAATTATACCTGACCTCACAACCCCTTTGCCAGCAAGGCGGAAGTGTAACTCTACCTGTGGGCAATGCCTCTACTTAGTGGTCGTCAATCGAGATCCAGCCAAGTCTCCAGCCTGAGATTCAATCGTAAGGACACCATAGTATCGTCACCTTTGACAATGATCGTTGTATGGCGTGTCCCACTGACTGCTTCGCTGACCATGAATGTCAGACGCAACATCCTACCGGTAACATGATCAAGACCGCCATCAAGGAAAAAAGACTACTTGGTTTCATCTATGCTAATGACACGAAAACTCGGGGCTTAAAACAGGCACAAACTAGTTTTCAACCACGGGTGGCAATGATGATATAGAGCAGTCAAATCCTGTTGACCCAGACAACTAACGTGATATAGTCATTACTGATATCTTTGCAGAAAAGCGACAATTCCGCAGCTCCAGAAATTGCCAAGATGCATTTGCTAACAACCTAAGCTAGTACATTATCCAAGAATTCTGTTTGAGGGTTGCATACAGAGCATCAACGGTGGATCGTATCAGTTCACGAACTAATTAACGCAAGTGATACACTGCTGCGTACGGTTTAGCATCATAGAGATCTCTCTACGAGTAGCTCTAATATGACAGCAGTCAAGTTCCAGTAGAGGTCCAACTACGATTGCGCAGATAGAGACAGCCAGGTGTCCATCGGCATGAACAATGCTTTAGGGGAAGAACTTTCCAAAACGTGAACTCGGTTAGTCTTGTACACAACAGCAACAGATGAGATACGCCTCGCAGGAATGGTCATCCTATGTATACATGTTTGAACCTTCCAGTACGGTGAGAGAGCATATCAGGGCCACCCAACTCCCCGACCCCATTTGTCCACTGACATAACCAATCGAACTAAGAGAAGAGAGAGGGAGGATGGTCTAGGAACAAGATATCCTGCGCAGTATATCCTCCGCAGAAATTGACGGGAGAGGTGAATAGTAAGATTTCAACACACAGACAACGCCGTGCAACCTTGATATGGCGAGCCTCCTGTAGAACATTGAGAGGAAGGTGTGAAATGAAATAATTAGCTCTGAAGAAATTCGAAGGCACTGTTGACACCTCATCCTTGTCATAGAACAACAAGAATCGAAGAGAAGGATCACGAGACATCTCGCATATCAAGTAGATATTGCAAGTCTCAGCGACAAGTGTTGTGACATCCCGAAAGCACCCCTACCTCGATGGACCAATACTGTCCAATGATTTTGATGGACCACAGTACAAACATTCTACCATACGTAAAATATCTAAAAAGAAAAAAAAATCAAAAATCGCCATACTATACCACTAGTAACTGACCATCATTTGCCAAATCTCAGGTGAGTCTGGGGTTGAAGACAGTGTTCCTATAATGCACCCACAGATAGTGGCCATGTTCTCTGATGTTATTCAGCCAATGTTACAGTCATTCATCACCGTTCTGTGCCACAGCAACGTGACTCACACGTATTTTCAGTCAAACGGCCTGTTTTAAGCGATTTAAACAGATTTGGTCGTGATATATGTTGGTGTTAAGCACTTGAATCAAGCCCTCCCTTCCTTACACTTGCGACTGGTGGTCCATTTGTCTGTTTGCCCTTCTCTATTGCTTTACCCAAGCGGGAGCCACCGCCACATGTGGCGACCACGCTGAGTGCGCACCAATCACGGCGCAGTAAACCTCGCGACCTGACGCTGCACGTGCAGGGGTCACAGGGCCTCTGCTGATGCAGTCAGCGCGATTCCCGCCTGTATGACACCACTACCACCACAGCCTCGAAGCTTCCTTCAGGCTCCCCGCGCGTTGTGTGTACAGTGATCCTCGAGCTGTACTCTGCCTCCGTGTCCTTTCATCTTCCCCCTCTGCAACCTAGAACGGCAGCAGCGTCCATCGATTTCGCTCTCTCCATCATCTGCCATCAACCGGGACTCGACGCCATCATCGCAGAAATGGCCGCAACCGCCAAGTACCAGGCTGCGCCGACGCAGGACCCGGAGGAGGGTACCTGGTCGCAGGCCCCTCCGTCCTACCAGGCCGAGAGCTCCAACGACACAGATCGTCTCTTCAGCGGCGAGGCGCGAAGCAGCGAGGACAACGTCCCCGACGACTTCAAGTTCGGCGGCTCCGTGGCCGAGGCCACCGTCGACATCCGGAACCAGTTCATCCGCAAGGTCTACACCATCCTCACGGCCCAGCTGATCGTGACGGCCATCGTCAGCGGCCTCAGCTTCTGGAGCGACAGCTACAAGTCCTGGATCCAGTCGCACCCAGCTCTGGTCTACGTTTCTGTACGTTCTTCGCCTACCTGCCTGTGCCCACGCTTCCTGTTCACGAGAGAGCCCTCTGCTAACATGTGTGCACGCAGCTGTTCGGCGCCATCGGTTTCATGCTCCTGACCTACTGGAAGCGCAAGTCGTACCCCACGAACCTACTCTTCCTGTCCGGCTTCACCCTGCTCGAGGCCTACTCCGTCTCCGTCATCGTCTCCTTCTACCAGACATCGATCGTGCTCAACGCCGTGGTCTTGACGGGCGGCATCTTTGTCTTTTTGACCCTGTTCGCCTGCCAGACCAAGTATGACTTCACCTCTTGGATGCCCTACCTGTTCGGCGCCCTCTGGGGCCTGGTCCTGTTCAGCTTCATGTCCTTCTTCCTCCCGCACGGAAGCACCGGGGAGCTGATCTACGGTGGACTGGCCGCCCTCATCTTCTCGGCCTACATTCTGGTGGACACCCAGATGGTCATTCGCCACCATCACGTCGAGGAGGAGATCGCCGCTGCCATCAGCCTGTACCTGGACATCCTCAACCTGTTCTTGGCGATTCTGCGCATCCTGAACAGCCAGAACAACAACTAGGAGGGCTCTTGAGTAGTGTTGGGAAAAGAGGCAAGAAGGTTTGGGATTATCCGGGCACTGAAAGAGTCGGTATTGCATCACACAGATATTTTAACTGTTAAAGAGGAGGAACTTGGAAGTCTTTTGGCATGGTTCATTTTCTATTAAAGCAAGGACTAGTCCCAATTTACGCAATGCAATCCCAGATTTTGGTATGCAGAAAAGGAGTGACAATGATGCTGCAATCTACACAAAGCCATGCAAGACACCGTCCTCCCATGTAACGGAGGTATTGACGGTGGTGGTTCGATGATACCGGCCTAACTCCCCACATACCTATGGATAGCTGAGTAGCTCGATGGGGTTCATGCATGGGAACTCTTCACATTTCTGATTGGCCAGTACCTGACTATCGCGCCATGACCGGGGCTCCTATCGAGCAGGGCGCCCAGGCGTTGCGGGGAAAGTGGTCAGTTCTCCCTTCAAGGTTTGTACTCCGTACAAGAAAGGCGGGATGGATATCCAGCTGCTGGCGCGACAGAAAGTGACACAGCCCAACGTGGCAAGTAAACTCTGGCTTGTCCGTCCCGCCCATGCACAAAGACTTTCAAGACACTCTAGTGCGGGATCGCGGGGATGTGGGATTTCTCCCTACCGCCATTGCGTCTAGTTAGCCAGAAAGGGAGGAAGACTTGAATGAGTGGAAAGAACGTTACGGGGGGGCATGATACTACTACATGCTGATATATTCCGCGAGTACTACGGGAAGCGTCTCCCGCCTGAGGTTAATCACGATGCAAATGATAGGCAAGGTCGCATACAACCTAGCTCTAAGTAGTTAAGTACATACGACCGAACAGGACTCATGAGCAGACTGATGTGCACGTCTTGACTATATCAGCACTGATAATCGTACTTTACCGAGATTTTGCACAGGCGGCTGCCCCGCTGGAGATGCAACCCGTCGCTAAATAACAAACTTGGCCAAGGATCCATATCCATGACAGAGACAGAGACAGAGAGAGAGAGAGAGCACCTGGCCCTGCTGGAGGTTGGCAGGTAGTGTTGACTTAACGGGCAGGAGGGTACACTAACTTAGTGGCCGGAGGCTCGTGGCCCCCCGGGCGTGGCCCGACATCGACATCGACATCGACATGGCCTCTCTCGCCCCGTGGCTTGCAGGACGACTCAAGCCTGTCAAGCTACGGCTGATGACAGAAGCAAGACCCCTGATTTCTTGGACAGTTTCAACGATTTTTCTGGTCCCTTGATCCCTGGATCCCTGGATCCCTGGATCCCTGGTCCCCTCCTTTTCCCCCTCGGCTCCCAGGGCTCCCTTTCAGCGGCGCCTCTCGCGAGACGGAGAGTCCCCTCTTTCACCGCCTTGGCCAATTGACCGCCATTGCGGGAGACGGGCGAAACGGCGTCTGCTTGGGCCCAGCCAGCGCCCATCCCCTCCCCCGTCTTGCCAGTCTTGTCTGTGGTCCAGCGCCCAGCCTGCCATTCCCTGCTGCTGCTGCTGTAGATGCATTGCCGCTCTGCAAATCGGCCCCAGATCAGAATTTCCCACTTCCAGGCTCGAGCTGTGAGTGGCCGCTGCCGCGCGCCGCCCTCTCTGTCCACGGGTCTCTCGCACACCACTGTGACCACTGTGACCTGACCCGTCTTCCCCCCCTGCCCTTGCTGGGCCCTCTTCCCCTTTTACATAGATAGTACATAGCAGTAGGACAGCAGTGGTAGGGAAGAGGGCCAAAGGCCAACTGGAAGCGCGTTTCGATTCGTGGTGGGGGACCCACATGGGAACTACTGGACTGGGGGGGAGGTTCAACGATTTCCAGATCGCTCAAAACATCTTTCGTTCGAATAATACTGCCTTGCACCAATCGCACCGCCGCATTTGCACTAGACGTTCGTTTCCCACTCGGGTCCCGCGATACCTCGTCCTCGTCGTCCTCATCCTCCCCTCCCTCCCCTCCTGCCCACCTTCTTTCTGCCGTGCCCCTGCGAGCAGAATCCTGTGTCGGAGAACTTGTTGTATGACACTGAGGCTGCGCACCGAGATCCGCATCCCTTGAATCCGTGGGAGGCACTGGGCAACTCGCATTCCTTTAGTTGCACCCTGGTGGACCGCCCGCGCGCCCGACTTGCTCCCATCTCTCTCTCTCTCTCTCTCTCTCCCCCGTCGTGACCCGCGGCTACCGAAACCCTCCCAATTCGGAAAACGGAATTCCAAACCAGCAGTTCACAGGCGACCTTCCGCCGCGACCCAATTGACCGTCAATTGAAGCCCAGACCTCACCATGAGCCCCTCTAGCGACAATGGCGCCCCTATCGAGCCCGTAGAGCAGCACCAGGAGCACCCGCAAGGGCACCAGCCAGAGCACCACCAGCTCCCGCCCCAGCCGAGCCCCCCGATCATGGAGGCCAAATCAGAGCAGCCCAAGGCCCCGGCCAGACCGGCGGTCCAGTCGCGCAAGTCGGGCATGAACGGCCCGCTGTACATGCAGACCTCGGGCAACAAGGTCTTGATCCGGAGAGTCAGGAGGAAAGGAGACGGGCCCATGAAGAGCTTGTCGCGCTGGTTCTTGGAGAACCAAGCTGGTATGTACACCGTGTGCAAATGCCCTCCTTGCATCGTCCCGTCTCTCCCACCACCCGCGACACCATACATCCGGCCACCCAGCACGTAGTCATGCTGGGACGGGGAAAGGAAAGAAACATTGAAGCTGCGTCGCCCTAGATCGGCCCAGCGTTGGGTCTATCAAGTAGCACTGCATGTTCGAGCCTCATAGCCTGTCTCAGCTGCCAATTGCGCCGGGGCCCCAAGGATCCATACCAGAGTGAGACCGGTGACTGACCTAGAGTATCACAGGGCTCTCTTTCAACCTCTTGGCCCTCCTCTTCCTCACGCACTTCTGCATGTCCAAGGCCCGCCCGTACACGGCTCCGTTCTTCACCCTGTCCCACTATAACCCGGAAACTGGCCGCTATGCCGCTGGCAAGGGCGACTTCTTCTTCGTCTTTTTCTGCGTCGTCCTGTTCACCGGCCTGCGTGCTGGCTGTATGGAACATGTGCTGGCACCGTTGAGCAAGAAATGGGGCATCTCCAAGAAGAAGGACATCACGAGATTTGCCGAACAGGCTTGGTTGTTGATCTACTACCTGGCTTTCTGGCCCCTCGGCTTTGTACGTTGCCGCCCTCACCCCAGAACTGACGACGAGGAAGCACAGCTGACCAAGAAAACGCAGTACCTGTACTACAAGTCAGACTACTACTTCAACCTGAACGAGTTGTGGACGAACTGGCCCATTCGGGAGCTCGACGGTACCATGAAGGCGTACATGTTGGGCCAGTGGGCCTTTTGGCTGCAGCAGGTGCTTGTCATCCATATCGAGGAGCGCCGCAAAGACCACTGGCAGATGTTGAGCCACCACTTTGTTACCATTCTCCTCATCTCGAGTTGCTATGCCTACCATCAGACCAGAGTCGGGCACCTAATCCTTGTGCTGATGGACATTGTTGATCTCTTCTTCCCTGTAAGTCAAGTTCTCGCACAATTAATTTGTAGAGACAACTCAGCTGACTCCAACAAAGCTCGCCAAGTGCCTGAAGTATCTTGGTTACACCACACTCTGCGATGTCATGTTTGGTCTTTTCGTAGTGTCCTGGTTTCTAGCTCGTCATGTCTTCTACATGATGGTTTGCTGGAGTATCTATGCCGATCTGCCTATCGAGGTTCCCGATGCTTGCTTCCGGGGTACCGGCCACAAGTTGTCTGGCCCATTGGCCGTACCTAACAACTGGGGCTACCTTCTCGAGCCTTTCCGGGATCCTCAGGGACTTGTTTGCTGGAATTCGAGCATCAGATGGGGCTTCCTCTCTTGCCTCCTCTTCCTGCAGGTCCTCACCCTGGCTTGGTTCACCCTGATCGTGAGAATGGTCATCCGGGTCCTGAAGGGCGGCAACGCAGACGACCCTCGGAGCGACGATGAGGCCGGCGAGGACGAGGAGGAGTCAGAGTACGAGGAAGCACACCCGCTCGAGGAAGAAGTTGGTGTTGAGGCAATCGACCTGAAGAACTGGGAACGCCGGGCAGGAGTCAAGCGAACCGCAACGACATCGGGGGTCAATCTACCTGGGCACAGCGATCGCAAGGAGTTGTTGGGCAGGATCGGTTGCGAGAAGCAAGTGGAGTGATGTCTCTGCACAAATTGGTGGGGATTATATTTTTGACTGTTCCGAGTCTCGACACAGTCGAATTCGTGCTCAGCATTTTCGTGGCGCGAGGGAAACTGAGCCAGTTTTCAGGAATGTAGGCAAGCCGACAAACGGCACTGGCTTTACAACCTTTCAAAAGTTTGGCGCGGCAGTCTTTAGACTTTGTTTCCAGGTGTCACGGAGCTCACGGCATGCGGTATCGAGGGCAGGGCAATCCGCCGGCTCCAACCTGGCTTGGGTGGTATATAGACCTGGAATTCAGCACATACCCCTGAATGACGAATCTGGAATTATGCTATTGGGACTAGAGATCTTTGGGGCTTACCATCACCTCGTGCTCATATCTGCTGAGACTAATACCCAATACGGGCGACTGCTCTTCCAACGCAGCGTGTTGCAGGTAAGCTGCTGTTCATACTTCTAAACGCGAGGATTTGCTTCGTTATCCCGGGGGGACGGGTGGACTCTAATTGGAGCTGTAACTCAAAACTTCACTAAAAGAGTTCACGATCTAACTCGAGTTGATTAATCTTTCCCAGGCTCCTACACAAGAGAGTCTTCTTGGAAAGATTCCTGACCTCGAATTCTGTCTTCTTCCCATCTGTTCTCATCTACCACCGGAAAACAGCTGTTGCCTGTCGTCGGCTCCGAAAGAACGCGCGAAAAGATTACCTCGGAACAACTACCTACACAAACTGTTGTAGCAGCAGCGCAACCTTTGAGAGCGACAAGCCATGATGCCGGGAAGCTGGCCTCACTGCGCCGGGCATGGACGGCATGATAATCCTACCACAATGCCATGCGACTGCTGTAACCCTGACATGTACTGCTGCGACAATCCTTCGTGCGCCTACAACAAGCCGAGAGAGGGCTACGGCGACAACGTCGTTGGTAGTTTTCATAACCATTCCACCTCCTGGTGTGGGGACCTCGAGTCTCAAGAGAGCGAGCAGCCTGGAGACAGCCACAAGGAGCTGATCAACCAGATATTGCCGACAGCGTCTCAAGACAGGGCAGACCGTCCCATACAGACCGGCGAGACTCAACCCGGTCGGCTGCCCGAACAGACCCAACTGGCAGAACCCCGAGGCGATACCCTCGATATTGATTCTCTGCGTGAGAGGCTTGGTCTCCTGGAGATCAGCGTTGCTGACACCGATCGAAGACCAACAAACCACAGACAAACCAAAGGTGAAGCAGCCCGAAAACTTGTTAATTCCAGAACCAAGCGTGATGCGTTGCTCGATGTCCACGGAGACAGCCAGAACGAGGTCATGGCAGAGCCCACCCAACAGGTCACCGGCCTCAAGGAGGGCTTCGCAAAGGTTGTAGAGGATCCGATGCAACAGCAGTTGAAAGGTCCGATGCGCCGCACGAAAGGATCCTTGAGTGATGAGGCGGACATTCTTCGCGCAGATCTTGAACAGCATACACGTATGACTGCCGCTTCCGAGAACCACGTTGCCAGACTCAAGTTGGACGTAGCTCATCGTGATGAAAGAATCAGCCAACTCGAGGATGAGCTCGAAAAGATCAAGATTTCTAGTGAGAAGCGCATGATTGCTCAATACCAGGATCTTCAACCGACGATTATGGAGTTGAGAGATGAGCTACAGCTAAAGGAAGAGGAATTGGGCGCCCAGGGGGAGCAGATCAAGAGGCAGAGCGATATCATCGAAAACCAGAACGAAGAGATTGCTTACCTCCAGCACACAGCCGATAACCTCGACGACGAGCTAGACAAGGTGCATGCGAATAATGCCAATCTCGCGCAGGCCATGACAGCTGAGACCAGCAAACTGAAAGATAAGTTCGCATGCATGACGGAAGAGACCTCGAAGCTGCAGGATCAGCTCAAGGTCAAGGACTCTGTTATTGGTATGCTGGCCGAGATCACCAAGGCTTCCCGATTGGACCCTGGCACAGACTTGTGTGTGGTGGGATACCAAGTGGACCAGATCGTCCAGCAGGCTCTCGATTCCCAGCAATCGCCTTGCCATTCAATGAGGGATGACACCTTGGGCAGGATGACCAAAGAACTTATTGCGGCAAGTGCGCAGGTCACCAGACTGGAACAAGACCTTGAGGACAAGAAGCTGCTCGAAGAACGGCTGCAGGGGGCCCAGAAGGCACAATCGTCCTTGCAGAACCAACTCCAGAGGACCATCACCGGACGCGACGAAACCGAGGCCACCATGAAAGGCGACATCGCCCAGATCACCAAGAAGCACGAGCAGTCCCTGGCGGCCATGCAGATCAAGGACTTCCGGATCAACCACCTCCTGGGCCAGATCGGGACGCAGGCCCACGCACTGGAGAACGCCCAACGAACGTACTGGGGCTTCATGGTCGCGGCCAAAGCCCACGTCGACGGGCTGGAGCAGAAGGCGGCCCGCCTGGCCAAGCAGGCCGCCGCCGCCGAGCGCGAGCTTGCCGCCACCGCGCAGACGCTGTCGCAGCAGCGCGACGCCAACCGCCAGCTCTCGCAGCAGGCCCAGCAGAAGGCCGGCCTCGCCCGCCTCAAGTACGTCGAGGCCTGCCGCCTGACGGGCCAGAACGCCGAGCTCGAGGCTGCCGTTGCCGAGCTGCGCGGCCAGAGCGCGGCCCTGGCTGAGGAGGTGTGGCGGCTCCGGGCGGGCGTCGAGCTTGTCGACGCCACTGCCTCCGAAGAGGAGGGGGGCGAAGAGGACTCGGAGGACCTGGAAGTCCGGGACGAGAGCGAGACCGAGGACGAGGATGAGGTTGGCGATGAGGATCAGTGCCATGGCTCGGAGCAGCCCGGCTTCGAGCTCGTCGAGCTGGCGGGTGCAGAGCACGGTGGCAGCCAGGACGAGGTCCTCGGCGAGGCGCCCGAGATCCTGCGCAACCCAATCAGTGAGGTGGTCGGTTTCGACGGCCCGCGCGGCAACGCCGTGTCCCTAGATCCCGAGATTGGCGGGCGTAGGGGCCCTTTCTTTATTCTCTAGTGCCGGGATCAGGTTGAGCTGCTTATGGTGTTTGTGGTTGGGTCCGGGCTTTGGCGTAGGTGTATACCTCTGTGATATGATAACTAGTATTTCAACCGAGACGTGCACAGCATCGGAGGGTTACCCCAACAGCCAGACCTACACGGCACGATCTTTCCGCTCGGAACCCGCCATTCGGCGACCAAGTTGCCCACGGTCCGCTTTCTTGGTTTTGCGAGGAAGTTGCTGGCTAGCGGCGAGTAGGGGTAGGTGGGATGCTCTGCAAGGAATGAGTATAATTAAATGGATACATATAGCGACAAACCCGCTGCTTTTCGTATAAGGTGACTAAATGGCCTATTGCGATTCATGATTATGGGCATTCCATCCTCCGACCAGCTCAGCCATAGGGAATCCTAGGTTTTGATAGTGGGAGCAAGCAAGCGCAGCTCCGGCTAGTATAATCTCGAGATGCTTGGCTCGAATAGGAACTGTGGTGGATGTTAGTATATCCGACGGTTACTTGTGTTCGTTCCCATTAAGTGATGACAGCCATTTCCTTTTGGTGGGTTTTCGTGCTGTTAGCGGAGATACGGCTGCGGTGTAATCGCCCCGGTGAGTTTCGATGTTTAGGAGCATGCGAATTATGGGGATTGATTCGCATCACGACAGCAAAGTCCGGGATCTATATGATTTAGAATAACACCATCAGATAGCATGGTGGTGACCCTCGGAATTTTAGATAATTATAATTCTCCAAGTGGCGAGTCCTTTGCAATCAAATCGCCGTAAAGTACACTCGCCCGGATCTCGGATCGTGGTAACTCTGAGTTTGCTTGGCTGTCAAGATCTTCAGTGGGACAGTCCAAGTAACCAGCCCGCTAGCCGTGTATGCAATTTAGATTGCAATAACGCATTGGCTTCCAACGATCACAGCCCGATTGGCTCAGCGGTAGAGCGCCTCACTAGTAATGAGGAGGCGATCGGTTCAACTCCGATATTGGGCAATATCTGTTACAAGTCGCCTACGGCGACTACCTAGCTTTTGCTGATTTGGATCTTTCGGCCTTCTCTTTTTGGCCTCTCTTGAGGATATACTGTCCTTTGATGTTGCAGGGAGTGTTCCGTAGCGTGATAGGCTAGATTATGAGCAGGCGGTGCTACTTTTGGGAAGGCAATTGTTGCTGCGCTCAACACGCTCAAGCTTTGTTGCACGCTGCATCAAGTCTTAGGGACGTGACACATAGTCGCACATACTCTGAAGGGATACCATGAGACCTCTGGCATTCCCCTGTGCGAGAAGCTGTCCTGCCATGGCTGTCTTGAATACCATGATAGACTTACAGGCCAAGCGTCTGCCACCTTGAGCTGGCCTTGCTGGCCGTTTATTCAACGGGTTGGTTGCGCAAAGGAACGGAATGAAGCCGCTGATGGGTGCTGTCGTAGGTAGTGCTGCTTCCACTTTCATTATGAAACAACCTTAATTGAACCACAACATGCCCTCTTGTCCGGTGGGGTTGCTTTGATTAATTGGCAAAACACCAGTACGAGCGCTTGGTATTCTGGCAGAGTCGTGCATACATTGCAGTTGTGAAAGTCACCCTCGAAGGCTAACCTGCCTATTCGGCGGGGCTCTCTAGTGACCCTTAACCTGCCCCGCGTCAGGCGCGTCCTCTGAGGGATGTAAATATTGACGACAGCCAACTATTCTACTGTCGGCTGCTGAGCTCACTCCCCGGCGCAGGATGCGCTCGTTCCTGACTGCCTGACGAACAACGACAACTAGAATGACTTCAACTGGTGCAACCTCGTATGGCGACTGCGTGTCTGCACTGCGCAACTCGCTCTCGCATCTCGAGTCGTCTGTCGACATCTTGGGCACAGGCGTCACCGACTTCCCCCGACTCGTACAAGTCCTGAAGACGGTTCGCGTACGTCGCTCTTTGCGCATCACCATTTTTCTCGCCTTCTGAACTGACATGCGACAGCACTACGAGCTGATCCCTCAACCTACGCTTGCCGCTGCAGAAGCCTCCCTCCGCGACGAGATCGGCCCTGCCATCTCCATTCTCCTCGACCGCGCAGATGGCCACATCGACCGGGTAGAACGACGCATCGAGTCCCTGAAGGCGCGAGCGGAACTGCAGCAGGGTCGGTTGTCCCAGACACCTGGCAAGGCTCTCTCGTCGCAGAAACGAGGCAAGAGCCAGGTCGGCCAAAGACTCGGCGGCGAGGCCAAGCTGAGGGCGAAGGCGATCAAACAGAGGAGGGAAGCTTTGGAATACAGCATCGAGAGACTGGAGCTCGAGGTCCTCCAGAAGGAGAGGGAGCTGAGAAAGCAGGTCGAGAAGGCGTGAAAACAACACAGAACAAGATGTCACTGTGACGCCTTGGCTGCACAGGCCCAAGAACCCAGACTTAACCGATGCTAGGGGGACTGCTACAGATCATGGTGTGTATGCGGTGTGACACATGTATCTCGAATCGGAAGAGAATAGTGGCCTCGTGAGACGGATCTCTTGAGGCAAAGCTATATGGTATTAGCAGCTTGATGCCAGCGTCGAACTGTTGCCATGATCCTGGCACAATCGTTATGGTCTTGTTGGTCTACCACACGACGGCTTTGACGTGATGGCAATTGTTGGTCAGAACGATCACATTCCGAATTCGGGCTTAGGACATGACAAGACTACTTTTAGGCAGAGAGAGGGGTATGCAAGGCGTTGATCCTCTAGATCTGCTGACTGTGTAGTTGGGCTTGACGAAGACAGAGTTCAGGACTGTGATACTGTGCGTAATACCTTGGTTCCCAAATAGTGAGCAAAATGATACCGGAACTATGACTACGGCCATTTTAGCCTTATAAGGGACAAGGAATTGGGTTGAAGCGGGCAACGATGAGTGTAGGTTTGAAAATGGTCAATGCTATCTCATCCTCAATGTCTAAGGTGTCCTTCCAGCCTACTTGGAATACTCCCGTGGTGTTATACAAGTATCTGAAATGATACACCTTTATTTACGCAGCAGCCTCTGCCAGTGCCTCGGTTCTCGATTTGCTGTTAGGATCAAAGTACGGTGCCTCTCCGATTCCAACAGCGCGGTTGCCAGTGCGCTCACCAAGGTGGTCGTAGTCAAAAGTGGCACTGTGGAAAACACTGCGATTGTCCCAGATCGCTGCTGTATGTCAGCCCCGGGTTCTTTCTATACCACTTTTTGAGCACTCACCGATATCATTCGCATTGCGCCACTTGAAACGAACCTGCAAGTCATGGTTCTCGGTAATGACTTGCTTGAACTTCCTCAGCAGCTCATCAGACTCGTCCGAGTGTAACTCGTTGATGCGCTTTGGAAATGCGCCTATCGGGAAGATACTCTTCCACCCGGTGACCGGATTCGTACGGACAACGGGGTGGACGGCTGTCAGCGCCTTGCCTACGTTGAGAGGGCTTCCACGCTCGTCCTCGTAAATCTTAGTCTTTTCCGGGTTTGCCTCCGCAGCTTTGAGGAAGCCATCGCCGCTGAATGTCGCCGTCAGTCCCTCCAAGAACTTCTGGTATGGCGCTGAGAAACGGTCGTAGATCTCATATCCGGAAGCCCAGAGAGTGTCACCGCCAGTCTTGGGCAGCAAGGTCAGACGCAGCGAAGTATAGTCGGCTGGCGCACCCTCAAATTGAATATCGGAATGCCAAGCTGCAGCATCAGACTTCCTTCTCTCAGCTTCTGTCTTAAACTTGAACAACTCCTTGCGATGCGCAGAACTAATGGTGCTGATCTCTGCATCGTCAACTCCAAACTCAGAGGTGTTGTTAAAGACAGGATGAATATGAAGAGTTGAGTCGGCTGGTTTGCCGGCCAGCTGGCCAAGACGATGGACCAGCTTCTTCTGCAAAGCATCCGTGAGGTTATCTTGCTTGCGGAAGAAGACGACACCACGCTGGGAAACTTTTGTCAAAGACTCCATGTCAGTAATCGAGTAGGTTTCACACTTGCAAGACAATAAACCTACTAGTTATAGCCAGATCTCGCAGCAGGTCGTCCGCATTTTCGCCGTTCAGGAGGTTGTCGACGATATTTACATCCAGATACTCGCGTCCAATCACGGGAGTAGTCTCCTCAAAGGCAAATTTGTCCAAGGCACCGCTGAGTCTCAACGGTTTCGGGTAGGATTTCGTCTTGGTAGGGCCGTCCTGAGAAGGGAGCGACTGGACCGGAAGGTCTGACGTAACGCCCGGGGCCATGGCTGCAAGTATTATAGTCTGCTGGGCTTCGCAAGCTGATGGTTTACTGCAAGTTTTATTAACGGATTTCAGAAGTCATCAGGTTACACTATGTGCGACAGTCGCTGCACTTATAGTCCTCGCCAAGCTCTCTCGGTCTTCGGTTGTCGGTCGGCGCGGGGTGCAATCACGCCATCATGCCATGAATTATCGCAAAGCACGCAACCCGAGGGCGGATTGGCGTCTTATCCAAGGACACAGCAAATGATAACCACGATGGGAATCATACTGTGTGCTTATAGGACTCACGTGCGATGAGGACTTGCAGTGCGAGACCTCAGTCTATGGAGCTAGGCCTTACCCAGATGATGTTTCTTGATCGCTAACATTCCCAATCTGCGGCTGTACTCAAGCGGACTGATGACTCATTCGGACTGCCAATGGTCCCGTGTATACACTGCGCTAAAGTTTATGTGGCCAGAATGCTATTGGTGTGGCGCTTCGTTAACATCTGCAGTAACATTATCTAGCCTACTCAGTGCTGCTTGGAATCAGGCTTTGAAGAATTGCCTCCACCAGGTGACTTGATGAGACCAGAATTCAAAATGCGGTTCCCATTTAAAGTAGACAGACTGTCTTCTCACTGGGCTACATACTCTTCAAGTTTTCTTCACCAACGCGAATGCATTGTACTTTTGTAGAATATATAACATTGATCCAGGAACAGGTTTCATGTTCATTGTGATTGAAAAGGCCATATAATTGACACACTTTCATTGTTAATCCCGTCGATGAAACCCCCTTCCTGAGTACTGTATAGCTCAGCAGCGAGCCTTGCTTCTGTTTTGATCACGCAACACATGCCGATCTTGCCATTCGTCCTGTTGATTTGATGAGTATCAATGAGGTGGAATACGTTGTTGCCGCACGCTAGACACGCATCTCACCCGTATTCGGGGCTTCCCAACCACCTTTGCCTAGTGGTATTGGCTAGCACGCAGTAACCCAGAGTAAATTAATTGAATTGGCCCATTTTATACTTCTTTTACCCTCTCCCTTTTCCCTTCTTGTTCTCCTGTAGTAGAACTAATTATGTAATCCAGAACAACCAAGGTGGCGTATGGCCTCATACTGACTTGGTGGCTATCCCTCAGTAACGGTACGTTCAATGCCCCCCCCCCCCCA